TTGCCAGCACTGAGAAGTAATGATTAGCAGGTCCTTGTTTCCCTAATGTAGCTTAGTTTGATTACTCAATTACAAGATCCCTCTTAATCAGAGAGAGCAGAGAAGAAATGAAAGGGGAAAAATGTGTCTTCACATACACCTCTTTCATAACATCAGTATTAAGACATTTTTTACTCTGCTGGATCTTAGAATTTATATTGTAAATACAGCACGTGATGAGATAAAAAAAAAATAAGGTAGCATCCAGAACTACAAATTTTTCATTAATAAAAGGATGGAGCTGGATGAGATGATTCCCAAATCTCTCTCCTTTGACTTTCTTTGACAATAATTGTAGAGCTTAGATTAGAATATCCCATGTCTGTTATACCCAAGTAGTAAATATACATAACTCCATCTAATTACTAAAAGGCTCTAATTCTAATTAAAAAAGAACTTCAGTTAAAAAAAAGTTTACTATGTCTACATTAGTGCCTTCTCTACTTTGGGGATATCATACATTATTCAGAACTGTAAATACTGCTTATATAGAAAATTGGTAAAGTAGCCACGTATTTTGTTAGCCCATTCACACAAAAGTGTATTTCAGAAGTGCACTTACATTTTATAACAAAGTCTGAATCTTCCATCAATTATAAATATGACTGTATGTACCTGATAAGAATTCTAGAATTTTCTTGAGTCTAGTAATTACATAAAAAGACTTCCCATGTATCTCACATTTTAATACTACTCAACAGACTTATCCAACTTCTACTGTCTACCAATATTTTTTTAATCCATTAGTTGAATCTGTTTTTATATTCTTCCAATAAATTTTCCTAAAAGGCTGTCTAAATTTTGGGTAAATATTCCTTTGTTGACAATAGTAACTGGAAATAGGCATCTCCTTCATAAATAAATATGAAGATGAGGAGAATCTATAGGCAGTACAAGTATAATTCTTTAGCTTGCTTGGAGTAACCACTCTGTATCTACATTATGTTAATTTAATATATATTGTTTTAATCTAAATTAGCTATAAAATAATCTTGTATAACTATATTTTATAAATCATATCTAGAAGTCATTTCATTAAAAGCAGGCTTTCTATATGGAAGGATTAAAAAAACATACTTTTGGATATTCTAGACTCTTAGTAATTTTCTACTTTAAGTACAAGGTGCTGAGTAATTTGTTCCTTTTTTCATTTAGGTAGGCCTAAAGGCAATGGAAACAGCAAGTGGCTTTCAAAATGGACACAGAAGAAACGTCAGTGGATATTAACATAACATTGTAGAGTATTTTACAGTTTCCAGAGCACTTTTACTGTATCACATTTAATTATTTCAACAACCCATAGGGTTAAGAGTTGTTTTTTTTTTTAACCCAGCACAGGAGCAGGTGGGGAGGAGAAGGAAGTCAGGTACCAAGATACTCATTTCTTCTATATATGTGCTTTGCTTCACTGTATAGAACCCTAGACTATAGGAACTGATGCTATTCATAGTTAAACTATAGTGATAAGTATGTTGCCCCAGGTAGCATTTACTTTGAGGTATCATTTGAGGCTTTAATACTTTTATTTGCAATATTAATAAATCAACTGCCAAAAAGTGAATACCAACTTCTACATCAGACAAGAAAATATCATTATGCCAGCTGCTTGTTATCAAAGATTGACTCAATTCAACAAATCTTACTGAAACAGGACAAAGCACTATGTGAAGACCTAAAATATACTGTATGACAGACAGGGGGCTTAATCATCGACTATTGCCTGTGAAGCTCTCTGGTGGATTTGTTTCAGGACTCCCACTCAGCATGTTGAGAAACTGAAGTATCAAGGATTCTCAAATTCTTTTCAACAGAGTAACTGTAACTGTCTAATGAGAGAATCTGTCAGATTATCAGAAAAATGCCCCAATGTTGATTAAACTGAAAGTCTAATGTTATCATCTAAGAAACCACTAAACTCTTCAATAATGTTCACTATTTTACTGTACTGATGAGTAAAGCAGTTACTGAGTCAGAACTTTCTGTCTTACCACAAAAATAGGGAAAACCAAACGAAACTCTGTATCTCCAAGTTCTGTAGCTTTTAAGTATGGCAACAGTACTTTTTACTGTCCCAACAGGACCCACTTCTGACACTGAAAGAGAGTGCAATTGATAATTAGGCATAAAATGGGATTGTACTAGGCAAATCAGAATGTATAGTTACCCTGCTTCTTACAAGACACATGTTCCACGGTCATCCTGTTCTAAGAAGATTACAAAAGCAGAAAAGGAACAGGAAGCCAAAGGGAAATCAAAGCAAGGAAATAAGAAAAAACAAAACAAAACAAAACAAAAGAAACTTTCACAAATCAAGTTTCCCCTCAATTTTACAAATCAGTTTGAATAAAATATTTTATTTAAACCATGGTAAGGGTTGGGGAGCAGGGGGCAGAGGTAGTAAAATGAGGCCTGGTCAAAGTAAGTTTATGAAGTAGTCAGGTCCCAAATCCCTTCCCCAACCCAGCAAAATACCAGAGCTTATTTTCCTCCAGTTACCCTGTGCACAACTAAAGAGAGTATGTACTCTCCTGAAAGTAACAGTTCAGATAAATGCATACATCTGGGATGCTGAATGCAGTGACAGTCACCGTCCTCACCCTTCTCCCCCTTGCTTGGTTCCCTGGAAGTTGGCAACTCAGGCTCCACTCTAAAGGCAAGGGACTTATGGAGTCCTCTGAGAAATCTGACCAACCTCAACAGACCTGAAATTACTGATCTAAGAGGTTCCTCCACCAAACAGCTCAGCTGATCCTGTTGTGAAACTCAGATGTGCACAGCTTCCAACCAGCATTTCTGTTCTTCACTATTAAACACGAATGAGGGATGCCTGGGTGGCTCAGCGGTTGAGCATCTGCCTTTGGCTCAGGGCATGATCCTGGATTCCTGGGATCGAGTCCCACATCGGGCTCCTTGCATGGAGCCTGCTTCTCCCTCTGCCTGTGTCTCTGCCTCTCTGTCTCTCATGAATATATAAAATAAAATCTTTAAAAAATAAAAAAATAAATAAACATGAATGAACAAGCAAAAATTACTAGATATCTAATGGAGGACTCTAAAACATAAAAATATATAATAGATAAAAGCAGCTTAAAGGAAAGGTAAAAAAATCTATCAGTATCTTTCTCACAAAGAGGACATATTACTTCTATGTAATGAGCAAGATACTATAAAAAAGAATCAACAGGGAATTTAAGAAAAAGTTCTTTGAAACAAAAAATTATAGAAGGATCAACAGATAAAGCTAAGAAAGTCTTCATTAAAAGTACAGCAAAAAAAAAAAAAAAGAAGAGTAACAGAAAAGGTAAGAAAATTAAAGATCCCACATGCAATTAATAGGAGTTCCCCCAAAATGAAAAAAAAAGTCATCATCAAAAGAAGTCAAGAAAATTTCAAAGAAATAAAGGACAGGATTTTCCAATTCAAAGAATCTTGAAAGCATCAACAAAAATGAAAAGAGACCCATCCCAAGGCAGATTACTGTAAAATTTTAGAACACTGGGATAAAAGAGTACATACTGAAAGTTTTCAGAGTAAAACAAGTTACAACAGACAGTCCTGAAGGCTTCAGTCTAATCAATAGCAACATAGGAAAATGGAAAACAATGGAGCAATGTCTTCAAAATATTGCAGGAAAAAGATGTTCAACCAGAATGCAAACCACCAATCAAGCATGAGGGAAACGTAAAGACACTTTCAGATATGCATTTCTAAAAATATTTCCCACCCATGCAAGCTTTCTCAGGAAGCTATTAGAAGATTAACACCAAGAAAATGAGAGAATAAAGCCAAGAATGAGGAAGACATGGAATACAGAAAACAGGAAATCCAACATGGTGGGAGATGAAGGGAGATCCTAGTAAGGCAGCTGGGTACCAGATGCGGAAAAGTAGCTCAGGCTGGAGGCATGAAGGAGATAAAACTGACCAATGCTTAAGGTGTCTCCAAGTCTTTTTTTTTTTTTTAAGATTTTATTTATTTGACAGAGAGAAAGTGAAAGAGAAAGAGAAAGAGAGAGTACATACATACTCCAGAGCAGAGGAGAGGGGCAGGAGAGAGAGAGAATCTCAAGCCAACTCTGCATTGAGCACAAAGCCTGATGTGGGGCTCAATCTCACCACCCTGAGATCATGACCTGAGTTGGATGCTTAATCAACTGTGCCACTCAGGCCCCCCAGAGTGTCTACAAGTCTTCAAAGTTCAAGACTTAGACAACTACTGGAAGTAAGCAAAATAAACAAGACGATTATTAGCTCCACAAAGTTTTTTTTTTTTAATACGTGCAACAAAACAAAGGAAGGACAGGAAAAGAAAAGTGATCATAGTTTACCACATGGTAACTATGGCTCAGCTGTGAAAAGAACTTACATACTTATAATAACATAAGTATTTGACAATGCCTTAACCGAATCAGGATACAATTCAGATCAGGGGATTAGGGGTAGAAGAATGATATAGTGGGGGTGAAGGGAAGAAAGTAAGTGAAATCCTCCTCTCTTATAGAGGAGAATCAACAGATGATGCCAGAAATTGTATAATCAAGAAGCAGCAATATGGTCATGCTATTTTGAGAATGGACTAATCAACTAAAAGTTAAAGAGGTCAACATGTAGAAATGGACATCGAGGACCCTATTGAGAAAAAGATTTGCTTCCTGTTTTTTGTAATAACCTTATAGAACTACTGGTCTTTAAACAAAAAGCATGTATAAAATTTAAAGTATTTGATAAAAACAACAACAAAAGAAACGAGTGAATTATTAGAAAAAGAAAGAAATCTTAAGTATTAAGATTTAATACTTAATTTAATAATAATTTAATAATATTTAATTATTATTTTAAGTATTAATCTGCTTCAGATTTTAGTCTGTATCACACTTTCCCCATGACTAAACCCACATCACTGTATACTGCTCCCATCCATACTCTTCAAGTATGATCACAGGGAAGTTTCTAAATACTTACCTCAAGGAGAGCTGCTGCGGGATCACCCTGTAGACTTTTTCCTAGTTTGTCAACCTCATCTAACAGGAACACTGGGTTGTTAACTCCAACAGTCTTCAAGCCATTGATTATACGACCAGGCATACTGCCAACGTAAGTGCGCCTATAGAAAGCAAGCAGCAAGTTAAAGTGTCAGGAGGCAAGAGCATTATCACTTAGAACTCAAAATTTAGGACTGGGAAAAAGTCATTTAGTTATCATAGTAATAGAGCAAAGAGATACTATATATTTTGAAAGCTCTATGATACAACCAAGAGTTATTAGATTCAATTTTACTTTTCATTTAATTCTGGCTCTAAGTTTCCCATGATATTGGAAGAATCTAGTCATTGTCATTTAGTGAAATTGAAAAACATTATACTTAAGCACATGATTATAACTCTTTTCAGGATTCCAAAATGTCCAAAGAAGCCTATGAATTTAATTCCTATGCTTTTCATAGTTTCTCAGTACCATCTCCATCCCCCTTCAACACAATTACCTTTTCCACACATAAATGGTTGTCCCAGGGCTGGTTAAAGCATCATCATCATCTTCATGAAGGAAATCAGAATTGTTCAAAGGGCCACTCAAAATGCAGAACAAAACAAAACACCAAACCCAAATTCTTTTATTTTAAAGGCAATAGTTTGTTATTAATTATAGTAAGATTTGAGGTCAACTGGATGTATATTAAAGTTCCATTAATTTGGGCCTTTTTAATAAAACCATGTTCATCCTATATACACTAACTGGTATAACCAAGTTCAGCCAGATGTTTTGTTGTGCATTTGTTGTCAGAGCCTCCTTTATCATATCTGAACAAGAATCACCTACATAATTATAATAGATGTAGAGGATGGCATAAATAAAAACAAATGTGTTTGTCAAATGGAAAACAGTGGGGGTTTTTTTGTTTGTTGTTTTTTACAAAGCCAACCTTTATTTTCAGCAGCAATTTACTAATTTTAATTACAACCTTGTTGCCTAAGCCAATGCTCAAGCAGATGCTGTTTGTGAAAAGGCATAAAAGGGTGACTGCCTACAAGAAACTGGTCGATAGTGAGTGTAACCGCAACAGTTATCTTAGGATGGGTACAAAGCCAATCCATGAAGCAGGCCTCAGTTTCACCGCCTGACTGTATAAAGTAGGACAGAGTAAACAGAGTGACCTTTGAAAAGACAAGAAAGCCTTACAAATATCGTGGGAATGCCTTACATCCAAAGAGGGTGACCGAGGCACTGGAACCAAATACAATAAACACTGTCCTATTACAATAAGGAGTCAGCTTTCAAGATTTCAGAATGGTATACAGGAAGGATGAGACTCAAAATTAATAAAAGTCTCTCAAATTATTTCTCTAGAAAACCTGCAGATTTTCCAGTATTCTATGAATAAGTAGAGAAGGGAAATTAAAACAAAAACCAAAAAATAACCACCACAAAGCCTCTAAAGGAATTATTTCCTACTCCATTAACTTCTTTCTTTTCCTTACTGCTTTTGACAGGTAGATTTCAGAAACAGGTACTGACAATTCTAGACCTAAAGTCATGGAGAGAAAATAATATTCTAGGCAGGTATCCCTTCTAAAGAACAGAAATGTAGATCCTGATCCATATACAAATAATTACTCCTAAACCTTCCATTGCTTTCCAAAGCCTAGTGAAGAAATCCAAACTCCTTTGTTTGGAATTCAAGGCTCTTCATGATGCAGTCCCCACCAGCCTTCCCAATCTACTGCCATAATGCCCCTGCTTTATCTACAATCACAATCCTATTATAACTCTTTAGGTTTTTTAAACCTTTGTTACTATGGTATTTTCCTGCCCTTAATTCTCTCCCTGCCTGTGTAAATCCATAAATTCTAAACAACTTTTCCTGACCACCTCTCACAAAGTTATCTTTCCAATAATGCAACATCTACAGCATTTACTGGCCCTGCAATTTAACTGATGCAGTTACAACCTAGCTTTTATTTATGGGTACCAAGTGTACAGCCTCTTCTAAAGAGCCACTGAGCACTCTGATGACAGAGAGTAAGTCTTATTATAGAGTAGATCCTAGATATAGAGCTGTCATATCAGTTTTCCAAACAAAGGTCTGTTTTTCCTAATTATTTATAAGACATCAGATCAGCCATGCTAGCACTGAAAGTATCTTTCTATCACCACTGTGAAGGCCATACAAGCCTTTGAATACTGCTTTGAACAATCTACTTGACCTAAGTCTCAGGTTCTTCATTTGTAAAATGGACACAGTAACAGTGTCAACCTCATGAATTATATGATTATGAGAACATAATAGGTAAAGCACACAGCATAGTGCCTGGCACATGGTAAGCTTTCAAAAGATGTTCATTGTTGTTAATGTCTTTCCACAGCACCAAGCACATTCAGTGCCCTTAGTGTTCCTCAATCACAGGTGATGTCCCCCAAATGTCTACCACTAGTCTAGAGTTCAAACAAAGAAGAGAACCATTACACAGGGTCTGTAAGCTGTGGAAAGTACCTATAATGTCCTATCTTTTGCCAGAAGGTATGGTAGCATGCAATTCAAGATACAGACTTGACTCAAGATACAGAATATCTTGAATGCAATTCAAGATACAGACTTGACTCAAGATACAGAATATACTTTGAATAAATCTTTGGAATATGAATCAAATGGTGAAAAATGTAGCAACACACAAAATAAAATGTTCTCTTTCAACATCACCCAATATAACCACTTTTTTTTTTAAAGATTTTATTTATTTATTCATGAGAGACAGAGAGAGAGTGGGGCAGAGACATAGGCAGAGCGAGAAGCAGGCTCCATGCAGGGAGCATGATGTGGGACTCGATCCTGGGACTCCAGGATCATGCCCTGGGCCAAAGGCAGACACTCAACCGCTGAGCCACCCAGGCATCCCATAACCACTTTTTAAAAAACTAATTAGCATACCAAATTATCCTCCTGAGAAACTACATAGGTAGGAAATTAATGAAATTAATACTCTTTTATAAACTATAACTTTTTTGAGGGCAAAATACGTACTTTTCCATGTCCTTCCTCATAACATCTAGAAAGCAACATAGCACAATACAGGGAAGTTTACAAAGAATGTATCTCTTCAATTACTTATTATTTAGCCTAAGATAAAATGATTGCCTAGAAGTTATTCTTAAAACCAAAGCACACAAGTTAATTTAAGAAATATATTAATTCCTATTTTTCTTATAATTGGTACAGGCAGTTCATAGGTTTATCAGGACTATTCAACTAGTGTATGAGATACACAAAACTACACGTTATCTATGTGGTTCAAAATATTAAGATAGAAGATCAGCATTTCTCACTTTCCAAAATATAGTCTGCTTTATGCTTCAAAAAACTACAGATGAGTACAGTATCACATATTTATAGCTCCATGGTAATCAACTACTTTACCACTCTGTGCCTGGATATCTTCAAACCCAATGTAAGCCAAAAGGCTGGTCAGCCTGTCACTGTCACTGACACTTAAAGATCAGGAACCAATGGGTAGGGCATCTGGGTGGTTCATGGTTGAGCGTCTGCCTTTGGCTCAGGGTGTGATCCTGGGGTTCTGGGATCGAGTCTCACATAGGCTTCCTGCAGGGAGCCTGCTTCTCTCTCTGCCTATGTCTCTCTCTCTCTGTCTCTCTCATTAATAAGATTTTTTTTTTTAAAAGGAACCAATGTATATTTACTTATCTCTTTCTCAGTGTTTAAAGAAGGAGGGAAACAGGCATTTCACCATCACCTTTCCATGCCTGCTCAATTAAGGAGCTCTAATGGGCTACAGTGAAAACTACCGAAGGGGATACTTACAAAGAAAGAATTTGTAGTATAAAAAAATGTCTTTTAATTTTAAGTGGAAAGAGTATGATCACAATTGCTTAAAAAAAAATGGCGAAAGCTGCCCATTTCTGAAAGGAAATAAAATGGTAACTAACAGTGGTTACCTCTGTATGGTAGAAAAACATGAGAATTTTTTTCCTTTTAAAAAAAAAAATTCCAAATTTTATTCCAAGGGTGTGTGTGTGTGTGTGTGTGTGTGTGTGTTTATCTCCAACTGGGAATAGTAATAAGCCTTAAAAGAGATCCTTATGATCTCCAAAGAAAAAGTCTTTAAGAAACTAAAAGTAGTCTTTAATATAGCATGTCTAAACAAATCAAATTGTTATTCTTATAGCAGTCATTCCGAAATCTTTTTATGGACTCATTTGTATGGATGCACTCATTTAAAGGACCATAATACTTCCAAAATATAATTATATTTTAATCTTACTTGAATTCACAAAGCCCTCGGAAAGCACTTACCATGTCTGGCACTGTGCGGTGTGCAAGGAGTGATACAAAGGACAATAAGACATGCTAAAAACCCTACTACTCTACAGACCTCTTACTTTTTTCCGTATTTATGACTTAGCTCTATAGTAATGTATTGCAAATCCCAGAGGCCTGTATTAATCATCAAAAGAAAACAGTAGACAACAGCAGTTAGTTATGATCTGACTCTTCTCTAAAGTAATATATATTAATGGAGAAAGCCTTGAATTGGGGCCTAAAAATAAAATTAAACTTTAAAAAGGCAAAGAAGAGCAATATGCAAATACAGGTTATAAGGAGGATAGTGAGTAAACTATAGCATGTCTGACATACTATGCTAAAAATATATTAAAAGCTTGCTATTTTGTTTATTTTCCCTTTGTGGAGACTAATAACGAAACAATTTATTTAAAACATCACCATTTCAGGTTCATGAAGATGTATCAACATGGAAAGCAAAAGTTCATTTTTCTTCTCATCTTGTTTGAGCCAAAGATTCCTTGCAATGATATAATTTTACTATGTGAACAAAGTGCTGGCAAACTACTTCCAAAAAGTTATCATCCACAATAACTTGAGACATATCATAAGCAATAAGTATATTTCACCAAGAAACAACTAATGAAAAATGATTATGCAAACATGATTTCATAAAACTTTATCCAAAAAGAAGTTATATTTAATTGCTATGAACTAATTTAAATTCTTTAAATGTAATACTTAAATACTAAAATGTTAAGTTGTAAAAACTGATAGGAGCAGAGATTCTGTGGCTTATAAAAGTGGTGAGAAAAATCCCAATGGAGAAAAACCCAAATGAGAAATGTTGAGAAGATTGAAAAGCTGTATTAGTTAATATGGAACATAAACATGACTCTTCTTCCTTTAAGTTACTCAAAATAATACAAACCAAACAATGGGCCAATGTAAAATCAGATCACAATTTTCCAAGTTTTAGATTTAAATATAAACCAAGTCTTTCTTTTGCTTCCCCATCTCCTACTTCATTATCTTTGAATTCTAAAACACACATTTTTTGTTTTTAAAATAATTCCTAACTTAATAGCACCTTCCTTCAAATAAACAGGTATTTCTAGCAAAAGGACAGAGTTCCAAGCATGGGAAAATAGGGAAAGTGAGTGACAGAATCAAAAGAATAAGCAAGGAAGATAATATAAAGCAGCTCTGTTTTACCCTGGCTATTTTAAGACTGCAGAACAGTGGTGCCTACTTAGAGGCTGAGGAAAAACAAAACTTTGCATGAACTCTAATTGCAAGCATGTGACCAGTACTTAAACGCCAAGATCTGGGTGTTTCCAAAATGCTTCAATTGTCAAATGGAACCACTTGTTCCTACAAACTCCACCCCATGAGTGTGCTATAAGCTACTGTCCTTCCTTCCCTCCTACTCACCTCCAACCCACAGCTCTGACATAAGCCCATACTCTCTTCTCAACCTCTGCTCTCCTTAACCACCACACCCCACTCTCCAGGGACTTCCAAACAGGTTTTCAAATAAACATCTTCTCCAAGCTTTGATGATTTAGGAGGGCAGGTGAGTAATAAGCCCCCAGTAGTACAAGGGCAGGTTGCTGTAGTGTTTAATTAAACACCTTGTACAGTGATGGAGAGGGAGTACTTACCTACTGGCACAGCAGAATGGCTCATACTAATCCATGTATTCTTTATTTGGCAATGACCACAGCTTCTATGCATGTCATACATTTCTAAAACACTTATATTTATACATATATTTTGGGCAAACACACAGCCTCATTTTATAAAAGACTCACAAGAGATTCAGTTTTCTTAATGATACTCACACATGTGAAGTATACCATCCACCTGAACAGATTTTACGACCATTAGTATCAGTAAAGACTTAAAAAATAGCTCTGCTTAAAACCAACAATGTTCATAAGAAGTGGTGAGAATATATTACTGCCCACAATAGGCATCATAAAAATACATTTTTCTACAATTCTGCCACATAAATTAAATAATAATGCCCAAAACAGGATAGTTTAGGTACTATTTAAAAATTAGACTAAATTTTATAAAAAGTCATTAAAGTTGTTGAATGTAAACTTGCCTTCCTGTAAATTTAAAATTAAAATAATAATTAAAGCTAGTTTTTATCAAATGCTTACTGTGTGTCAGGCACTGAGTAAGTTCTTTTCAAGTCTTACTGAATAAGTAATGCCAATATGGCAAGAAATAGGACAAATTACTTACATGTCATGTGCTCTTGACATTAATTTCACATGACAAGAATTCCACAAATTCCCTCTGTAAATTCCATCAAACACTTACAAAATACTATGCTACAGATATCAAAAGGAAGAAATAAACTAAAACAACTCTGGATGCATGAGTCAAGTCACCTGTGTGGGAAACAGCTCCCAAAAGCTTTCAGGCTAAAATTAAAAGATTTAGGCCCTAGACCCAGTTTCTCCAAGACTGGTACAAGGTGCCAATTTCTTTACAAAAGCGAAGTACAGCCTCTAGTGGCACATGTGAGAATAAGCAAGTCTAGGTGACAAAAATAGTTTGAAATTGCTAGAAAGAATGACCCACCTCAATTCTCTAACCTAATCTGCAGTCCTCATTGCTTATTTATTGAAATCTTGGCGATTTTTCTTTAATGCATAAGAATCGTAAATAAGCAAATAAAAGAGAAAAAGAATGATTTTCCAAGGAAAAGTTTCTGAAACAGTTTCCCATCCCTGCCTAAGGCCAATGGTCTTGTTAAAAAGACAAATGGAAAACAAGATGTTAAAAAGGCATCATTTTCTTTTTTTCCCCCATAATCCAAGTTTAATCCATATTCACCAAACTGTAACTATGCATTTAAATTAGCCTTGGCCACTGGCAGTTGTTCACTGCCTGCACTGGCCTGTTTTTCAAAGCTTCCACTTATAAAATAGACTGCTTTAACAACTTTAAGACTGAGGGTATAACCTTGAGGAGAGAAATTTTATCTTCAGTTTAATTATTTTCTACTGGAAGTTAAGTAGTTTAAAAAAATTTTTTTTTAAATTGAGACATCATTGACATTAGTTTCAGGTTTATAACATCATATTCTTTTATAAGCATCCATGATTTCTACATTTTTAAATAGTCTACATTTTAAAATGTTCTTTAATACCTACATTAAAGGTATATTTTCTCACAACTGCTATGAAACCCTTAAAACTTGAAACAGAAAGTTCATGCTTTCCCAAAGCATCTTCCAATCTGGGTAACAGAGAAGAAAACGATGAGCCTAAGATGCAAATCTGATTCTAATAATGTAAGATTAATCACAGACTCAGTTCTCACAGTTTAATGTATTTTTACAGAAAGGGTGTAAAAAATGCAAAAAATGTAAAAAATGTAAAAAATAGAGGTCTCAATCATCCTAACCTTTCTCCTTATTATTCTTATGGAAAACTAACCTTCTTAAAAGAAAGTTAAACTGCAAACATATATTTGTTATTAAAGATTTCTTCCCTCCTCTTATGTGCACCAGTAGTTGTACTTATTTTTTAAATTCTAAGAGTTATGGTTTATTTATGAAATGTCACCGGGCCAAAATGAATTTAAAGACACTGTAATATCTAACCATAACTGATTTATAATTGCATTCAAATGAAATTCTAAGAAAGTTGAGGCAAAGATTCATTATCTGTTATCATACAAATACCAAGGTTAGTTTGGGTATACTATTATGGTTGAGGCTCTAAGCCAGCTATAAACATCCTCTGGATGTACTATGAGTGAGTGTCCTTTTGATTCAAGGTATCATAAATAGCCCTTTGAGAAAAAGATCTATATTATGCCTGGGCTTTTGAGGGGCTTTAGTCCATTAAAATGGAAAACCAGAGAGATCGAACTGAAAGAAAGAGTCTACCTGTGTCCTCGAATGTCGGACTGGTCACACACCCCTCCAAGTGCAATCCTGTGGAACTCTCGACCAAGAGTTTTGGCCACTGATCTTCCCACACTTGTTTTACCAACTCCAGGAGGGCCAACAAAGCAAAGAATAGGGCCCTTCAGGTTGTTTTTCAGCTGTCTGACGGCCAGGTATTCCAGCACTCTTTTCTTCAATTTTTCCATAGCATAATGATCATTATCCAGAAGAATCCGGGCTGCTCGAATGTCCAGACGGTCTGTCAACCCCAGAAGTAAGCACATAAAAATTTAAAATGGAACAAGTCCTTTCAAGGCTGGCAAGAATCAAAATACATTTTAGAAAAAAAACGTGACAAGAACGGAAGTGGATCTTTCTAAATGAATCTTCAAGGAGACCTGGACTTGGCTTTTTTGCTTAAGATGATTTACTATTAACCGAAATAGTAAGTGCTACACAATTAAAACTCAAGGAGTTAATACTCATATATCATTTTCTAGATACACATTTTTTCTATGGAGACGGAATGTCTATATGGTCTATTTGTGCCAGCATCAGTTCTTTTTATTTTTTTTATTATCACAGATGTATTAATTCTAGAAAACCCAATGACACCCATAAAAAAGAAAAAAACAGTCATCTATAATCATGTCCTCAAGAGAGCATCCTTACCTTCACTCTGGTATCTTATTATAGGTTTTGTGTGTGTGTGTGTGTATGTGTGTGTAGATGTGCTTCACCTATTTTTCAAAATGAGATTATTTGATGCCTTCAAGTTTTGTAAAATGTTTTTTCACTTAGTGTATTATAAGTGTGACCTTTCAGTGTCAAATGTATTTTTTAGTAACATTTTAATGGCTACACAATATTACATTATTTAATTATCCATACTCATTTAAGTAATTCCCTATTGCTAAGCACTTAGGTTATCTATAAATCTTTAGAGTTATAAAGCATGCTTCACTTTGCATCCTTGTAACTAAACCCCAACATATACTCATAATTACTTCTTTCAATTAATCTTCTATAAATGAAAGTGCTGGGCCAAAAAAAAAAAATTAAGATGCCAAGAACTGCCTAAGTTCTATCAATTAAACTTACCAGGAATGTAGGAGTTAGGCTTTGTTTATACAGTCAAGCATTCATCAGGTTTACTGATGTGCCTTCCTACTTAAAATACTCATAGATTAAACTATTAAATAGTCATGGATGTCAGCATGAATTCATCAGCTCAGTGACATCCAGGGTATGGTAATACATGGCCATATGATCATACTGACAGAGAGAGGAAAGGCTAGGAAGGAGGAAAACACACACAAGCCCACTCTTTGAATCAGTTATTTGGAACCTGCTCTGTGTTTTTCCTATGGAGAGAAAAAAAAATAGCCTTAAATGGTAGTTTGGTTCCCAAGCTAGTCTGAAAAAACATAGCTAAGCAGTAATATATGTAACTTAATTATAATACTGTTGCTTTTAGTCTGGTTAAGAGATTTGGAAAGGGAAGAACAAAACTTCTTCCCCCTTTCCTGGCTTTAGACCCAAACTAATGAATATACGAACAAATGAAAGAAGTTTCAGAACAGTTTTACAATGCTAACCCAGACCCTAAAATCTACCACAGGAAACACAAAAGAAAACTTCAGACCAATCCTATTCTGTATATTAAAATACAAGTAAATAAAATCTATTAAGAGTAATCTACTAAGTCCCAGAGGGATTTATTTTAGTTATGGAAAGATGGTTCAATATTAGGTTATTGATAAATTTATTATATCACCTTGTCCAAAAAGAAAAACTTCCCATCAAAATGTCATTTTGGGGATCCCTGGATGGCGCAGCGGTTTAGCACCTGACTTTAGCCCAGGGCGCGATCCTGGAGACCCGGGATCGAATCCCACATCTGGCTCCCGGTGCATGGAGCCTGCTTCTCCCTCTGCCTATGTCTCTGTCTCTCTCTCTGTCTCTCTCTCTCTCTCTCTCTCTGTGACTATCATAAGTAAATAAAAATTAAAAAAAAAAAACACACAAAAAAAACCAAAATGTCATTTTGTACCTTAAAAAGGCACGTGTTATAATGCAACATGCACTCCCTAATTAACATTTAGTAACCTAAGAACAGAACTCCATGTAATTCAGAAAAAACTGAAAATGCTCTGAAGGAATTTCTTCTAAGAAATACACCAAGTAAAGACAACTTTAAAAAGGGACTCAAACTTTTGAGGAAAGATAATTTTCATACTACATAAATCATTATTTTGTGTCTTCTCTATAAAGAATAGATTTTTTCTGAATATTCTTTTTAACGATACAAAATGCATTCTTCCTTTTTTGAATAATACGTGTGGTTGATGTAAATAATTTAAAATGAAATGCATACTAATTCCTTGAGTTTTTAATTGTGTAGTACTATGTCTGTTGATACTAAATCTTTACAACTGGAAGACTGAAATATCTATTGGCCCTTTCCATTCAAGATTGGAAAATCAGCAAACTTTTTCTCCAAATCTTTCCTTTCTGCTTTTGATGATCTCTATTTACATAAGCTTCTTTTTCAAAAACTATGAAAGACATTTTCATGGTTTTGTAACCACACAATAATTATTCATATATAATTCTATACAGGAATAGCTCAGAAGCTCAACATGCCTCCTTTTATACAATATACACATTTTCAGTTCTCTGCTGGAATACTAAACAATGAGAAGTACGTTCATATGGGGCAGATACACGAGTGCTACACATCTCTAATGCTGACCCACATCCAGCAGAGACTGAGTTTCTAGCATGTAGGTGGTCTCCTTCTCCTTCTATAGTTAGGAAAATAACAACAGCTTTGCCCTGTTTTTATATTTCCTTGTTTATTTAAGTAAAGAATAGGAGTTAGCACTCTTGTGTTCAATTAGTTTTCCTCCAAAATCTGTACAATTACACCGTATAACCCTGGTAAAAATTCGATTAGTAAATAAGTTCACTTTTAAATAGGACAAGTGAAAAAGGGTAGAAGCTGAGAGCAACTACTAGGCTACTGTTGGCAAATAATCAAATCTGCAATTTTAATATTCTCAGGGCATTATACTATATACACTATATGCACCTGCATTTCCCTTAAGTCATTAGTTAAATCTTGAAGCACAGAAAAATGTTATGAGATAATATCAAAAGTTCAAAATAAGGCCCCTGGGATTACCCAAGTTATCTAGATGCTCTTAGCACTGTGCTACTGTCGAGAGAAAATAACGGGGTCTGAAAATTGTCACAACTCCACCAACTACATGCAAATAACAATCAACCATACACTACAGGGAAGCTTGGCAGGTGAAAACAAAAGCAGAGCAGTTAAACAACACCTATAAAGCTTAATGTAACTTTCTTCCCTAGGTCTAAACCAACAAATCTCACAGAACATGACCACTTCACTTGAAAAGCAGATACTGGGGCTTTAGTAATTAACAGAAGACTACTGGAACCAAAATGGACTTCCCAACAGCTCAGCTCAAGCAGGATCCATAGCTGACCTCAAACTGGTCAGGTGACATGATGAGGGGCCAATTGAATGGGAACAAACTTGGGCTCTCCTGCATTCATTTCACACTATGGAATTTACAGAAAGGATTTTTTTTTATATAAATTAATTTTTATTGGTGTTCAATTTACCAACATACAGAATAACACCCAGTGCTCATCCCGTCAAGTGTCCCCCTCCGTGCCCGTCACCCATTCACCCCCACCCCCCGCCCTCCTCCCCTTCCACCACCCCTAGTTCATTTCCCAGAGTTAGATTTTGAATAAAGAATTAAACCAAGAAACTCAGCTTCAGTTTGTTTGATAAGACACCTTCAACTAGAAGGCAATGAAACAAACATGAAATAAAGAAATAAATTTACCAGCATCGTAATATTAACAGCTCTATGTATAGTAGCCAAAACCCTGGAAACAACCCAAATATCCATCGAGAGGTAAATGGATGAACTTCTAATTATGCTTAAAGAATGAGAAAAAAGGGAGTACATACTACATCATTCCATTTCTATAACATTTTTGAAAATATGAACTAATCTATAGTGTTTGGGGATGGGGAGGCAAAGGAGGGAGGGATTACAGAGAAAAATGAGAAAATTTAGGAGGTGATGGATACATTCACTATCTTAATTATGATGATGGTATTACAAATACATACATATGTTAAAATGCATCAAAAAGTACCTATTATTTATGTACAGTTTATTGTTAATTGACTACAATAAAGCTGGAAAATAAAGCAAATAAAACAAAACAATGACTGCTTCTAAACAACAGCTTCTACAGTTCACCAGTGCAACCTAATTTAATCTAATGAAAATTGACAGGTTCTCAGAATTTCAGAGAACAAAATGTGAATTAGCCTTTTAATTTTATACAAATATTCAGAGAGAAAAACTTAAAAACAACCCAAAATCTAGAGAATGGGATGAATGCAAATTTACAGAGTATTCACGAAAGAATAATTAGTATAACTTAGAATGCACCTGCTCTCCACAACCAGAACCTAAGAACCGTAAGAGGAATGAAATCTAAGGGTTGTCAAAACAAAAGGAAGATGATTAGGCCAATTTCATCCTAGTACCTAGCCATACAAATTAATAATGTGTTAGATGGGGTGCCTGGGTGGCTCATTTGGTTAAGCATCTGCCTTCACATCAGGTCACGATTCCAGGGTCCTGGTACTGAACCCCGCACTGGGCTCCCTGCTCAGCCAGGAGCTGACTTCTCTCTCTCGCTCTGCATGGTGCTCACTCTCTCTGTGTCAAATACATAAATAAAGTATATATTTTAAAAAAAGCATTAATGATTATCTTGGGGTGCCTGGGTGGCTCTGTCTGTTAAATTGGTTAATCCAAATCTTGATTTTCAGCTCACATCATGATCTCAGAGTCGTGGGATTGAGCCCGCTTTGGGCTCTGTGCTCAGCAGGGAGTCTGCTTGGGATTCTCTCCTTCTCCCTCTCCCCCTGCTTGTGCATGCACGCATGCTCTCTTTCAAATAAATAAATCTTTTAAAAAAATGTGATAGATGATATTTTCCAAAAAAACTAATTAAAAAGGAATATTTTAATCTTAACATTGTCCCAGCATAGTTAACTTAACACATATGTGCTTCATTCTGGACCCTCTAGGAGTCAAAAACAATTTGTTTTTAAGTACTCAATACCAGAAAGGATGGTCCTCTATAGATTAATAGGCAAGTATTTTTTAATATCAAAAATTCAACATTCTAAAATCTTGTTTGTACAGCATATCTTTGTGGGGCATAAATGTGTGCTTTAGAGCTAACATCTTAAAAAATCTCTAGCATTTTCTTAAATGTAGGAATTTTACTATCTAGAGTAACATATCTTTAAATTTTCAAAAGTCAAACATACAGCTATTCCTATGCCAGAAGCAGTTCAGGAAATTAATCCACTCTTGAACTCAGTAAACTTTTGTATAGAATACTAACAAGAGTCTGTCCAATAACAGAAATCAAATAAAATGGTTCTAAAAACAATGAAAGTCAACAGACTATTTCTCATCCCACGAGAAAAGAGCATATCCACAGGAAAGAGAAAAGTTCTACTGAAGGACAGAATTTAAACTCATTTAATAGGTTTTTGTATGAGAAAAACAAACTTCCAAATGGTACAAAAGTTCTATTATATAGCTCTATGTAACTATTTCTTTGAATATAAAAGTTCATCATCTGATTGACTACTGGTATTAAGAAACACATCTTTTTTTTTTTTTTAATTTATTTATGATAGTCACACACAGAGAGAGAGAGAGGCAGAGACATAGGCAGAGGGAGAAGCAGGCTCCATGCACTGGGAGCCCGACGTGGGATTCGATCCCGGGTCTCCAGGATCGCACCCTGGGCCAAAGGCCGGCACTAAACCGCTGCGCCACCCAGGGATCCCTAAGAAACACATCTATCAACAATTATAGAAAATCCTATTTTCTCTAAAATCAGGCAGAAGGCACTTTAATGTAGCACCTTCCTGTTTGATCCCAAGACCTAGATGATACAAGTTCAGCATCTAAATAATTTATGTCAAGAATTATAGTAACAGTAAGATAATTAATGGTGAGTATTTCAACAGGCTCTGCATGAATTTTCTGAGTAACAATCAGATTGCAAAAAGGTGTTATTTTGTTGGCTTACCAGTTGTACTTTTGTTCCAAGGAAGTTCCACCATAAGTTCTAAATAATTTCTAGTCAGAGCATATTCTGGCATTGACTGAGGCATTTTTTTGAGTCTGTGGGGAAAGAACACATAACAAAAATGTTCCAAAACATAGACAACTTCCCTAAAAACACAAAAATCCAGCATCTGCCATTGTGGGTCAGATATATCACGCAAATTTGATTTTAAAAGTCTGGAAACATTTTTTTTTTAATCTAGTTATTTTGTTTTATGATGTACTTACAGAACAAAATTAAACAGATAACTGCAAACTGGGGGTGGGGGGGGATGCGTGGGTGTGACAGAGAGAACACTGTATCTGATCCTATCCTTGAAATAAGACCTTAGAGTATCAGTATCTCACAGGCGAGGAGTCTCAAGTCCCACTTCTCCATTGATATACCTATTGCAATAAGATTTAAGTGCCTAACCATGAGTAACACATAATTACATATGTATTTTTTTGTATCAGAGATAAAATCAGCTCATAAAAGCAAACTAGTATCAGATATTTAATTTAAAAATTTAACTTCCATAATAAATGCAGTGTTTAACAAAGTGTTCTGTCCACAATAGATGTTCTACATTTATTAACTAATGCCAGTCAAGATAAAATATTCCTCAACTACAACTTATGTCCTTAACTGTAAACCTGAGAAAGTCAAATCTTTAGTTACTGAGCATTCACTTAGGTTCATTATAATTCACTAACAAAAGATAATGCAAGTTATAATGTGTCAAGTATAGAGAGAAAAACATTGGTTTTCTATTTAACCCTGAGATTATACATATACCCTGCTGTCATCAAGGTTTCTGTGTACTTTATCTTAAACAAAGAGAAACTGACAGTCCCTGTCCTCTAGAGTTTACCTTCTTCTTTCTAAAGAAGAAAAAAGTGACATGTAAAGTACACAATGATAACTGAACAAACACTGTGTCTAAACAAAGTACAGTTCATTCTTTAAGACAATAAAAAGGTAGTTAACAATAATGATTGTGTTTGACAGTACACTCTAGGTAGAAGAGTTGTTATCATTTATACTCAGCAACTGAGAAAAAGATCAGGGAAACTGATGTCCATTCAGGAGTCTTACGAATGTTTTAAAAATCAGATTCTGGTTGAGGAATGAAGAGTGATAATCTGAAGATTCCACAGATCACAGTTATAATCTGAGAACTTAAAAAGCCATGAAAGATAAGAATTGACGATGGAAAGATAAAATGAATAGAGTGGTCTATAACTATATAAAATATAAGAAAAGGAGAAAGGTCAGAGAATATAAAACAAATAATTCAGCTTTCAGTTTCTGATCCAAAGAAGTAGACTCAAGCTTCCAAGAGCAATAATTTTTAACATTAATATGCAAAATGAATATACCAATGAGTGAATAAATTCTTTTTAGCTTCAATTTACCTTTTTATCTCTTTGACACAGACCTTATGGGCCTGCTCTGGCATACTGGATGTTCGTATTTTTCTCTCTAGCATAACGATGTCATCATTGTCTTCATCCTCGTCATCTTCTAAAGTTCCTGGGATGTGTGTAATTCTCCTAATAGGACGTATTGCTATAACCTAAAGTAGAAAGTACAAGTGTAAAACTGTGTGTTACACAAGGTTGTAATTAGTGATGAATAACATTTTCATAATTAGGGTCTACATCTTTAGGAACTAAGTTCAGAATGATAACTAAGAGGCACAAGCACATATAGAAGCAGCAGAATTTAAAAGTGGATCAACATAAAGTAAACCAACATAAAGTGAACATTATTTAAATATATGCTTATACTATAATGTGAGGAAAACCTCAAGAATGGCTACTAGAAATAATGAAAACATCGAGGAATATCCTTCCTTGAGCTGCTATTGCAGCCACTACTTTCTTGATTATATTACTACTTAGCAATGGGCAAGAGAATAAATCCACTTTTTTCCTCGACATTACAAAATTTCTAACAACTTTAATGTTCCCACCACTGGTTCAATTCTCCTTTGTCTCCAACTCACACAAAAGTCCTTGCAAAATATTTCATCTTACCTATGTCCTTTTCAGTTAACTACACACTATTTACTTGCCTGACGTTCTGCTTTTCCAATAAATGGCTTTGACCACCACTTTTCCAATAAATGGCTTGACCACCACTTCCCTTTCCTTCTTGAGTACTTTAACAATTTGTACTTTATACTTTGGCTTTTGTCTCCATTATGCTAAAATTGCTCTCTGAAATCCAACAACTATCCTCTGTGCCGGGTCAAATGGCTTTATTTATGTTGCCTTTCTCCATGATCTATCATGTTTTAAAACTTCCAAAGTACTCTTCTGAAATTCTCAACTCAATAATATCATGAATCAATACCAGCCATCAATGGAGAAAAATGATGTACAGGTATTTCATTTAAAAGCATAGGAATTGGGATCCCTGGGTGGGCAGAGGTTTAGCACCTGCCTTTGGCCCAGGGCGTGATCCTGGAGACCCGGGATCGAATCCCACGTCGAGCTCCCTGCATGGAGCCTGCTTCTCCCTCTGCCTGTCTCTGCCCCTCTCTCTCTGTGACTATCATGAATAAAATAAAATCTTTTAAAAAAAATAATAAAAAAATAAAAGCATAGGAATTTATTTTTAAACTATTATTGTTATCTATTTAAAACATTCAAACACAAAAAGTCAAAAACATAAGGCAGTAAATAAAAAAGCAATTTTATAAAGATATAAATACTAAATATATACTTTTATTCTATACAACTCATTAGCAGATAAAATTAGTATTTTCAAGCATGAAAAACTGAAAAAAGTTTTTTAAAGGAGAGTTTAAAAAAACACATCATTTTATTATTTCAATGATTTCATTGTTGAGACATAAATACTTCTTAATGCAATCTTTCTCTTGGCTTTTAAAGAGTGCTTTTCAACTCTTAAGGCAAAGAAACTTTTAGGCTTAACTCCAAATATCATCCTCTGATTCCTACATTTTGAAGTAACTGTGGCCTGTTCGATCATTTTCTGGAGCAATTTTGAACTTTCTCTTTAAGTGGCAGTAATATTTACTGACAGCAAGCTGCAGTCTCCTGTGTCTCCCAATATGGAGTGCTCCTTGCTTTGTCTTTCTGCACAAAACAGATAACTAATGATCTGACCTCAAGTCAGATGTAATTCAGATTTTTGCTGTTTGTTTGAAACAGCACACAAGGGATCCCTAGATGGCTCAGTGGTTTAGCGCCTGCCTTCGGCCCAGGGTGCGATCCTGGAGTCCTGGGATCGAGTCCCACATCAAGCTCCCTGCATGGAGCCTGCTTCTCCCTCTGCCTCTCTCTCTCTCTCTTTCTCTCTCTCTCTGTGTCTCTCATGAATAAATAAATAAAATCTTAAAAAAAAAAAGTAAAAAGAAACAGCACGATGTCCTAAAACAGAAACACTAGACAGGCTGCTCCTGTCTCCGCTGTCATTCTCCTCTAGCCTATGTTCTGCTCCTTCCTTAGTCCCACTAGTGAGAAATCATTCACCCTGCTCTTCTCTCTCTACAAAGGAACACTGTTGTGTTCAAATCTCGAACACTTTTCTCAAGCTTTTCCTTACTTTCCAATAGCCTTCAGAGAACTGTCATTTCCAACTCTTGTCCACATTAAATATATTTTCCTCATCTTAACTCTGCCCACACCTAACAAGAGTAAAAGTGGGAGCTCAAGGCAGATTTCAGACAGACCCCATATAAATGTAATGTATAATAATGACAGTATCACAAATCAACAGGGAAGTGAAGAATTCTTTATACTACTGTTGAGTTAAATAAAAAGCTATTTGGGACAATATACAACTGTCATCTTCACTTAAGGACAAAAAAATTATATATAGGTTAAAGAGTTCAATACTTTTTAAAGAAAAATCAGCTAAAGGTAAACTGACAGTGGACATTTATCAAACTACTGGAGAAGACTCTAAGCTTAGAAGATAGAAAAAGATTAACACAGTTGGACTAAATGAAAATAAAAATGTTTATAAGTTAAAACAAAAAAAAAATGGGGATTCCTGGGTGGCTCAGTGGTTTAGTGCCTGCCTTCAGCCCAAGGCGTGATCCTGGGGTCCTGGGATCAAGTGCTACATCAGGCTCCTGCATGGAGCCTGCTTCTCCCTCTGCTTGTGTCTCTGCCTCTCTCTTTCTCTCTCTCTGTCTCTTATTAATAAATAAAATCTTAAAAAAAAAAGCCAGATAAACAATGGCACAACACAGTGACAGTCCTTTTAGGAAACAATTTTGTAGTATGTTCTTAATAATATATTTTTTAAAGTTATAGAACGATTTCAAGAGATGCAGAAAAAGCATCTGCCGAATTACATCTACTCATGATAAAAACCTTCAACAGAGAGCAGGTTTGGAGGGACCATACCTCAATATTCATATACAAAAAGCCCACAGCTATATCATCTTCAGTGGGGAAAATCTGAGAGCTTTTCCTCTACAGTCAGGAACAAATCAGGATGTCCACTCTCACCAATCACATTCAACTTGGTACTAGAAGTCCTAGCCACAGCAATCAGACAACAAAAAGAAATAAAAGGCATCCAAATTGGCAAGGAAGAAGTAAAATTTTTGTTATTTGCAGATGATATACCCTATATTGAAAACAAGCAAGATTCCACCAAAAAACTGTTAGAACTGATAACTGAATTCAGTAAAGTCACAAAATACAAAATCAATGTACAAAAATCTGTTGCATTTCTACACAGCAATAATGAAGCAGCAGGAAGAGAAATTAAGAAATCAATCCCATTTACAACCATACTAAAAACCATTAAATACCCAGGAATATATTTAACCAGAGGTGAAAGAACTGTACTCTGAAAACTATAAAAACACTGATGAAAGGAACTGAAGATGACACAAAGAAATGGAAAGACATTCCATTCTCATGGATTGGAAAAACAAGTATTGTTAAAATATCTATACAACCCAAAGCAATCTACAATTTAATGCAACCCCTATCAAAATACCAACAGCATTTTTTAACACAGATCTAGATGAAACAATCTTAAATTTATATGGAACCACAAATGACCCTGAATAGGCAAAGCAATCTTGAAAAAGAAAAGTAAAGTGGAGGCATCACAATTTGGGACTTCAAGTCATATTACAAAGCTGTACTGATCAAATCAGTATGCTACTGGCACAAAAATAGACACACAGATCAATGGAACAGAACAGAAAACCCAGAAATGAACACACAACTATATGGTCAATTAATCTATGAAAACGCAGGAAAGATGGGCAGCCCAGGTGGCTCGGTGGTTTAGCGCTGCCTTCAGCCCAGGGCCTGATCCTGAAGACCCGGGATCGAGTACCACGTTGGGCTCCCTGCATGGAGCCTGCTTCTCCCTCTCCCTGTGTCTCTGCCGCACGCACGCTCTCTCTCTCTCTCTTTCTCTCTCTCTCTTTCTCTCTCTGTCTCTCATTAATAAATAAATAAAATCTTTAAAAAAATTAAAAAAAAGAAAACGCAGGAAAGAATATCCAATAGGAAAAGACTGTCTCTTCAACATTTGTTGAAGAGAAATTGTTATTGGGAAAACCGTTATTAGGAAAACCAGAGAGTAACATGTAAGAATGAAACTGGACTACTTTCATATACCATATATAAAATTCAAAATGGATTAAAGACCTAAATATGAGACCTGAAACCATAAAAATACTAGAAGAGAACATAGGCAGTAACTTCTATGACATCAGTCATAGCAACTTATTCCTAAATATGTTTCCTGAAGCAAGGGCAAAAGCAACAATACACTACTGGGACTACATCAAAAAAAAGTATTCTTTCTCCACAGTGAAGGAAACAATCAATAAAACTAAAAGGCAACCTATGGATTGGGAGAAGATATTTGCAAATGACATTTCTGATAAATGATTAGTATCTGAAATACATAAAGAACTTATAAAACTCAACACCCAAAAAAGAAACAATCCAATCAAAACATGAGCAGAAGACATGAGTAAATATTTTTCCAAAGCAGCAGCCGGATGGCCAACAGAAAAGATGCTCAACTTCACTGATCATCAAGGTAATGCAAATCAAAACTATAATAAGACATCACCTCACACCTGTTAGAATGGCTAAAATCAAAAACTCAAGAAACAAGTATTGGTGGCGATGTGGAGAAAAAGGAACCCTTTTGCACTATAGTAGCAATGCAAACTCATGCTGCCACTGTGGAAAACAGTATGGAGGCTGTGCAAAAAGTTAAAAATAAAACTTCCATATGATCTACCAATTGCATTACTAGGTATTTATCCAAAGAATACAGGAATACTAACTCAAAGGGATATGTGTGCCCTGATGTTTATAGCAGCATTATTTACAACAGCTAAATTATGGAAACAGCCCAAGTGTCCACTGATTGATGAATGGATAAAGAAGTTGTGGTGGGTTGTGTGTGTGTGTGTGTGTGTGTGTATAGACACACATGCACATATTCACACAATGGAATATTACTCAGCCATAAAAAAGAGTGAAATCTTGCCACTGGCAATGATATGGATAGAGCTAGAGAGTATAATGCTAAGCAAAATAAGTCAGCCAGAGAAAGACTACCATATGATTTCACTCATATGTGGAATTTAGGAAACAAAATGACCGAGCAAAGGGGGGAAAAAAAAGAGAGGCAAACCAAGAAACAGACTCATAACCACAGAGAACAAACTGATGGTTACCAGAGGGGAGTGGGTGGCAGATAGAAGTAGGTGATGGGGATTAAGGAGTTGTGATGAGCACTGGGTGATGTAAGTGTTGAATCACTATATTGTAAACCTGAAAGCAGTATTACACTGTAAATTAACTAAATGGAATATAAATAAAAACTTGAAAAAAAAAGAAACATGAAATAAACAACCACCCTCTTAAATTATTTTCAAGGAGACTCATCAGTTATTTGTTAATTTTTAAAACATGGAAAACACTGGAAACAACACACAATGTTTGGCAAAGAGAAATGCTTAGTAAATTAACCCTTTTGATGATTCCAAAAATTACTAAAAACAAAAAATGAGAAAATATTACCATGTTTAAAAAAAAAGACCAGACATAGAAAAGGACCAGAAAAACCTATTGAATTCAGAATATTATCAGTAATTTGAGTGGTAAGTGACAATGAAATTTTTGTTTTGTTCTTTTCTTTATTCCTCCAATTTTTTTTTTTTTACTTCAAAAAAACTGAATCTCACATCACACAAAACAACTGGAAACATAAAGAAGTAGACTGAAAGAAATATTTACCCGCTTATCATCATCTTGCTTGTGTTTTCTGGTTTTCTGAAGTAATTTCAGGCCTTCAATTTGTCTGACAAGCAACGGTATGGTCATCTTGAACCGTTCCTCCAGACTCACAGCATCTAAAATCTAAGGGAACATGAGTCAGTTAGTAGAATCTTTCAGAAACACGTGCTCCCAAAATGAAGCAGTCAGAGATATGAATTAGATTGTTAAAGGAGACAACTATCAATATTCACAGCTATGGTATGGCAAATACAACCAGATTATTATATTAAATTACCAAAATCCTAAAAAAAGAAAAAAACCATATTGACTTTTCATCTAAAAATAAATCCATGTATATTGTTCCAATAGCAGGAACAAAACATATATTTAAGGTCAACTCTTTCTGTGAATTATTATCTTAAAACTCAGAATGTGTCTACATATTAGGCTTAAACAAATTCTAGTTCTGAAATCGTGAATTTTTATATTCAAGATAGAATAGGAGCACTTTTAACCAACCTCCATTAATGATCTGAGTAACTATGCTCTCCATTCTCTCAAACATCCTTCCTGATGCCCACAGTTCATCCTCTGGTACTCCTGCACTCTTCTGCTCCTATCAGTTGAGTTGTATTCATGTGTTTTGAGTAAGGTGTTTATATACCTTTCTGTTAGATGCACTTGCTATTATAACTTGTTAGATTTGCTACATAATTGTTAAGACATAATGTTTAAAATATTAAATATACTGATAAAATAAAGGTTTCAATGAAAACTAAGTTAAATGTTTTAAGAAGATTCAATAAAGCAAGACTGCTTAAAAAAGTCCATAAAAATTAGTGTGCAAGAGGGGCACCTGAGTGGCTCAGTTGGTGAAGCATCTGCCTTCGGCTCAGTCATGATCCCAGAGTCCTGGGATCGAGCCACACATCGGGCTCTCTGATCAGTTGGGAGTCTGCTTCTTCCTCTCCCTCTGCCCCTCCCCCTGCTCATGCACATGCGCTCTCTCTCCCAAATAAATAAAATCTTAAGATAAATGAGTGTGAAAGAAAACTTACAGTTTTAGGAAAAAACATGCAAATCTAAGATTCTGCATTTTTCATATCTTTACAACTCATTTCTCTTTAAAGAATAGAAACTGAACACTAGAAACTGAAATAAGTAGAAAATGAATGAGTTTCTATTCTCTTTAAAGAATAGAAACTAAACACTAGAAACTGAAATAAGTAGAAAATTATATCATAGGTATGCTTTATATAAGAAACATCATGAAGGGGCAGCCCGGGTTGCTCAGCAGTTTAGCGCTGCCTTCAGCCCAGGGTGTGATCCTGGAGAACCAGGATCGAGTCCCACATCAGGTTCCCTGCATGGAGCCTGCTTCCCCCTCTGCCTGTGTCTCTGCCTCTCTCTCTCTCTGTGTCTCTCATGAATAAATAAATAAAATCTTTAAAAAAATAAAAAGAAACATTATGAAGAATTTTAATAAAGTAGGCCACACAAAGAAAAGGTGACAGCTCCACACGTTTAAAAAATAGAAAGACGGGGGATCCCTGGGTGGCGCAGCGGTTTGGCACCTGCCTTTGGCCCAGGGCGCGATCCTGGAGACCCGGGATCGAATCACATGTCGGGCTCCCGGTGCATGGAGCCTGCTTCTCTCTCTGCCTGTGTCTCTGCCTCTCTCTCTCTCTCTGTGACTATCATAAATAAATAAAAATTTTAAAAAATCCATATTTATAAAAAAAATAGACAAAATATATTTATTTTTTAAGTTGAATATTTACCATTTTTAAAAACTATTCTCCACTCTTTTTCCATAAATTGACAAACTAGTAGTACTGATAATGTAAGTAAAAGAGCTGCCTAAGTATACAAAAATGTAAAGCAATCACTTTTAATAGTTAATTTCAGCGTAAGAGCATTTTAACTACTTTTATGCATCTCTAGTATGTCTTGCTAAAGGTCAAAATTTATATATCGAATAAAAGCTGACAAAAAAACTCAGTATTTAAGAAGAGAATACTGTACCTGAAGCTTCTCTTTGTTGCTTGTTCGGATAATTGAGGTCAGAATGTCTGGTAAAGCTTCCCTTGGAAGACTATCTAAAAGGCGTCTTAGTTTAGCAACTGCAGGGACAGACATATCCAACATTTCAACCAACTACAAGGAAAAAGAAGTCTTTTTAATGAAATCTGGCATTATTTGTGAAATTAAAAAATCAGATTGCTATACAGGCTTAATATTTGGGCCTCAGAATCTTTGTTTCTGAAAGATCACTGGTTACTATAGTCCAGGCATTTTACTGGTCTCAGAAGAAAAGGGAAGCACATTCAAAATATCAATCATAATTAAAAAGCAAAAACAGCTCAGATGTGGATAATACGAATGTTTAAAAGGCTCTGTAAATTTATGATTTTATTTAGAAAAAAATTAAAATTCATAGAAAAATGTTACAATAAACTGCTATCCTTCCCCTAAATTCACCCATTGTTAACATTCTGCCACATTTGCTTTTTCTCTCTGAGCATGTGCACACACATGCACACAGTTATTGCTAAACATTTTAGAGTAAACAGCAGACATCATGACCCTTGTTCTTAAGAACAAAGGTATTCGCTTATATAATCACAGAGTAATTACCAAATTCTGGAAATTTAGTTTAGTTCATGCTATTGTGCTAACCAATGAGTAGTTGAAATACTATTTTTTAGTAGGACATTTGGATTAATGAGAATCAGAGCACTGACTGGGAATAAAACAACTTCCAGGGTATATCCTGGAGTTAAGACACATGAAATTCAAAGCAGCTTTCAGTAGCCAGGGTTGTTGAAAAGTTCTCCTTTTCTTCTGGACACAGGGGAAGACTGCTCTTTCTCACCTCCCCTGAATATAAATGGGGCCATGAGTCTTGCCTTTATCCATTAAACATGAGGGGGAAGTGACAGTTCCTTCTGGGCAGAAGCATTAAAAACCATTGAGAGATTTGCCACATTTCCTTTTCCAGCCTCAGCAAAAACGAATACATGTTTCGAGATGAATCTCTAAGCCTCTGAGTCCCTAAAGTGACTTAATAGGTAGATCAGCACAAGCTCTAGTTTTTGGCATAAAGCAAGAGTGAGAAATACACCTGTGTTATAAAATATGCTGAGATCCTGGAGTACTTAAAACAGCAAAGCTTAGCCCATACTGACTGACAAATGCTGTGCCTCACTTAAGTCACTCTAAAAAGATTTCTGATGCCACTAACAATCTAACTTCTCTGAAGGCATTGTAATGTAGGAACCTATCTATTGCCTGCCTAGAGTCAAGGGAATGAAAGTGTAGTCATGATGCAGCTATTCAGGTGGGAGAAAATCTAAAGATTCTTTGTCCTAAGAATTCATCCTAAGAAAATAAAACAGTTAAAACTTCTTTTCCAAGCACATACTGAGCACAAACTACTTGATAGACACAACATACTGATCAGTAGGGGATGGCTAAAGCAGAGAAGAATTCAAGTTTGGTAGAGCAAACAGAACTATAAGGTAAATGTCAATACAATTTGATGAGCATCTTCTTAACAGGGAGGTATAAAGGATGGTGGAAGCAAGAAAAGGTGCCCTGGGAGCCCACAGGAGTTGGAAAAACATAAATCTGGGAGAACAGAAAGGACAAAATCATATGGATAAGAAATATCAAGATGTGAAACGTTCTGATGGATAGTGTGACTAAAAATGTGATTAAGTAGAGTTGAGAAGGGCCTTAATGTTATCCTAGGAAATTTTATTCTATCATCATTAAAGTCTTTTTCTCAGGAGAGTCAGGCCCAAAACTTCCTTAGAAGGGCTCAGCAGTTTAGCTCCACCTTCAGCCCAGGGCATGATCCTGGAGTCCTGGGATTGAGTCCCATGTCGAGCTTCCTGCATGAAGTCTGCTTCTCCCTCTGCCTCTCTCTTTCTGTGTCCTCATGAATAAAAAATTTAAAAAAAAGTGAAACATGTGAAACATGTTAAAAAAAAAAAAAGGGCTCAGTGGACAGGATGAGTCAGAGAAAAAAGAAATCAGGAGATTAGTCAGGAAGCTATTGAAGAAGTCTACTGATAAGGGCTATGTAATACAGAAGGAATGGCAGAAAGTAACTGGAAATGACCTCAATGTCTAAAAAGAGGAAAGATAAAATTATGATATCCAACTCAATGAAATTTATTAAAATATTTAATATGAAAAGGACAGGACATGGACAGGAAAACAAAATGTAAGACTGAATTTGGACCAAGATCAGAAGACAAACCAATAATTAAACTAGATGCTTGACAGTAGTGAAATTATGGTGATGTTTCTCTCTAAAGATTCCTTTAATGTCATTACAATTCTTCACGTTTAAAATTTCTGTTGATTCAAAGTGGGGAAAAGTAAAAAGCAAAGTACAATCTCTATGAAGTTGTGTCCAGTAGAACAAAGACCCAGGGAGTATTACCCAGGAAAAAAAGAGAAATTGTTTCTCCCTCTAGCTCCTTCCTAAATGCCAGAATTACTTATTCTAGTTCTCAAAATGAAGTTCCTCTGTTCAGAGGAGGGTCTTCCTTTCAGTCCCCACAGAAGTTATAGCTCCAAGGTTTTTATTTTCCTATTGTTTACTACACTAGAAGTGTGTTGTTTCAAATGCCACATTAGGTACGGAAACCACAGACTATGAACACTTGCCTTATACTTTTCAATGATTGAGACCTTTAGATACACTCTGATCCTCACAGATCTAGTTACAGTCATTGAACTGCATCAACGGAAAATAGACTACATTTTACAATATGTTCTGATGAGGCTTCAAACAAGATGGGGTGAGGGGAGGAGCTTTCTATTCAATCTAGAGTTTAAAAAACTGAAATATAGAGGGGTGCCTGGGTGGCTCAGTCCATTAAGCGTCTGCCTGTGGCTCAGGTCATGATCCCAGGGTGCTGGGACTAATTAAGCCCCATGTCAGGCTTCCTGCTCAGTGGCAAGCCTGCTTTTCCCTCTCCTTTCTCTGCTTGTAGCTTCCCCTGCTTGTGCTCACTCTCTGATGAACAAATAAAATCTTAAAAAAACAAAAAACAAAAAAACCCCTTCAAACCTAGAATTAAAAAGTCAAATATTTAATGCACGCCTCACATGTGCTCCCCTCCCAGTATTCCAGTCTCTAATCAAGGCTCTAATCATCTTTGCAAGTAGTCGACTGTAGCCCCGCAAGTCTCACTGTGACCTTGACTTCCGAACCAACTTATGTAACTTGTTACCTAAATGTTCTTGTGACATGTAGCTTGTGCAATATTTTAATTATTATTATTTGGTTTAATAAATATCTGATTCAAAGACACTGGAAGTTATAAGGGAAGCTCTAGAAAGACTCTTTGGAAAAAATTTTAGAAAGCGTTTGCTAATTTTTCCTAAAATGACTTAGGTACGATCTTAGACAAAAGCAAAGTAAAATCAATATATTATATCACTAAATCATTTAAACAAATGCTGCCCTAAAATTTTACCACTCAACAGATTCATCATATCTTAGGGTAGCAAAGGAACTGAAGAAAATAGGGTTTTAAGGAAGAAAATAAAATCAACTCACTTGTACTGCATATTTATAAAACTGTTCTGATAGTTCTCCTAGCTCCTCCCTAGTTTTACAAGTGTTGGGAAATTCCTCAAGCCGGTCCAACTGTTCCACTTCAGCAACAGGATATGGCTTCTCCTTTAAGACCTGTACAATCTGGAAACGGCACAGGCCTGTAATCAGCAAAGTATAGTGAGGCTTGGGCCAGTTACTGCCTACAACCTGAACCGCCAGGGCAGCCGTCCCAATCCTGAAAAACACACAAAACATCAGTATTAGAAATGTTCAGTGTGGTAGAACAGAGACTTGTCTCAAAAGGTGTTGCCTCTTCTGAGAAATTCTTTAAAAAACAAGTAACATCTAACATGGAAATGAATTATTTCTCTATTTAGCAACTAGCAATGGGCTATGAAGTCACTACCATGAGCAAGAGGGGCAAAGCAGGTCATCTCATTCTAATTATAATTAGCATCTCCTTTAAGATTAGGTAGAAATTCCTAAAAGCTAAAAATGTAAAAGTACTTGACAATTACATAGCTTAAATTAATTCTGCTAGGAATGAGGTAATATTATACCAGAACAAATATTAGCATTTTAAGCAAGATGGAAATATAAACAGCGTAATGTTAAACCAATCTAAGAAATCTCTATAACCAGTTTTACTACCAACATCAAGCCAGGTTTTTTACACAATCCCTAAAACTTCCACATACCTGCCTTCTCACAAACTGTCATCAAATTTGAGAATACCCTGTGCTCATGAAAATGAAATTTTTAAATGTGGGGTCTAAGTATTAAGAGGCCACACGCTGTCATGACTGAAGGTATAAACCCTCTTCTATCCTAAGTGGTAAATGCCCCCGATCTAATACTAACTTTAAAAATTCTATTTTATTTCAGTCGTAGTTCCTTATCAGAACATACAATTCTGGCCAAGTTACATATAAATGTAATTCACAGACAAGAAGTCTCATCCAAACTAAGCCAAAAGTGTACAAAATAGATCCACATTCAGAAGACCTGTCTAGATCCCAAACTAAAATTGTATCTCCTCCCTTCAGCCACAGGAAGGGTTGTAATTTCAGAGAAGAAACTAGAATTAAGGTGACTACAACTCTCAACACCCTATGGAAATAGTAATCCTGGAATATTGTACTTGCCCATCTCAAACATACTCAAACATACTGAATCACGTATGAATACAGCATTTGAATATTTCAGGGAATTTGCTTACTTCTATATGCAATCAGTTCTCGACTACTTCCTTATAAATTATTCATTCCATAGACTATGTGGAACCTTTCACTTTCTCTGCCACTCAGTTAATTTTGAGCTCTATCTTTCCTTACCACCTTTTCAGTCATATCATGTGTACCAGGGATAAAAACTGATTTAAACAATAACTAAAACCAAAGTATCAGGAAGATAATTTGGTAGGGAGAAAAAAGATGATACATCTTTAAAACCTGAAATGATTTGGCAATTATCTATTATTTTAAGGTACTTGTGTTGTGGCTGCTTTTCTTCAGTCATTAATGGTAGTAGGCTGTATCTCCCATTTCCTGAAAGCCAACTCAGATTGCCTGAGAAAGTTAGCAATAGCTGAACTGATTAGAGACCAAGACTACGTGGTGAGATGTGCACTGGGTGTTATGATATATGTTTGCAAATTGAATTTAATTAAAAAAAAAGTTAAAATTTTTTAGATTAAATTTAAAAAAAGAGAGACCAAGACCACAATTTCCTGTAGATGGTGCCCATCAATGCTTGCACAATGCAGAGTTCACTGCTCTGTCTACAAGCAACATCAACAGATTACAAACCGGATCCCTGGCCTAAGGGGTTTCCAAACTGGAACCAAGGAGAAACCAGAGAAAGAGAGAGACGAGACAAATCCAAACCTCCAGATTAGGAGATAAATTTAATTACTGGAGCCACGTCATTCATTAAAAGTGAGACTAAAAATGAGTTTTGTTACAAAGCAAGTAAAATACTATGTTAACTGTGAAAAGAAGATGTTCCAAATTGAAAAGAGATTAAGCTAGATTTAGATTATGCCTCTTCTCCTAATGAGATAAAATATATAAAGGTTTTACATCTGTTAATTGGGTCTTACTTTACATTGCTTATAGTTGACTAGAATGTACCCTTTTTAAAGAAAAACATGATCTGTGAAATGGTAAGATGGCTAAAAAGAATACCTGATGAAGACATTTTGGGTGAAAAGCTTTGTGAAAAAGGACAATGTTTAATGTTATTTTAGACAAGTCCTATTGTATATTGGGCTCTAGGTTTTACATACAAATATAGATAGTAAGTAAACAAAATATACAATTAATCTAATACTTCCCTACTATGATACATAACAGACTTCATATCAAGTTAGTCATCTTTCTAAATATTCTAGTTCTTCTATTAATATTTGCTTTATTAGGCATGACCATAAGGCAACATTCTGATTTTGCAAAAGACCCAAGTATATACAATAAATGAGCTGTGTCTTTTCCCTTTAGGGAATAGCACAGTAAATCCACACCTTAATTATTGTGATATTTTACAGTTCAAATAATTTTTGAAACTCCTAACTAGGATCTATTTTCAGAGTTGTAAAGTAATTGTTTTAATCCAAACAAAGTCTGATTATGATGCATATGACTTACGTACTTTGGAAACTGACTTAGATAATATAAGATTCCCAAAAATATTTGAGAACCATCAACTGTAGTGGTGGGAAAATCTAAAAACAGCACTACTACAGAAGGCAGTTTTCTAAGATGAGGATAATGTGTAAATATCCAAACTGGTCTATGCCAACCACTTTAAAGCTCTCCATCTTTCTTGGAATCCTCAATCTTCCAAGTCTTTTTCTGTAATGACACTAGTTTAGTTCAGCCCATATTGAGAAAATATGGAACCTTCCCACTCCTCCCCCCTAAACTCCATTTGTGAAATTTACATTTAAAAGTATCCATTTGGGGAATAATAATACCTCTAAAATACAGGCTTATTGCTCTGGGCCTACAAAAGGCTTTCATAAATCTCATCTCATTACATACTACCTTTCACTCTTGTGAGGAAGGTAGCACCATTTCCTTATTATAAATTAGTAACTGAGATTCAAAAAGGGCAAAGAGATTAGTTATCCATGATTACAAAGATATTGCATAGGCAATAGGGGATCTGAATTAGTTTGGTTTTACAACAAATTTTATTTTTACCACTGTTAACAGACAATGTCAATTTGTGCCTATAATATAAATACTTGTTCACATAGCTTCTGTGTAGCTGAGATACTAGAAAGCATAGCTACTATTAATATTTACTGTTCACATCTTAATTACACTTAAGAAAGAGAAGCATTTCTATCAAAACTCTGGAATCAAAAGTTATACATCTTTGGGAAAGAACAACTGGAGCATCTTTTTAGTTTTCTGTTGTGTCACCCTACTTATATTCTTGAATATTTGTTGATTTTTGGCAAAGCTCATCAACACGATTAATAATAACTTACAAACAAGGAGTCTATTAGGACTGCCCCAAGTTCTAAAACAGTGAGGCTTCTGTTGCTATGGGATTTTTGGTTTTCACTCCTCTATTAAAACTTTATTTCTGGGGGCACCTGGCTGTCTCAGTCAATAGAATATGTGACTCTTGATCTCAGGGCCATGAGTTCAAGCCCTATGATGGGCACAGAGATTACTTTTTAAAGAAATGTTTTTAAAAATTAAAACTTTATCTCTAGTATAAGAAATGCCACTTATAGCTACTTTCCTTAAAAAGAGTAAATGCAGACTCAGGAACATCTAAGTAGAGCTATCCATTTCATACTTGCTAACATAAAAGAATAAATTTTAATGGAACAGAATAGAGAACCCAGAAGTGGACCCTCAACTTTATGGTCAAATAATATTCGATAAAGGAGGAAAGACTATCCATTGGAAGAAAGACAGTCTCTTCAATAAATGATGCTGGGAAAATTGGACATCCACATGCAGAAAAATGAAACTAGACCACTCTCTTGCACCATACACAAAGATAAACTCAAAATGGATGAAAGACCTAAATGTGAGACAAGATTCCATCAAAATCCTAGAGGAGAACACAGGCAACACCCTTTTTGAACTCGGCCACAGTAACTTCTTGCAAGATACATCCACGAAGGCAAGAAAAACAAAAGCAAAAATGAACTATTGGGACTTCATCAAGATAAGAAGCTTTTGCACAGCAAAGGATACAGTCAACAAAACTAAAAGACAACCTGCAGAATGGGAGAAGGTATTTGCAAATGACCTTTATCAGATCTGTATCAATGATAAATGATCTGTATCAGATAAAGGGCTAGTTTCCAAGATCTATAAAGAAGTTATTAAACTCAACACCAAAGAAACAAACAATCCAATCATGAAATGGGCAAAAGACATGAAGAGAAATCTCACAGAGGAAGACATAGACATGGCCAACATGCACATGAGAAAATGCTCCGCATCACTTGCCATCAGGGAAATACAAATCAAAACCACAATGAGATACCACCTCACACCAGTGAGAATGGGGAAAATTAACAAGGCAGGAAACCACAAATGTTGGAGAGGATGTGGAGAAAAGGGAACCCTCTTACACTGTTGGTGGGAATGTGAACTGGTGCAGCCAATCTGGAAAACTGGGTGGAGGTTCCTCAAAGAGTTAAAAATAGACCTGCCCTAGGACCCAGCAATTGCACTGCTGGGGATTTACCCCAAAGATACAGATGCAGTGAAACGCCGGACACCTGCACCCCGATGTTTATAGCAGCAATGTCCACAATAGCCAAACTGTGGAAGGAGCCTCGGTGTCCTTCGAAAGATGAATGGATAAAGAAGATGTGCTCTATATATACAATGGAATATTCCTCAGCCATTAGAAACGACAAATACCCACCATTTGCTTCAACATGGATGGAACTGGAGGGTATTATGCTGAGTGAAGTAAGTCAATCGGAGAAGGACAAACATTATATGTTCTCATTCATTTGGGGAATATAAATAATAGTGAAAGGGAATATAAGGGAAGGGAGAAGAAATGTGTGGGAAATATCAGAAAGGGAGACAGAACATAAAGACTCCTAACTCTGGGAAACGAACTAGGGGTGGTGGAAGGGGAGGAGGGCAGGGGGTGGGGGTGAATGGGTGACGGGCACTGGGGGGGGGGCACTTGACAGAATGAGCACTGGGTGTTATTCTGTATGTTGGTAAATTGAACACCAATAAAAAATAAATTAAAAAAAGAATAAATTTTAAAATGTTAGTACTATCAGGTAATATTTCCTGAATGCCTAAGAATGCTGACATATGAAAATAGGAGTAATGCCTAGACAAAGAGTTGACCCAAATTATGAAACTGTGCCATCTACTATGTAAAAAGTATTCATTTTTTATTGGACAAATGCCACTGAAACTCATTTGGGGTCTTGGAGGACGAAGCCGGAAACAGAAGAGGGACTGAGAAATCAGCCCTGTGAGGAAATGAAGCCATGTACCCTGAAGGAGGTAAGGCTGGAAGAAGATTGGATGACCATCTTGAAATGCATGAAAGGACAGTGTATACATAGTGCTAAATTATCATCCATCACTAAGAAAACAATGAGTCACTCAAGTCCAGGTAAGGAGGGTGCCCTGAGGTGGTTTAAGAGCCAAGTTCTAAGCTGCAGGGATAATCCAAAGCTCCTCCTTTAAAAAGGCTCCTGTGTCAGGTAACATGCCTGCACACTACAGTAAAGGAAGGTGTTCAGGAAGTCAAACCTCTGGCTTTGCTACTTTGTGTGACAAGGAACATAGGGGAACAAATTACTTTTGCTCCTTCAAGACGGAGGCACTGTCACCTGGATGGTCTAAAGGAAACAAGGGGCAGGAGTAGAGCACCTGGCCTTCCCCCTGGGTACCGCCATCATCCGGAAAAGCAGGTAAAATTGAGGAAGGACAGATTGATTTATTGAAACAGAGTAATTAATGTTATGTGTAACTCGACATTTGCATTATGAAAGCTTTTAAAATTTTTTAAGAGTGTTTAAAGGCCCTATCAGAGAAAAAAAGACATTGGGAGCTGGTGCTAAGGAATACAATACAATCTTTCTACACAGATTTTTCAAGTAGCAAACAGTATTTCTAGAATAACCAGCTGGTGTGGTGGGTCCTTATAATGCTAGAATTCTATGAGGAATTGTCAATGTTTGTTTTCCAACTTAAATGACTACATTTTAACAGTGCTATTAATTGAAAACAAAGGCAACAGTATGAACATCAAGGACCAGATTACACATCATCCGAATATTAATGATTACTGCCAAGTAGGAAAATTTAGTTACTGATGTTTTGGAGGGATTTACATAAAAGAAATAAAAAGCATTCAAAATCAGGATATACCAACAAAATTACTAAAATATGACTAAATCTACTTTTGAAATTCCAGTGGGTAATCACCATACATATGCACAGTAGAAATAAAACAAAAAATCTAATCATGAACACTCAAGCAATCAAATGCCTGGGCACAGAAAGCAAAAAATTGTGGCATAACCTGAGGTGTAAGGAGTAGGGTCATTATGTATGGAAATCAGAATCCAGTACAATTTATTAGTGTACTGAAACTTGGAAAGTATCCAATTCCATGCAAACACTAACCAAAGCAGATCAGATGGAAGCCAATATGTTTTCTATGCCTGAGAAATGCAAGGTTTTTACAATGTGGACTAATAAGAGAGTGTTACAGGTTTTTTTGTTTTGCTTTGTTGTAGGAAGAGAGATGCCAGTCCCCTTTCTGAATTTGAAGAATTGTAGACTCTCCTGTTAGAAATGTATATAGTCCCAAGATTCTGGGTTAGAATAAGGCATTCCTAACCCTCTCAAAACCATTCAGTTGGGAATCTCTCCCTTTAAAAACTGGAGGACAGCAGGCAAACAATGGCTCTACACTAAAAACATCTCCGGAAGAGTTAAGGATAGGAGAGGCAGGGGCCGTGGAGGGAGTGTGGAGATAACCGCAGCATTTGTTGAGTATATACTATACCCCAGCACTGTCCAACAGAAATACAATGTGAGCTACACATGTAAATTTAGTAGCCACATTAAAAAGCAAAAAGAAACTGGTGAAATACTAGTATTTTATGTAACCTCGAACAGCCAAAATACTACCATTCCAACACTTAAATCTACGTAAAATTCATTAATCAGCCAGCAAAACATTTCAGGTGCTAAATTTTCAAACTGTAGTGTGTACTGTGTACTTACACCACGTTTTGGGGAGTCTAGTCACACTGCTTTATCGGGGACACGGGACTTGTGCTGAAACCAGCTGAGGCCTCAGCAGACCCAGACAGGTGGTCACTCTCGTATCTCAGTTTGGATGGGCCGCCTGTGCCTCGTGGCGACAGCACCGGACTACTACCAGGCACGGCACCAAGATCATTTCACTTAATATTCATCACACACCCAAGAAATGGATACTGTTAAGGTTCCAAAGAACAGAGGGAGGAGAAACAGGCAGCGGCGAAGCATCTCACCCAAAGACAACCACCAACGAGGGCCACGGTGTAGGGCAATCTAGTGGTGAGCCTCGGGTGTACGAAAGGGGAATGTTAAGATAAGAGACAAGGAGCGCAGACAGGAGATGAGAAAGTTCCAGAAAGGGAGCGGAGGGAACAAGCGAGGGGGAAAAGAGGCCTTCGCTTAAGAAGGCCAAAAAAGACGGGGAGAAAGGGAAGAAGGGGTAAGACAGAGGAGGCGCCTGTAAAGCTGAGCGCACGGGCCTGGGAGTCCGAAAACCTGGGGGGCGGGGAGGAGAACTTCACTGCACGGCGGCGGCGAGCTGCACGGTTTTCGCCGCTGCGTGAGTTTTGCCTTTTAGCAGCCAGGGGGACGGACAGACAGCTGTCACCCCCGTGTCACACGGGAGGTAGCTGCAGAGGCAGAATCTGGCCCCGAGGGCCGCCCCCGAGTCTCAGCGCCCCGAGGCCGGGCGGGGCGGGGCCGGGCCGGGCCGGGCCGGGGCCAGGGTCCGGGAGGAGGCCGGGGAGGAGGAGGAGGAGGAGGAGGAGGAGGAGGAGGAGGAGGAGGCCGAGGCCGCGGCCGCCGCCGCCGCCGCGAGGGCCGCCCGGCCTACCTGTGCAGCGGCGGCAGGTCCTGCGCGTCGCTGGCCGGGTCGGGCGTGTTGGGGATCACCCCCAGGATGGTGCTCTGCAGCGAGGTGCCCTTGAGCAGGCGGCTCCGCACCAGCTGCAGGTTGCGGGCCGAGTCCACGCTGGTGCGCATGGTGGAGCCGGGCAGCAGCACGCCCTCGTTGGTCAGCAGCAGCGGGAGGCGTCTAGGGATCTGGATGGGGCTCACCGACGACATGGCGACAGCTGTTCGCGCCGGGGGAGCGTCGGAGAGCAGGACAGCGGGCTCCGCTCCACCCGAGCGGCGCCGTCCGAGCGCCCAGCCGCCGGCGCGCCCGCCCCCACTTCCGGCCCCGCGCTACGGCCCGCCCCCGGGCTCAAACCCCGCAGCTTCGCGCTGCCCCCTCGCGGCCCCGCCCGGCAAAGCGCGAGCGTTCCCACGCAGGTGCCCCAGCGCGGCGGGCGGCGGGCGGCGGCCCGGGCCTGCTCTTCCCCTTCCTCCCGAGGCCCAGCCGCAGGCCTCTCCCCTGTGTCGAGGCTGCAGAGAGGATCAACCTGCGTGAAATAGCTTTCATCTTTCATTCGAATTGATTTTACATTCACAAAAATGTTGCAAGAAGAAAAAAAAAAGTTCGATTACAAAAACCAGGAATTAACCTCACTATTATTTATTTAACCTGTGGACCTTGCACAGATTCTTGCCAGTGTTCTCACTAATGTCCTCTTTTTCTCTGGTCCACGATCCCACTTCATATCTAGTTGTGATGTCTCCTCCATTATATAGGTATATTTAAATACGTGTACTTTTTTTTTTTTTAATTTAAAGAGTTTTAGGTAGTTTATCATGAGGGACAGAGAGAGACAAAGACCTAAGCAGAGGGAGAAGCAGGCTCCATGCAAGGAGCCCATAAGGGACTCTGTTGCGGACCCGGGATCACGCCCTGAGCCCAAGGCAGATGCTCAACGGCTGAGCCATGCAGGCGTCCCTAAATCTGTGTACTTTTTAAAGAGTATCCATCAGTGTGTTCTTCTGTAGAATATCCCTCAGTTTGAGTTTATCTGATGTTTTCTCGGGATCGACATTAAACTTTTTTTTTTTTTTTTTACAAAAAGACTATACAGGGCAGCCAGGGTGGCTCAGCGGTTGAGCACCTGCCTTTGGCCCAGGGTGTGATCCTAGAGACCCAGGATAGAGTCCCACGTCAGGCTCCCTCCATGGAGCCTACTTCTCCCTCTGCCTGTGTCTCTGCCTCTCTGTGTCTCTCATGAATAAATAAATAAAATCTTAAAAAAAAAAAAGACCGTACAGAAGCGATGTGGCTTTCTTTATGATATGTGATGGTTGAAATGTATTATTAATGGTGGCTTTGACCTCGATTACCTGGTAAAGGAGGTATCTCTGCCAGGTTTCCTCACTGTAATTTAATAATTTTCTTTATATAATAACTATATTGTACAGACTTAATATTATGTTCATTAATTGGAATTCACGTTTCCCTTATTTACTCAATATTTTATGTTAGTAAGGGTTCATGGACTTTTTAATGGGTTATAACACAATAATATTGTGTGTTTCGTCATTGATTTGTTTTAGATTTGTCATTAAGAGCTTCTTCACATGGGTATTTCACTTGGGTTGGGCTATATGTTGAAGGTGGAAAATTTTTCCTGACTCTGAAGTCCAGTAGTGCTCTCAGAATCCAAGAGGGAATGGAAAGTCCATTCAAATCAACAAGCATGGGCAGCCCCAGTGGCTCAGTGGTTTGGCACCTGCCTTCAGCTCAGGGCATGATCCTGGAAACCCAGGATCAAGTCCCACATCGGGCTCCCTGCATGGAGCCTGCTTCTCCTCTGCCTGTGTCTCTGCCTCTCTCTCTCTGTGTCTGTCATGAATAAATAAATAAAATCTTTTTAAAAAATAAATAAATAAACCTGGTGTTTACATGGCACCCTTTGTCATGACAGGTTTCAAAGAACATTAAAAAAAACACACACACAAAAATCAACAAGCATTCACTGAGGGGCTGCTAAGTACAAGGCCCTGAGCTAATTGTGGAGGGGTAACTAGTATAGCATAAGATAAGATCTTACCCTTGGCCAGGGGGAGGGCCCTGTAGACAGCTGAGTCTGATGCAGGGCAGGTGGAACTGTATGTTTCTGTGTGTGTGGCAGATAAGGGAGAAGAAAAAGCAGGTATGCAAGCTGCTGTGGTGCAGACAGAAAGGCAGGAATATGGATGCTCCTGCCTAAAGCTCTTTCTCTGACATTATCCCACCTTCTTTCATTCATTACACAATATTTGTGGAATACCTGCTGTGTACTGGATATTATTTTAGCTGCTGGGGATATGTCAGTGAACTAAATAGGCAAGGTTACTGCTTTCATGGAGTTGAACTTCTAGGGAGGGAAGCAAATAATAAGGAAGGAGAGTAATTTTGGATCATGGTTAAGTCCTTTAAATGGTCAGAGAAGGGTTCACTGGACAGATGACATGTGAATTAGGCCCTGTTTATGAAGAGGCAGCAGTGCAAAGTTCAGGGGGCGGGTGCCCAGTGGGTGCTGTTCCAGGCCAAAGAAGCAACAGCTGCAAAGATTTAATGGCTGGAACAAATTTTGGATTTTTGAGGAAAGTGCTCCTGGAATTCAGTGAGAGTCAAGTCTGGTGGTATGGATGAGATGAGTGAGGTGGGCAGGGTCAGGTATAGATGGCTATGTAAGAGGTGAGAAGTTAGGGTAAGGAGTCTGTAAGAAGTTTTACTCTAAGCGTGATGCAAGCCATTGGCGGTTGCAAGTTGCAGAATAACATTTCTGGTTTATGTATTTTGTTTGTTTGTTTTAAAGATTTATTTATTTATTTATTCATGAGAGGCAGAGACATAGAAAGACGGAGAAGCAGGCTCCTCACAGGAAGCCCGATGTGGGACTCGATCCCCCGACCCAGGATCACGCCCTAAGCCCATGACAAATGCTCAACCTCTGAGCCACCCAGGTGTCCCTGGTTTATGTTTTCAAGAGACTATTTTGGTTGCTGTGTGGAGAATGGAATATAATGGTTTAAGATTAAAAGCAGGGAAACCAGTTATGAGGTGGTGACAGTTGTGCAGGCAAGAGATAATGAGGACTTAGATTGGAATTTATGTTTGACTGTAGCTTCAATGGAATATGCTGATGGATTGGACATGATGAAAGAAGGAAAAATGGTTGTCAAGGATATCTCCTAGATTGGGGCCTGAGCCACCAGGCCTAGAGACAAGTTGAGCTGAAGATCCTGGATACAGTAGCAAGCTCTGGACTGTTTCTCTGGATGTGCATTGAGGCATTGAGTACCCTGCCCTGTGGTAGGCTCTGGAGTGATTAAAAAAAAAAAAAAAAGCATGGCCCAGGTCCGCAAAAGCTTACCTTTTCATTGAGGTCTCTCCAAGTGCAAGAGGGAGAGGCCCAATTTTTTGAGGCTTCTTGTGTTTTAACAAAGAAATTAAAAAACATCTTAGAAACTTTGTGATGTCTGTGTGTGTGTTTTTTAAAGATTTTATTTATTTATTCATGAGAGATATGGATAGATAGAGAGAGGCACAGACAGAGGCAGAGGGAGAAGCAGGCTCCTTGTGAGGAGCCTGATGCAGAGCTTGATCCCAGGACCCTGGGATCACGACCTGAGCTGAAGGCAGATGCTCAACCACTGATCCACCCAGGGGCCCACTTTGTGATATATTTTAAAACATTTATGTTTAGTGCTTTTAACCTACGGACATATGCTCCTGTTTCCACAACAGCAATCACAACAAACTAAATTGGTATTCTAGTCACTTAATAATTGCCAGATTTATGTTTTTAAATACACACTGCACTAAGGAAGCTGTGCTGTGGGAAAGGATCCATGTTTAAATTGCCTGCTTGAGGGATCCCTCGGTGGCTCAGTGGTTTAGCACCTTCCTTCAGCCCAGGGCATGATCCTGGAGACCTGGGTTAGAGTCCCACATCAGGCTCCCTGCATGGAGCCTGCTTCTCCCTCTGCCTGTGTCTCTGCCTCTCTCTCTCTCTCTCTCTCTCTCTCTGTATGTCTCTCTTGAATAGATAAAATCTTTTTAAAAAATAAATTACCTGCTTGATGAACACATTCTTTTAATCCTGTGTCTGTACATCTGTGATAGGATGTGTCAGCCCACCTAGGAAAGCATCAAAAATCTACGTGTGAAGTCTTTAGAGACCCAATGGCTTTCCTGGCTTCTTCTTTGATAGGCTTTGCATCTGCATCATTTATTTATCTATCACATATTTATTGAGCATCTACTGTGTGCCGAGTGCTACTCTAGATTCACAGATACATCAAAGAACAAGACAAACTAGGTCCCCGGTTTCAAAGAGCTGACATTCTAGTGAGGTAGGCCAAAAATGAATAAGCCAAGAAAGAAAGAAATGGCCATTTGAGAAAGTGGTAAATAAAGAAAATAAAGCAGGAAACTACATAGAAGGTGATAGAAAGAGGAGTGCAATGTTCAGTAGGGAAGTCTGGGAAGGTTACTCCCAGGAGATGAGACCCGAATGGTGAGAATGGACTAGCTCCATGAGGAGCTGGCAGGAAAATGTCTTTGGCAGAGCTTAGGACTAGCACAAAGATCAAGATGGGAAGGAGCTTCCCAGTTCCTGAAACAGAGAAGGCCTGGCATTGGGATGTGGGAATTCAGCCATCAGGAAGATGCCAGTGATGGCCTCCAAAGACTATTGAAACTAGCAGAAGGAAATGGACCTCTGAACCAGGAAAGTTGAATAGCACAGGGTGTGAATCGACTGGAAGGGAGAGGTACAGAAGTAAGGTCTAATCACCTAAACCTCTTCAGGGTCTGGCTTGCAGGTGTCTCTGCCCCTTGCCCTGAGTACTCTTCTTACCCTCTGGTAGACCTTCTGGCCTGAGACACTACATCCTGCTGGATAAGGAGTAAGCACAATAAGGAAGTAAGTCAGCACCCCAAGACAGCCCTTGCCGCAGGTTACCTTGCTGCAGTGCACCCCCACGCCCCTCCGGCTCCTGTTCCTAGACTGTTTGGTCATATGCAAATAGCCTATATCTAAACCAAGTTTATAATCAAGACTTTTTCCACCCCCAGGGGTGGGAAGAACACAGCTGGAAGCATCCCTTTCCTCTGTTTTATTCCCGTCATAGCCTGGTCCTCAACCTGACCGCAGTGATGGTCTTGCCACTAATCAGAGTGAATAAAATTCCACTCTGGTTCTTCCCAAGAGGAAGTTAGGAGGCCAGGGGACTTCTCAAGGAGGGAATTCCCCTGGCCAGTCAAGGAAGCAGAAGTGGGCCTCATTGCTTGGAAGGTGGCCTGTGCTGATGTGTGGCTGGGTTCCAGTTATCATGAGATGCGCCATTCGTGTTCTGAAAACATTATGCATTTTTGCATTTTCTTAATTTCCATTTGGTTTGCTTTTCCCTGTTGTTAGTTTCTTGGACAAATGCCATATAAACAAGGGTCACACCTTTGAAACCCTCACTGCATCTCTCTGCAGGGGTGTCAAAATAAATTAGGTTGGCAAATCAGCCCGAGCTGAAAGGCAAGAGATCATCTGACTTCTTTATTTGGTGTCTAAGAACATGGGCGTCCTCCCCTATCTTCTGGTTAACGAAGAGAAGATAAATGTTCTTGTATAAACATTTAAAACTCTGTATAATCCAGTCATCTAGGGGATGCCTGTGTGGCTCAGTGGTTGAGTGTCTGCTTTTGGCTCCAGTTGCGATCCCGGGGACCTGGGATCGAGTCCCACATTGGCTCCCCACAGGAAGCCTGCTTCTCCCTCTGCCGACATCTCTGCCTCTCTCTCTGTGTCTCTCATGAATAAATAGATAAAATCTTTAAAAAAAAAATCCAGTCATCTAAATCATTCCTTTAAGTTACCCTCAGTAAAGGATCAGTCTCAGAGCTGCCACCTGGCAGAGGAAGAGTCAAAGTCCCGGGCACAGTGTCCTCTGCTCCTTAGCTTTTCCAAATGATGTCTTTTGTGTGCCTGGTCACTGCCAGCGCTGCTGTCCTTGGAGGGTCTGGTATAGGCCTTCACGTAATGCGTTTCTGCTTGCCTGTAGCCTGGTGGTGTTCCAGGCCTCTGCGGGCCCCATACTCTGCTCTCAAGACCTTTCTATGGTTCTCATTTATTTGCAGTGTGGTTAGTCCACTAAGCCCCCTCAGCAGAGTTTTGAGCTATTTCTTGTTCCCCTCTGCATCAAGGGAGCCAGGAAATCTAACCCACAGACCCAGCCAGCATTAACTTAGGGGTGAATTGGAAAAAGATATCCCTGGTGGGAGAAGGATTTGGAAGACACTGTTTCCAGGTGGATCTGCATTGGTCTGCTGGAGCCTGTTTCTACTGGTTCAGGAGAATGAACTGTCATGTTTCAAGAATTCTGAGAGCCCAGTTGTTCAACACAAACATTATTAAAATTAAATTATATAAACTTGCCATTAAATATATCAAAGATGAAGGTAATCTTCAAAATATATCACTTTAATTATTTTACTGCATGTTACAATTATTTACGTTTTGGAACTACTTATATCTATTGCATCTGTATGGTGGAACTACTACAGAATGATGTAGCACTATCTCTCTTCCCAACTTCATATTCAGTGGTCATGTTGGTAGCTTAAAATCAGCCATGGTGGGAATATTTACACCGCAAAGGAAAAAAAGAAAAAAAATTTAAAAGACTTATAAGACACGCCTGGGTGGCTCAGCGGTTAAGCATCTGCCTTCGGCTCAGGGGGTGATCCTGGGGTTCTGGGATCGAGTCCCACATCGGGCTCCCTGCATGGAGCCTGCTTCTCCCTCTGCCTATGTCTCTGCCTCTCTCTCTCTGTGTCTCTCATGAATAAATGAATAAAATCTTTTAAGAAATAAAAAGGCTTATTAGCTGGGGCTTTTTTTAAATTATTATTTTGTTGATTGTCTAGGCAGAAGAAATAAATTCAGGAAATGCTAATAATGCAGGTTAAATCTATAAGCATGTGGTGCCTGAAGCCCTTACATTGTGAAGAGCACAAGGGAATGAGGAAGTATTGTTTCAGTATTTGCAAACTATTGAGGTCATTAACAAATGAGTGAAGATCCAACCAACATACATCTTTGATGTCTCATTTTCCTCTTATTTATTAAAGTAAAGCAAAATGTCAAGCAGCCTTCATGTTGGAACTACACTCGGTCACCAAATGCATTAGTAGGTTAGTTAGACATCTGCCAGCACACAGGAGATGGAACCGCTTGCCAGGTACACACAGTTTGTAATCTAGAATTTGTTGGCCTCCACTTTCTGCCCCTGCCATTACCTCTGCTGGGAACCTTTGTGTAGTGAATAAACTGTACTGCAGTACGCTATGGTCCTAGCCCTAGGGACTTCTATTGAGTCATGCCAGTTTTACTCTATTGTGTCTGTCCTAGACTACTTCCTGGCAGCCAACAACCTGGTTTCTTCCCAGAGTCTTAAACAAATAGTATGTGACATTCTCTCTCTTTCTTCTTTTCTGCATACCTGAAAGATTCACTTTTTTTTAAGAAAAATTTTTATTCAAATTCAATTTAATTAACGTATACTGTATAATTAATTTCAGAGGTAGAATTCCATGACTCATCAGTTGCATATAACACCCAGTGCTCATCACATCAAGTGCCCTCCTTAACGCCCATCACCCAGTTATCCCCTCCCTTCCCCTCTCCCAGCGACCCTGTTTGTTTCCTAGAATTAAGAGTCTCTTACCCTTTGCCTCCTTCTGTTTTCATTTTATTTTATTTTTCCTTCCCTTCCCCTAAGTTGATCTGTTTTGTTTCTTAAATTCCACATGAGTGAAATCATATAGTATTTGTCTTTCTCTGACTTATTTCGTTTTCACTTTGACCATCATGTGGCTGGTAAGGCTCGCAGCCTGATGCCCTGGCTTGCATTCTCTATACCAGAATTTCAGAAACCGAGTCCACCACTTGTGATTGTGATTTGCTGAAAGGAAGTGGGATGGAAAGGAATGGGATGAAGTCATCTGGAGAATCTTCTCCGAAGACTGGTTCGTCTGCAAGTTTATTTGCTTGAAGCGCAATCCAATATTTGAACATCAAGAGCCGTATCTGAACACCAGGACTGACTACATAATTTGTGGGGCCCGGTGCAAAATGAAAATGTGGGCTCCTTGTTAAAAATTATTAATAATTTCAAGATGGTGATAGCAGGCTCTTAATCAAGCCAGGGCCTTTCTGCATTCAAGGCTCTGGGAGGCACAGGTCATATTCCATGGTGCTGGTCCTGTTGTATACTCTTTTTCCATTCCTTCAGAAATATCCCTAATTACTGTCCCCTTTCCCGACTCAGGGACACAGATGCTCTGGGCGTGAGTCACATTCAAAGAGGCAAAAATGAAAAGCATTTTAAGATATTTTTAAAATACCTTGGGTTCTTTAAATTTCCTAAATTGTGTCCAGCTCTACTCTCTGAGTCTGTGAAAACTAAGAGAATGGCAAAACTGAATTTCTTTCATGTATTTATCCATTCATTTATCATTTATTTATTGAGCACCTCTTATCCTCCTAGGACTGTCCCCAGCTCCAACGATTCAATAGTGAGCAAAACAGACATGTTTTTGTCCTTGTGAGGCTCTCTATTTAGAGCAGGAAATGAACTCTAAACAAATAATGATTCCATGAATATATAATTACAAACTGGGATGAGAGAAGAAGCATGATATCATGAGCAGGCCTAGCCCAAGTTATAGGGATGACATTGAGTGATTAGAGATGTTTTCCCTGAGTGAACTTGATCAGAGGCCTGAGTAAATATTTAGAAAGGGGGAGCCAAGCCCATTCCAAGCAGAGGGAAGAGCAGGAGCCTAGACATGGCCTACCCTTCTGTATGACCCCAGCACACTCCCTGCAGGAGAATATCCCTCTCTCCTGACTGCTCAGGGTTGAATCTAAGCTGCTCTAAACTGCTGCCTTTTCAGATTCTCTGATTCTTGGAAACGGAGGATTGGCAAGACAGCTGAAAATGACCAAGAAGAGGGTGCACTGGGTACCCAGATCTTCTGGTGGTCTCGTGAATCTCGGCATGGACATGAGCAATGACATGGTTTCAGGGCTTAGCTACGTAAGTTGGTCACCTTTGCATCAAAATACCAGGAAGCTAAATTGACAGGGTATTCTCAATGGTTACAAATTAGATCAGAAAATTTTGTGTCATATTATTCAACCTTGATTTCTTTTAATGGATCCCGGGCTTCTACAATTAGATGTATCATATGCCCTGGTCGTGACACATCTTCACAGTCGGTCTATCTATCATCGATCAATTATCTATTACTTATTTATCTATGTATTTACTTATAATAGTACAATAAACACCTCTAAACCCATCACCAACTTAACAACTCGAACCTTGCTATTGGCCCTCCCCTCAATTCACTCCCCAACTTCCCTACCTGAAGTAACTACTTTCCTAAATCTTTTCTTATCAATCCCTTACTATGCTTTTAAGGTAGTATTATTTATTCTATATGAAGTTCTAGATAATATTTTTAAAAATTTTAGTTGTTTCCCGCTTTACTAAAAGGGTTGCATGTAATGTTTGGGGGTTACTTTCTTACTTATTGATTTCTTTTTAGTAGGTTTACCTTCAGAGGGTGACTTGGTCTTTCATTCTGTGGGTGACTAACTGTAGCTCCCTTTATTCTTGTCTATAGTGTGTATCATAGATAAGAACCTGGGGAGGTGGAGTGGCCTGCCCAGAGTCACCCAGTGAACATAGGCAGAACCAAGGCTGGGCCCCAGTTGTTCTGACTCTTGGCCCACTGCTTATTCCCTACCCCGCAACCTTTCTTTTGTTTATTTTCTAATTGAGATATAATTGGCATAAAACATGTTAGTTTCAGGTTGTACCACATAATGATTCAATATTTGTGTAAAGTGTGAAAGAGTTACTACAACATAACATCCATCACCTCTTATAGTTATAAGTCTTTTTCTTGTGATGGGAAATTTTAAGATAAACTCTTAGCAGTTTTCAAGCCTACAACACAGCGTTATTAACTATAGTTGCCATGCTGTGCATTAATTACAGCCCCATGACACTTATTTCATAACTGGAAGTCTGTACCTTTTGACCTCCTTTGCCCATTTCACCCACTCCCCACCCCCACATCTGGCAACCACTAATCTGTTCCCTGAGTACTTCTTTACTGTTGTCATTGTGTTTAGGTTCCACATATAAGTGAGATCATACAGTGCTTGTCTTTTTCTGTCTGACTCTAGGAAATCAGGATATATAAAGCTTGATTTGGGAAGATCCATTGTCCTTGGGTGGCTGGTCTAACCCTCCAAGATAGTATTTATGAGGTCGGAAAACTGATGCTCTTTCATTTTTTCTTTCCCAAGAATACTTATACTGTAGGAGATGGCTTGTGGAGCCGGCAGGTGAAGAAGCCTGAAGCACCAGCGACAGTCCTCCCTTGGGAGAAATACAATGCTGCCTGGAGAACCATGATTCCCTTCCGTCCCAAGCCAAAGTGAGTTCTGATGGGGAGCTGAGGGGCAGCACCCATTAAGGCAATGTTCCTCAGTCCTGAACACCTAGATCCCTCTCAAAGATGTATCCACATGTCTCCACACAGTCATGTCACCCACTACAGTCACATACCTCCAGAGCAGCCCAAGGACATCAGGGAGGCAGAGTCAGCTCATTCACTCCCTTGTTCATTCATTCCTTCCTTCATTCATCCATCCATCCAACAAGGGTTCATTGAGCACCTACATATGCCAGACACTGTGCTAGATAGACCTCAGGGGAACAGTGGTAAGCAAGACAGATGTGATCCTTGCTCATCATAGACCACACACTGGGGAGAAAGACAATAAGCAAGTAAACTCCTAACCAAACATGGTTACAAGCAGCTTGAAGATGTATTATGAAAAAGTGTGGGGGTGCAAAGAGACAGTGAAACAGCGACAACTGGTAGCTTCTTGGTATGTAAGCTGGGCCCTGGAGGATAAACAAGACTTTAGTAGGCCAAAGTAAAGGGCAGAGGGAATAGCATGTGCAAAGACCCGGCCTTGAGGTGGGAAGAACACAACATGACATGTTCAGGAATGGCAGAGGCCAGTGTCACTGGAGTCATGTGTGATAATGGGCGTGGCATGAGACAAGAGGGCCACAAGTCTCCACAGGGCACATTAGGTATGTTAGTCTTTATTCTAAGAGAAATGGGGAGCTGTTGAAAGGGTCAATTGCCCAATGGTGTGACCCTTAAACTTTAAGGAAATTCAATGTATCCTTTTCCAGTATACATAGCTGAAAATAACCATCCCCAAATGTCTGACTTATAAAACCTTGCTCTCAGGGTCCTGCACAGAATCATGTACATATTCATTTATTCATTGTATATGGACAAGACCTTAATATTCTTCTAGGCTGATTCTTTAGTGTTTTGTCACCAGGACTCCATTGTTTTTGTTTTGTTTTGTTTTAAAGATTTTATTTATTTATTCATAAGAAACACAAAGAAAGAGAAGCAGAGACATAGACAGAGGGAGAGGCATTGGGGACCCCGATGTGTGACTAGATCCTGAACCCTGGGATCACAGCCAGAGCCAAAGGCAGACACTCAACCACTGAGCCACCCAGGAGCTCCAGGACTCTGTTTTCTATTTACAATCCTCTCTTTTCTCTCACATGTTTGCTAAGATTTTATCTATCAATGGCCTGCAGTTGTTTTCCTATTTTTAAAAAAACTTGAGCTCCCATCACATTGTTCCCACTAGATTGTCCTCATCTCCATAGAGAATAAGAACCTGGGTACTTAGTGCTCCTAGGCAGCCTCATCTAGAGAAACATTCTGCTTCTGTCCAGCCTTCAGCGTAGCGGTACCTGCTCAAAGATTCTTGCCCTTTCTCTGCAATCACTCATGGTTTCTCATATCTGGCAATACCTGGTACCGATCCCTACCCTTCCTTCAGTTCCTTCTCTCTCCAGCCCTGTCCAAAATGCACAGCTGCGGGGGCAGTGTGCAGGCAGTGGGGCGGAGAAGGGGTATGAATGAAGAAGAGCCCATTGTCCAAAACAAAACAAAAACATGCTGTGTGTTTGGCATTTTTGTCTTCTCGTCTTTCTCCCCAAGTCTCCTTTTTAACTGAATTTTCTTCAGATTGAAACAGATAGCATTAAAGGCAACTTTGAAAAAAAAGTAGATATTATACACAATGCCAACAACATCTCCATCCAGTTATTATTTCATGTTTGTGAATCATTTCCAGGGATATGATCTTATCATCCTTATTTCCTCTTAATTCCATTCTTACTGTTTTTGTAAAAATTACATAAGCAAAATATAGAAAAAATGAAACAGTGAGAATTTCTTTTCCTGTACCTTTACCAATTCTAATCCCTTTGTCAATCACTATTAATAATTTGATATCAATGTATCCATATGTACAGATATAAATTTTTATATATAAAAACATAAATGCATATATACATATAATACAAAAATATATACAGGGGCACCTGGGTGGCTCAGTCGGTGAAGCATCTGCCTTCAGCTCAGGTCATGATCCTGGTGTCCTGGGGTTAAGCCTCACATCCTTGGACTGTGCGCTCAGTGGGGCGTCTGCTTCTCTCTCTCCCTCTTTCCCTACCCCCACTTGTGCTTTCTCTCTTACATGCTCTCTCTCCCTCTCAAATAAATAAACAAAATCTTAAAAAAAAATAATGACAACTACATGACCTGTGACTTCTCTGCTAGGTTTCCTGCCCCACAGCCCATGGATGATGCTGGCCTGTTCTCCTACCTCACGATGTCATGGCTCACCCCCTTCATGATCCAGGGTGTACGGAGACGCTTGAATGAGAACACCATCCCCCAGCTGTCAGTACATGATGCCTCAGACAAAAATGCTAAAAGGTAAAGTCATATCGGGTAAGCCACCAGATTGGTTAAAGGCCATGTCTTGCAGGATAGGTGACCAGAGATGCTGAAGAGTAGCAAGCAGCGCCCGTCTTTAGACAAAGAGTATTGGCTCTTCTTTGGTACCAAGAAGCCTCACTGTAGTTCATGAACATCCCGAAATGGCACACATATTTTATATATTAGGCTAGAGACTTTTGTCTGGAGCAAGAATTCATGTCTTTAATCAGATTTACCTAAGTCATCACTAACTAGTTGTGTGATTAAGTTTCCTCACAGGGATTAAATGGGGGTAAAATGAATGAGTGATTTCAAATGTCTTATATTCATGTTCCTACCTCTAGCTACTTCATGAGATGCCAGGTAGAGAATGGCATTTTCCAAAAGTCTTCCAGAAAATGGTAGTCCCATAAGACATTTCCTGAAAAGAGCATTCATTGGTTAAGGAAGTTTGTGAAATGTGGCGTACTATTGCCAGGTCTCAGATTTGTTTACAAAGCAAATTAGTGGACTTAGGGCACTGAGAAAACAGAAACTGGTTCAATTTTGACTCACTGTTTCTCAGAATTATTCAGTAAAAGGAAAAAATAATGTTTTCAAGGAGCACCTACCCCTGCCAGATATTGATCAGAATCTCACTGACTAGCAGCTATGATGTCAGACAAATCACTTTACCCTTACAGAGACCCTGTGTCCTTATGTATAAAATAATGGATCATAAAATTGATCTCATGGTCTCTCACAGGATTGTTTTAAGAATCAAAGGAGAGGATAAATTCAGTTTAAAGCACATGGGAAAATGCCTGGTGCATAATAGGCACCAGTTAGGTGTTTGGTTGTTCTTCTCTGACCATTGTGAGTACAGGGTTTCCTGATTTATGTCTATTAGAGTGCACTGATTCTGCCATTTTTAAAAAGATTGTATTTATTTATTCATGAGAGTCACACAGAAAGAGGCAGAGACACAGGCAGAGGGAGAAGCAGGTTCCCTGTGGGGAGCCCCATGTGGGACTAGATCCAGGACCCTGGGATCACGACCTGAGCCAAAGGCTGATGTTCAACCACCGAGCTAACCAGTCATCCCAATTCTGCCATTTTTATTCTATGACTCAGTATGTCTGTCTACCAATACTTTTACTGTCACAACACATTCGGATGTTTATTTGAAAAAAAAAAAACAATGATCTGTGTGTTCACCCCTTTAGAAGGCTTCTTTCTCTGTGTTCCCCATTGAGCAAGCAGAGTTCTGGGGTACATCTTCCCTAGCTCTTCAGAAAAACTGCTGTTACTTCCCGGATGATTTGTTGACAAGCTGCCAGCCGTCCTCCTCACTACCACTGTCATCAGCCCAGCAGCAGAATCACCATTATCAGCACCATCATCTTCAGTATGACTATCATAATTCTCCGTAGTTTTCATTTTGGTCTATAGTCACAGAGCATTTCCCCATCCGTCGCCTCCTTTGACCATCACAAGGAAATAGGGCACATGCTTTTCCCCTGCTTTACACATGAAGAGACTGAGGACTGAGAGAAGTAAAATGTAGTTCCCAGAGTTATATAGCTAATGAACTTTTTGGAGGCAAAGTGTGAAGGCAAGTCTTTTGAACCTGGTAATCATGGCCAGAAATGGATATGGTTGCTAGGAGAGCTGAGGGTAGGCTACAGGACACATGAACTTACTGAGTCAAAGTTGAACCAACCCTAGAGCTTTTTGTCTCTGTGTATTGGGCCATATGTGGAGATAGAGCTGGAACAAGGAGAGGTGGCCCCATAGTTTGGCCCAAATAATATTACCCATAAGCAATACAATCCTCTAACACATACAGGTGTCATGGGGACATTTCTGCTTTATTGACCTAAGGCCCAGACCACCCCCTCCTCCATCCCCACAAGTTATCTGGCCCACACTGATGAGTATGGGATGGGGCAGTTGTTTTATAACTCAAGAAGGAAGAGGGAGCCTGGGGTTTTGATGGCAGGTTAGGGAATGTAGGACAGGAAAATTCTCGTGGTATTTGTTCCTTTCTGACTTTAGGCTGGGCATGAGTGTCCACGGCTGCAGGAGTAAAGAGCAGAAAGGGCTAGAACTGGCTGCCATGAGAGACTTGGCGGCAGAAGATGAGAACCAGAAGCTGACAGAGCCGTTTGAGAACATGCACAAGCAGAGCTGCTCTTGGGCCCTGGGCACAAACAGTGGCCCGCCATGCTCCTGCTCCATAAGGAGTGGAAGCTACAGGAAGTCCTGGAGTCCCTTGGTTTAGTCCTTGGTGTTCTCATCATGGACAGTGGTAATTGCTTTCCAGACAGTGGAACCAAACATTGTGGAGCAGGAGCCAGGAAGTAAAAGGGCACATGCCAACATGGTGACTGCAGCTGACAGATTGGATCATGGATGTGCAGGAAGCATCCAGAGCCAGATTAAGGCCCTGGAAGCCAGAAGCACCACAACGATAATTTTCAGTTACCTGCTCCTGCATCGAACATAATATAAAATTAAAAAGAAGGATAAGAGAGTTGACAAAATTCTTAATTGCTGTCATGATAACTTCTTTGATGCTTTTTTTTTTCAATTTTTTCCCCGAAGAAATGTTTTCAGTGTCCCTGTTTTGCGGATATAATATGAATAGCCTAGGCATCTTTAGCTCGAATTGGCAAAATAAGGGGACACTTTTAATTAAGTGATCCAACATTGGGGGCACCCTTTGGGGGACTTTGAAATAATTGTAGGAACTTTTTGGAGGTCAGAGTTTTAGGTTTTATGAATCTTAATTTGTGTATAAAAGCAAGGTATCATTATTCAGGGTAACAAAATAGTTGATGAGGGAAAGTTATCTTTTTTATTTATTTTTTAAAAGTAGGCATTGAGGGGAACCCTGGGTGGCTCAGCAGTTTAGCGCCTGCCTTCAGCCCAGGGCGCGATCCTGGAGTCCCAGAATCGGGTCTCACGTTGGGCTCCCTGCATGGGGCCTGCTTCTCCCTCTGCCTGTGTCTCTGCCTCTCTCTCTATGTCTATCATGAATAAATAAATAAAATCTTTAAAAATAAAAATAAAAAAATAAAAATAGGCATTGAGCCTAACCTAGCGTGGAGCCTAGCACAGGGATCAAGACCCTGGGATCAAGACCTAAGCTGAGATCAGGAGTCAGATGCTTAACTGACTGAGCTACCAGGTGCCCTGAAAATTATTTTTTTATGGAAAAATTCAAACTGTTAAAAAAAAAAGAAAAATTCAAACTGTTAAGTACAGAAGGAGTGCTAGAATTAGAAATCACTGTTTTACCAGCCCTAATGGAAGTGGATGGAATGTCATCAATGATGATGAATGAATGGCAGTGAATGAGTCAGGCTAATACATCTTAACCCACTGACACCCTGAACATTACTAATAGAGGAACACCACACATTGCAAAAGAAGTATACTATATCACCTATTAAATATTTTTGCCAGTGACCTGAATTCTGAATTTCATTACACCTCTAGATCTAGCTATGAGTTTAATAGAAAATATAAGGCACAAAAGGTTGTGTTAGACAACACCACTAGGATGCAATCAGTCAAATCCAGAATAAGGGGAATTCTATGGAATAAATGACCCAGTTTCTTCAACAAACAAACAGCAGAAAATGCAGAGAAGGAGAAGCTGTTACAGGTTAAAAAGAGATGCAAGAAGCCTATCAGATTCATCACTGAAATGCAATATAAGGACCTCGTTTGGATTTTGAGTTTGGCCAACTGATTATAAAAACATGTTTTTGACATAATTAGAGAAATTTGAATACAGACCAGGTATTAATTACCATCAAGGAATTTTATTAATATATAATTAATGTGTTATATTATATTAATATATGATTACTAGTTATTAATAATTAATAGCAATTAATTGATAACCGTTGTATGTCACTGTAGTTTTTTAAAAGGCCTTATCTGAAAGAGATACATACGGAAGCATTTGTAAATGAAATGATATATCTGGGATTTACTTGAAATACTCTATGCAAAGAGATTTCACTTGACTCAATTTTCCTCTTTTGAAGGCTCTGCCTCCTTTGGGAAGAAGAAGTCTCAAGGCACGGGATTGAAAAAGCTTCAGTGCTTCGAGTGATGATGAGATTTCAAAGAACAAGAGCTCTTTTTGATATATTTCTGGGTTGCCTCTTCTCTGTCATGAGTGTGCTAGGGCCAGTAAGTGGCTGGCTTCGTGAGGTTTGGGGGGCTCCAGGCTTTAGAGATTAGTACATTCAAGTCCATACCTGGAGTTGGGAATTACTTGTCTCAGTTGCTACACAGAAGAAGACAACATTTAGAGGTAGTAGAGCTAGTAGTAGTTAAGAGTGTGAGTTCTGCAACCATTGCTTCGGTTCAAGCCGTGGCCCTTAACTTCTGGATGACTTTGGGCAATTTGTTTAGCATCCCTGTGCCTTAGTTTCTTCAGGGAACCCCATCACACTCTTTATGATGGACCTCCTGGAAACCCTCATGATCAGAATGGATCGCATAACATTACCTACCTCTCAGCGTGAACTTAAATGAGATAGATATATAAAGCACTTAGAACATAGCCTGGCTCAGTACAAGCCCGCTGCTTCGAGAAATGGCTGGACAGCTATGGGAGTGTAGAAGGCAGAAACTAGTGGCTTCCATGTACCATGATTGAGATGAATCAACTTTATTTCCCATCTTCTAGGTCCTCAGCCTAAGGTTCTTTTTTTTGGTTTTAATTTCTCCCTTTCTTTTTCTTTCTTTCTTTCTTTCTTTCTTTCTTTCTTTCTTTCTTTCTTTCTTACTTTCTTTCTTTCTTTCTTCCTTTCTTTCTTTCTTTCTTTCTTTCTCTCTCTCTCTCCCTTCCTTCCTTCCTTCCTTCCTTCCTTCCTTCCTTCCTTCCTTCCTTTACTTCTTTCTTTCTCTTTAAGACAGAGAGAGAAAACACATGAGAAGGGGGAGGGGCAGAGGGAGAGGGAGAAACAGACTTTTGGCTGAGTACAGTGTCTGACATGGGGCTGGATCCCAAGACCCTGGGATCATGACCTGATCCAAAGGCAGATGCTTAACTGACTGAGCCACCCAGGCACCCTGTCAGCCTAAGATTCTGATTTCAGAGAGTAAGTCTCATTATCCCAGCTGGGGTCACATGCTCACTAGTTAGCCAGTAGAGTGTAGGGCACTTTGACCATCCAGCTTAAACTGCATGCAAGAAGAAAACTGGAGCACTGACTAATCCAAACTCCTGTTTCCTTCTAGATGCTGTTTATACCAAAGATCCTGGAATATTCTGAAGAGCGGTCAAGGAATATTGCCTATGGGGTGGGACTCTGCTTTGCCCTCTTTTTCTTAGAGTGCCTGAAGTCACTGAGTCTGTGCTCCTGCTGGGTCTTAAGCCAGCGCACAGGTGTCAGGTTTCGTTCCGCTGTTTTCTCCTTTGCTTTTGAGAAGCTAATACAATTCAGGTCTCTAACACACATCACCACTGGAGAGGTAAGTGCCTGGCACCTTACCGGAGGCCATACTTGCCTAGACTTCCTCCAGACATCCCTGGCTTAGGGGCCAAGGGAAGGAAGAAAGGGAGTTAAGAGAGAAAGGAAACAATTCCTAGGATGAGTGTTGATAATCATCAACAATTGCCTCTGGGGACACAAGAACGGTCAACACTAACCCAGGGAGATGCCACTTGCATTCAGAGGCTTTCGACAAAATTTATTCATTCATTCAACACATAGTTACTGAGGCCTATTCTGGACCAGACCCTGTGGTAGGCCCTGGGGATATAGCAATGAACATAAAGACACAAACCATCAGAGAAGCACCTTGGGAAGTGCATCCCCTCAGCCATCCTGGGGAGGAAGGTATGGAAGGATAGGCTGGCTCAGGGAAATCAAAGGAAAAGCAACTGCAGATCACCTCTTTGAGTGTTAATTCTTACCAGCAAAGAGGAGTACTTAGAGCTGCCTGGTTATTGTTATTGGTATATCAGTTCCCTGCTCTTTCTTCTACAACAAAACACAAATATCCAAATGTTGACAGAGAGTGGAAAAATATGCTCCAACTTATGACCCACAACCATGGGGGTATTGGAATTTAGTATATTTAATTTCATGTTCCCTATTTTTCTATTGCTTACCAGTTGCCTTGAGGAGCATGAATTACTTTTATATTGAAACAGACATTTGAATTCTTAGAAAAGACAACACTGCTCTGACCCTTTACCCTTTGTGATCTGGCATCAACAACTGTCCAATCTCACCTCCTCCCATCTCCCCTCCTTCAGCCCTATGTTGGCTTCCTCCCTTCCACCAGGCGAAGCTAAACTTCAGTCCTCAAGCACACCAGGCATTTCCACCTCCTGGCAATGTTGCTCACATTGCCCCCACCCCCTGCTCCTTTATAATCCCATTCATCCATCATGGATGTCCTCTCCTTCATGACCCCGCCATCCACCCCCAGTCCCCACCAAACACAAATCTGGTTGTCCTACTAACACGATCCCCCTTTAAAGACACAAACCCTTTCAGATTCAACACTCTGTCCCTGAAAATGCCAACATTTGAATTACACAGAACAGACGATATTTAAAAAAAATCTACTAAATTAACCACTGCCATCAAGCGGATGCTTCCTCTAAACCCAATTGGTAGCAAACGTAAGATATTTGTTATCATCGTTGCCATTATTCTTCACCATTTTATTAGTCTTGTAACCTGAGGCCACTTGTTCAGTCTCTTTGAAGCTGTGGAATAATAAGACGAGCCTTATAGGATTGTTTTCTCATAGGAGTTACTACACATAAAACACATAGAGAGGGGACAGCAGTTCTGAAGTATTAAATTGTATTACTGACTTCTCTTAGGCCTTGAGCATGGGCGCTCCCTGTCATCCTGCATTTGACTGGAGTTAAGATCCATGGCAGCCCTTCCCCATGTTTATCTTAGGAGGAGTCATCATCATAATTGCTGACTTCCACTAAGCCAGACATTGTCCCCAGGTCTTTGCCTTGTTAGCACAGTCACTCCTCTGACAACCCTCTTCCTTGGTGTTTCAGTTTTTGTCTCCATCTTCACAGAGGTAGAAACTGAGGCAAGAAAGGAATAGGAAACATGTACAAGGTCACAGGATTGGCGAGCAGCAGAGTCTGGCTGCAGGGTCCAGGCTCTGAATCAGTGTACTTACCTGCCTTGCCAAGTAGAACTTCCACACTGAGGTCTGCCCTGGTTCCTTTCCTGTGTGCCTCTACCTTGAGCACTTGCTGTGTGCAAGGCCAATTTCCCCCAAACATCCTCATGAACATAAGACAAGATGACCCACTTGAAAGTGGGGTTGGAAGTAGCTACTCACATGAGTAGTCCCAGAGAGCTGCTTCCATAAGTTTTACTCTAAAATTAATTTTAAAAATATAATAAGACAGGGATCCCTGGGTGGCGCAGCAGTTTAGCGCCTGCCTTTGGCCCAGGGCGCGATCCTGGAGACCCGGGATCGAATCCCACATCAGGCTCCCGGTGCATGGAGCCTGCTTCTCCCTCTGCCTATGTCTCTGCCTCTCTCTCTCTCTCACTGTGTGCCTATCATAAATAAATAAAATAAAATAAAAATTAAAAAAATATAATAAGACAAAATCAGAGAGGGAGACAAATTGTAAGAGACTCTTAACTACAGGAAACAAACTGAGGGTTGCTGGAGGCGAAGTGGGATAATTGGGTGATGGGCATTGAGGAGGGCACGTGGTGTAATGAGCACTGAGCGTTACACACAACTGATAAATCACTGAATTTTATCTCTGAAATTAATAATATGTTATATGTTAATTAATTGAATGTAAATAAAATTTAAACAATTAAAAAATAGACAAAATAAAAAACACTTGCACCCATTCACCTTGGAAACTAAAAAAGGTGGAATAGATGACTCCCAAGACCCGGTCACTTCCAATATGCCTAGAGGTGACCACCACTATCAATTCCACTTGTGTCCTTCTAGACTTTTCAGGTACACATGCAGGTTTTCTGTAGAAAGCATATTGTATCTTGTGTTTTTACATAAAAACACAAAGTTTTTATTAAAAAAAAGTACGTGTTTTTACATAAATGATACTACCTTTTAGAATGTTCTGCTACTTTGTTTTACTAATAGAGAGTATATGATACAGTTTTCTGAGTGAGTTTTTACATCAAGGATGCTATTATTTGTGCAGTTTTGAATCTTTTCTTTCCTCTTCACTATGTCAGCCTTCCATATTAACACATATCGATCTCCCTCGCTCTTTCTCAACTATGCTTACTTATAATTATAGCATTTCCTCCCCCTCCATTTTTACTGAGATATAACTGACATATAATGTTGTATTTGTCCAAGGTATATAGGGTAATGATTTAATCTGCATGACAAAATAATCATTACCGTAAGTTTAGTTACCATCCATCGCCTTACATGGTTACATTTCCCCCCCCCCCCCCGCAAAGAGAGCTTTTAAAATCTACTAACTTAGCAACTTTCAGATATACAATACAATATTAACTCTGGTCACCATACTTATTTATAACTAAACGTTTTTACTTTTTGATCACCTCTACACATTTACCCCACCCACCTTAGAGCATTCTCAATGTGGCAAAATGAAGTGTTTTATATGCATTGTCTCATTAGTTGTCACATCAGTGCTATGGAGTAGGTTGTGTTATTATTCCCATTTTATTGCTATGGCAACTGAGGCACAGAGAGACTGGGTAATGTGTCCTTGGTTCTACAGCTAGTACATGACAAGTCTGGGGCATGAACTCTGACAGTTTGCCTCAGGACCCAGTATTATCTAATACTCCTTAGGTGGATGCTTAAAAGGTGGGAAGGTTAAACTTTCCCCATGAATGGACATTTAGAATGTTTCCAGGGTTTTGCTGCTATAAGCACAACTACAATGAAAGTCCTTGTGCGTGCTTCCTCTAGCATTTGTGAATGTTTCTCAACAGAGAAATGAAATAGCCAAGTCATGGGGTTTGCGCAATTGTTAACTTTCAAAGATACTGTTCAACTCCCTTCTGAAGTGGCTGTACCAAGCTATGCTTCCTTATACACTTTACATTTTTGTAAAGATTCAACCTGGAGCACATCCTGGGAACTGGAAGGACATAAATTTAAAGTGAAAAGGAAATCGCTTCTTAAGGCATTCAGATAGGTCATTCTAGAAGACATTCATGATTTTGATTCTTAAATATTTGTTGATTTGGAATGTCAGCTTTTATGTGATACAGAACTGGGCAATATGTGTTAGGGAGCAGGGAAGTGGACAGAAGAGTCTATAGCAAAATGGAAAAAAAAAAGGATAAAAAGACTTAGTTCCTGCCTAAAAAATTCAGCCAGTAGTAGTAATAGTAGTAGAAGAATGAATAGAATAGAATGAGATAGAAGACTAGAATTAACTCTCTGGAGAATCTGGGTATGAGAAGTCATAGCAAGAGTATAGTAAAATATCACTTTTGTGAAGCAAAGTCTCCTTCTGCAGATGCTTTATATTTCATTGACATCCTCACAACCACCATATAAAGTGGGTATAATTATTTCAGCTTTCATAGGTAGAGAAGCTGAGACTCAGAGTGGCACAGTAATGGGCCCAGGGTCATACAGAGAGAGTAAGAGGAGAGTTGTGAACTTGGTGTTTTTGTCTCTTGCACCCTGCTCTGAAGCCTTCCAGTCCCGTGCATGTGTAGCCCCTTCCAGGTATCTGAAGAGGTGATAACCTGTGCCCTCGGGTTTGCTGTCTTACAGGCCATCAGCTTCTTCACCAGTGACATAAACTACCTGTTTGAAGGGGTGTACTACGGTCCCCTGATCTGGCTCATCTGCTCGTTGCTGATTTCTTGCACTCTCAGCTCCTACTTCATTCTTGGACCTACTGTGCTCTCCGCCACTTTTTGCTATCTTCTGATTTTGCCAGTGGAGGTAACGTCTTTCTTTGCCACCCATTTGATGTTAGATGGTCCCTGGAACCCCCAAAGCCCTGGAATCTGGGGTACTAGTGAGTGGAAATATTGACTTCTGTTGACTGTTCATTCCGTTGTGGTTACGTTTCAGCTTTACTTTCTGCATCAAACTGTTCTCTGGCCACAACATTGGCCAAAGACACAAGAGGTGAATAGGATGGGCAACAGTCCATCTCACAGATCTGCTTCATGGACTTTCCTTAATAGATATCCTCCATATAAGGGTTTGGTTCCTTCTCTTCTTCCCAGAATGTGGTAATGTAATAGCCCAGATTGCATTTAACACTTGGCCAAGTACAGTATAATGGGAGAAGGGAAGCAAATTTGCTGACAAAGACTCAGGTAAAATAAAATTGGACCAAACGAGAAGTGACTTTTGGAGTATGTTTCCTCTGGATGATTGAAATCAAAGGTTTTCCTCTCTCAGCACAAGTATTGTGATCAAAAGGTGATTGTAACTGTTGGCGGGTTTAGGGTTCCGCAAGGCAGAGGAGTCATGTTTCTGTTTAGTTAGCCACAGCCTGGCTAACTGACATAGGAGAGAAACACTCCCAGGATGTGTGAGGCAGGTGCCCTAAGGCAAGATGGAGACATTTCTATTGGAAAGTCTTCAGCAGGACCCTAGAACTTAGAGTCACAATGGTTCCAATGGGGCAGGATTAAATCTGGGTATTTAACCCACATCTGGATCTTACCTTTGGACAAACTCCTAGTTGCCTTACTTAGGCTGGGCTGAACTCTCCTGCCCTTGTCAACAGAAGCTCTTGCTGCATCCTGACTGCAGGTACTCCTGATCAAAAAGATTGTTAAGATACACAGTCATTTATCTGAGATCAGCGACCAGCGCATCCGTGTGACCAGTGAAGTTCTCACCTGCATTAAGCTGATTAAAATGTATGCATGGGAGAAACCATTTGAAAAAATAATTAAAGGTACAGAAAATCTCTTTTTCTGCTCAGAGCCTCAGGATGTCATGGTGGGCCAAGCCTCTCATCTTTTGGGGGGTTCTTTCATGCTCTGGGAGTGTTCGGTGCTCTTTGGAAAATGCTCTTATAACTGGTTAATTTTAGTGCCCCCTCCCTTTTTTAAAAATATCCCAGACCTCAGAAGGAAGGAAAGGAAACTATTGGAGAAGTCTGGGATCATCCAGAGCCTGACTACTGCCTCCCTGTTCATAGCCCCCACAGTGGCCACAACGGTGATGTTCCTCATCCACACATGCTTACAACTGAAACTCACGGTTTCATTAGTAAGTGCTTGGAATGCTTTGTTCCCCTCTCCCCTCCCCCATATTGATAGGGAGCTTTCCTTATGTGTCTTTTCTTAGACCTCCCCGCTCAGAGATCTGAAAGTTTGCAAACGGATAATAGATGTAGACTTCGATTTTCCAGACTTTTAGGATGCTCAAACTTTGTTCTGTCTCAATCTGCCTGAAAGAACTGACATCTCTTGGACAGCAACCATGGGAGGGAGAAATGAGAAAGTCATCTAGGGGCACAGGGGAGGTGAAATGTGTAGTTAAAAACCTGATGATTCTGATACATGCCTTGAGGTTACGAATCCTAAACTAAGGAGTTTCTCTGAACCCAAAATAGAGAGGCCCTGGGAATACACCTTATGTAAAAAGCTAGAGCTTCTTTTGTTTTCCCTTTGTGCTCTGACACTGGCCCAGAAAAGCAGTGGCTATCTTTTTGGGGTAGCATCCCAGTTCCCTGAGGAGAAAAGTTGGGGTGCTGCTTTGGGAGAGGTTTGAATCCAGGTGGATTTGGGGCAGAGCAAAGCAAGAGGGAGAGCATTTGAGAGTCTGCAGCCAAGGGTCCGTTTGTGCTCCAGGCAGCAGGCACTTCTCCTTGGCCCAGACATGCATTAGAAAAGCACCTGTGAAGGCTTGAGGGTGGACGCAGGGGCTTTTGTAGGAGAAGTTCTCAGCAGGACTTTGGGGTTACACTGCACTCACACAGTGAAGGATGAAGGAGGGAGTGAAGATGCGGCATGGACTGGAAAGTCTCCAAGGTACTTTAGGTCATATTCTGGGATCCTGAGTGCCGAAGGTGGTGTGTTGTAGTCAGGAAAAGTCTCCAGTAGAGAGTGTGGTGTGAATTAGGCTTGAAGTGCAGGGAGATTTGGAACATTAGAAGACTAGAGTATCTAAGGCAAGGAAGATTAAATATAATTGTAACAGCAATAATCGTTCCAAGCTACTTTGACAGTAGACAAACTTTCTCGTGTGTACTTTCTCAGTGTTTCCCCACCTTTATTCCTGCACCTGCTTGATGATTTTGGCAGTTAAGCCAACAGGAAAATTCAGCTTGTTGGAGGAGGGGCCCTGGCCAAAGTTGCAGAACTATATCCAGTGGCTAAGCTATAGCAGGAGCCAGGCCTACAGAAATGGAGTTGCCAAGATGACTGCTTCTTCCCCATCCCCACTCTTTCCAGTCTCCCCAGAATACTGGCTTGGTCCCTACCAAATGATGGACCAGCCTATCAGAAGCAGCAAGGTCTGGCCCTGTGGCTTCCCCGACTCAGGGATGGAGGCCTCAGGGGGTGGAGAGGGAAGGACAGGGATGTGACCCTCACCACCTCCACCTCTCTTTGTCCAGGTCTTCACTGTGGTGGGCACTTTGATTCCCTTGCGGCTGTCAGTATTCTTTGTGCCCTTTGCAGTAAAAGGCCTCACGAATTCCAAGTCTGCAGCAGAAAGGTTTAAGGTACGTGGACTGTTTGTGTGGCTCTGTGTTGGGAGCTCATTTGCCTTTAGTTATATGATGCTCCCCCTGAAAATGACCCCAGGGTGAGACTGACTCCAGCCTTGGTGGAGAGGAATTGGTTCACTCAGTGACCTCCTGTACCCAGGCTTGGGTGGGGGCTGGGAAGACAGATGAATCAGGCCCCCTGGGGAGATCTTAGGATAGTATATGCAAACCGGATCCCAGACAGGAGGTCTACAGATCCTGTCCAGGTTGGTATAGGGTTACCCTGATGGTTTTGCTTTAAAAAACAAACAAACAAACAAACTATATTTGTGACTTGCATTTTGAAACCTGGAAATTTTATATTAAAATCAGATTTCTGGATTTTCCTGAATAACCAGAAGATCTGGGAACATTAGACTCACATTTTCCTGTGGCCACAAACAGCTGGAGCTGGGGTGATAGTTGCCCTATTTAGGTGAGGCATTCAGATACAGTTTGCTGTAGCCTCCATGGTGCCCTATTGCAGCTCCAACACTGGGGCTGTTTTACTTACCATTTATCCTCTTTTTTTTTTAATTTAAAGATTTTCATTTATTTATTCATGAAAGACACACAGAGAAAGGCAGAGACACAGGCAAAGGAAGAAGCAGGCCTCCCCCCAGGAGCCTCATGTGGGACTCAATCCCAGGACCCCAGGACCACAACTTGAGCCAAAGGCAGACACTCAACTACTGAGCCACCCAGGCATCCCTACCATTTATCCTCTTAGCAAATGATTTCCTTCACTTTTTTACATAGCTTGTCTTGCTCCTATAGCATCTGAGTTTAAAAACCCTAATCTAAACCAATTTTTAAAAGATATTTTAGTCATCTCATTTAAATGCATCTGGTTCCCAACTTATTCATTCACTCATTTATTCAAAAAGTATTTATTGAACACCTATCTTCTGCCAAGTACTGAGACTGGGAATTCTACTCTGAGCCTGACCAACAGGATCCCTGCTCTCAGGGAGTTATAATTGGTATTACAAACAGACAACTAGCAAGTAAATTAATGGTCAAGGAAGATAACATTAGATCATGAAAAGCCACAGTGTCAGTCAAACGATGTGATGTTCTAGAGAGTGTGTGGGGAAGAGCTGGGGTAACTCTGGGTAGGCTGGACCTAGGAAGCCCCTCTGTAAGGTGATTGTTGATCTGAATGATGATAACTAAGCAGCTGGAATAGCAAGTGTAAAAGCCCTGAGACTAGAATGAACTTAGCTTGTCTGAGTAAGGACAAGATAGTCCTTTATTTATAAATAGTCCTAGGAGCTCCCTGGGCTTCTCAGCTGCTGATCAGGGCTCCCTGCTGCCTTCTTTCTATACATTAGGTACAGAAGGCTCTGTCCACTGGTATCCTGGCTAGGCTATCCCATCCTCCCCTCTGGGCCTGTTTTCACCTGCAGGGTGGGCAGAGATGAGGAAGCTACAGTCTGGACTCCGAAGAATGGGTAAGGATGTTCACTGAAGGAATGCCTGGAGAGACAGCTCAGAGGTCAGAGAGCTTCTGGCTAGGGATGGTGTAGTTATGGTGGGAGAGAAGGGAGCAGGAGGGGTGAGGGCAAGGGCAAAGATCTTGAACCCAGGGCTGCATCTCCTGGAGACATCCAGGGACTGGAGCTGTGTAGGGCTGCCCCTTGGACAGGCACTCTCCAGGTCCCCTCACTCATCAGGGCATCTTCAACAACTTGTGCTTCAGCCGCCGAAGTTTTCTATCTGGCTCTGTAAGCATTTTACATTGAGACCCCTAGGCTCAAGGGGGGAGGAATGATCCCTTCTTCTTTGTTTGTGCCCCCTTATGCCATAACCCAGCTCCCAAACGCTTTTGGCTTTTGAACTCTCGGGTGCCAGCTTCCAAGAGCAGAGAGAAAAGAGCCATGAGCCCTTAGGGAGGACCCCTCTTTTGTAGGTGACCACAGGTAGGAGATGAGCAGGCTGCTGGAGCTTTGGAGGCCTGCACACTGGGGGGCACCGTGGGCAGGGGTTTCCAGACGATTTTTTGTTTGTGCTCTTTGTTAAAAACAACAAGTGAAAAGCACTGGATGTCATAAACAAAATTAGAGACTGAGAATATACTTAGAGCATTTGGGGGTAAGAGGACCCCCTGTCTCTGTTTCCTACAAACCAGTTTACCAACATTTGTTCATATTCAGTCTCATATTGACTCATTAAACCAGTGTATCACTCAAAATTTATCTAACAAAATTGATATATTTGATAACAATTTATTTATTTATTTATTTATTTATTTATTTATTTATTTATTTATTAGCAAAGGAATGAAGACCACAAAATTTGGGACAGTGGTTACCTGGTGGGGAGGGCATGGAGGTTTGTCCACCCAATCAAGGGAATGAGATGAGGAAGTACCCCATAGATGAGTAAAAGTTTTAGATTTTGGGTTCAGTGGTGGGCTCATGGATGTTCATTGTATTATTTAAAATAACTAAACAAGTAAGGTCCTAGCTAACTAAACAAAATAAAGGGTCCCATTCAATTCCCAATGATGACTCTATGCCTTGACCCCATTGTTATAATTAACCCAACTCAATAAGCCTGAGGTTCAATTAAAAAAAAGAGAGACCTCCTTTTTTCTTTTGAAAGTAGCTTTTTGTTTATCTTTGTAAAATCCTATGTGCTCATTGTAAAAGGTTCAGACAGTGCAAAAAGTTACAGAGAATAAAAACCACTAAACATCCATTACCCAGAGATAAATGTCCAGTGTCAGTGTCCAAAATGTCTTCTGAGGGACTCCTGGGTGGCTCAGTAGTTGAGCGTCTGCCTTTGGCTCAGGGCGTGATCCTGGTTCTGTGATCGAGTCCCACATTGGGCTCCCTGCATGGAGCCTGCTTCTCTCTCTGTCTATGTCTCTGCCTCTCTCTCTCTCTGTCTTTCACAAATAAATAAATAAAATCTTTAAACAAACAAACAAAACACCAAAATGTCTTTTGAAGCACGATCTCTTTTGAAGCATATCTCCAGGAAGAGACATGTGACTATAATTTGACTGCAGTGAGATCATACTTTCTATCCCTGCTCTTAATGCTAGATCCATATAGTTCAACCTCTTCTACTCCACGGTCAGGGAGATGGAGACACAGAGAGAAGTGACCTGCTCATGGTCACACTTTGAAATGTATGGCCCCAAACAGTTGCCCACTGTGTGCTACATGGGCAGGCCTTTTTACTTTGAATAATTATACATGAAATTTAATTAGAAAAATGGCACATCTAGGGCATCTGGGTGGCTCAGTGGTTGAGCATCTGCCTTTGGCTCAGGGCGTGATCCCGGGGTCCTGGGATCGAGTTCCACATCGGGTTCCATGCATGGAGCCTGTTTCTCCCTCTACCTATGTCTCTGCCTCTCTCTTTGTGTCTCTCATGAATAAATAAATAAAATCTTTTTTAAAAGAGAAAAATGGCACATCTGTCTGATGATTCCATGGTGTTATCACCCATGTAAAATATAACAGAAAAGAACAGAGCAGGCGGTATGTAGTTATCAAAGAGTGGCCCAGTGGTCTGAAATTTGGAAAACCTTGATCTAGAATTCCCACCAGCAGAACCTGGCTCCCTCTTAACTGGTGGTGGTTCTTCAGACTTTTACTGTTTATTAGGAGTTTATAAACTAGATCAGTAGGCAGGCCAGAAAAATGAGAACACATTCCAATTGGACTAAAGAACTGAATTCCCTCTTCCTTTCTTTTCATCTGTACAGAAATTTTTCCTCCAGGAGAGCCCAGTATTATATGTCCAGGCATTGAAAGATCCTAGTAAAGCGGTGGTTTTAGAGGAGGCCACCTTGTCCTGGCGACAGACCTGCCCTGGGATTGTCAATGGCGCTGCAGAGCTGGAGAAGAACGGGTGTGCTCCTGAGGGGATGACCAGGGCTCAGCCAGCTCGAGGAGCCCTCAGGCCAGAGGACACAAGGGACAGCCTACTCCCTAACTTGCAAAAGTTAAACCTGGTGGTGCCTAAGGTAGCCTTACCTAAGCCACACTGGCAGGCCGGCTGCCAGACTTTCAGAGCCTGAGGTGCACACTTGCTGGCACTTCACCGTTTCCTTGGCTAGAAACAGCCCTCTCTAAATCCCTCTTTTAAATACAAATTATTCAGGGAGGGCAAGCACAGGAAGTCTTTCATACTTCAGTGGGAATCAATTGATCATCTACAATTTTTTTTGGTTGTTTTTTGTAATAACACAACCCAGAATAGTACCCTATATGCTGGAAGAGAGGGGGAAGAGACTTACATTTACTAAGTCACTAGTATGTGCCAAGCACAACTCTACGTGTTTCAATTTGATTTTTCTGTGAACTCACCTTACCTGGCTTCTTCTCTAACATTTGCAGGGCCAAGCTTCCCTTCGTGTCCAAACTTCACCTCTGCACTTTCAAGTCAAACTTGATTGCGTTCCCTCCCTCCCACCAACCCAGTCCATTGGTGATACCTGTCAGCTCTCTCCTGAATCCAGCCACCTCTCACCAATCACCAACTGCCCTAGCCCCAGCCACCATCATGCTGTTCCAGCTCCTGTAGGAGTCTCAGCCCGTTTGTTTGCACTTTTGCCCTCTTACTATCCATTCCTGTGCAGTGGACAGAGGGTCTTTCTAAACCATAAACCAATTCAAGTCACTCTCTTGCTTAACCCCTTCAGTGACTTCCCACTGCACTTAAGATATAGCCTAGGTATCCCCGAGCACCCTGTCCATGTCTCTCACCCCTTCTCCCACTCATTCCCTTCACACCAGCTACACTAGCCCTCTCGTAACACTTTGGCAGCCAACTTTGTTCCTGTCTCGGGACCTTTGCACCCATTGCTCCCACAGCCTGGCACTGCCAGATCTTCCTGTGTCTGGCTCTCTCTTGTCATATAGGTCTCAGCTGCGATGACAACTGCTTTAAGAAGGCTTTGCTAGCCAAGCCATTGGCTAGCAAAATTGCTTTGGTTCATAGTAAAATTGTTTTGGTTCATAGTAGCCAATTCGTTTTACTTAAATGGTTTATCATCATCTGATATTACTTATTTATTTCATGGTTTATGTCTCCTCACTAAAACATAGCATGAAAGTTCTTTTCTTCATTAGTTGGATCATGGGAGAAACTTAAACACTATTTGATGGAGGAATGAATGAATAAATGAGTGAATGTATGCATGAATTCTGTGAGGCTGGCTTCACTGTCCTTATTTTACACAAGAAGAAACTGAGGCACAGAGAGGCTGAGTGACTTGCCCAGGATCATAGAGTAGAATTGGTGCAGATCTGGAATTTGGGTTTCTTACCCATTAGGACCACCTACCTATGAATTCCTCTCTGCTACCTCCATGCGACTTCCTTCTTTTGAGGTAATAGTATCCCACCTCTTGAGCTTTGCTAGTCTGATGGGCCTTGGGGTCTGTGTGGTTATTTTGTTTTCCGTTTGTCCTTTTGTGTTCAAACAACAGACCCTCCCTGGGTGAGTTGTAGGGTTTATCCTGTCCCAATGCCACTCTGTCCTCCTTGGTTTTTCAGGGGACCATGTTGGGGGTCTGTGGCAACACTGGGAGTGGCAAGAGCAGCCTGCTGTCAGCCATCCTGGGAGAGGTAAGTGACTTGTGACCACATGCATGCACACCCACAGGCAGTCCAGGGACTCTCAAGCTTGAGTTCCCCGAGGCAGCCACACCGTCCCTTTCTTGCTTAATGGAGTCTGAGCCAATAGAATTTTTATGAGTTGAGAACAGATGGGATGCACTGTGTTATAAATATACCTCCTTCTCACCCTCCAGCTAGGAGTGCTACCTCTTAGATCCCCTAGAGGTCTGCCCTCACCTGTTCTCTGTGCTTTCCTCACCCTGTTTGTAATCAACCAGCTATCAGGGTGATGATACAGCATGTCTCAAAGTTTAATATGATAATAAAAATCATTCCATGAGGCCAGGCTCAGAAAAGGACATGTGTCCCTTGTGATACAGCATTAGGAGTCCAATGTGGAGGGAGAAAGGGGAAGGAGGAAGGAAGGAGGGTTTGGGGAGAGGAGGCTCTCCCACATGGGATGTGATTGTCTTACTTGCACTCCAGCACTAGAATTTATGTGTCTACTAGGTGCCCCTGCCCTTGAGATCTGAACCCTCCAATTCCATGGTCAATGGATATTCTTTTTTTTTTTAAGATTTTATTTATTTCTGAGAGAGAGAGAGAGAGGAAGCACGAGGAGCAAGGGGAGGGACAGAGGCAGAGGGAGAAGCAGACTCCCCGCTGAGCAGGGAGCCTGATGGTGGGCTCAATCCCAGGACCCTGTGATCATGACATGAACCGAAGGCCGACTCTTAACCGATTGAGCCACCCCAGCACCGGTCAGTGAGGTCTGCATGGTCTGCATAGTCTGCAGCCAGGCTCAGCACACCCTTTCTCCAGTTTCCAATAATCTCCAACCTGTTCCCTCCAAACAATTGAGGTCATATTGCACACCCCCCACTGAACAACACCTTAAAACAGCCGTGATACCTGGGGTGCATTTATGGCCACCTCCCTAAGGGGGTTCTCATCAGCACTTCCCCACTCAGCCCCAGCCTTACCCAGTCCTGGGCTTCTCTCTCTGCTCCTTCCTTTCTTTGCCTGTCATCCCTCTCTCCCATGCTGTTGGGAGAATTAGAAGGTTCTTCCTTTATACAGCTCTTCCCTCAGCTCTTTCTCCCAAATATTATAGCCAAACTCATCACCTCCTTGAAATGTGGTCATATTGTCCGTAGACCTCTTTCTCGACAGCTCATTTCTTCATGCTCCACATGTGATGGCCTTGCCCTAACTTCTTGGTAACTGGGAAGATAGATTCTACTTTTACAAAAATAGAAAACAGTTTGAATAGTATTTACATCCCAGGCCCTGTGCCTTGGCTTCTCATTTTTTCCTTCAACCTGAAAACGAGGCACATGGGGAAGGCACAGCCATTATGGCCAGTTTATAGATGAGCAGATGAGGCTCAGAGAGCTGACTTGCTCAGGGTCACACAACAGATGAGGGAGGAGCCAGGGTTAAAACCCAGGTCCACGTGGTGTCAGAGCTTTTTTTTCCCATAGCAACGTCTCCTGGAAGCCTCCATCCAAGCCACACCTTTCTGTGTGGCTAGTGGTTTGTCAGTTTCCTCTTGAAATAAATAGTCACTGTCCATCTAATAAAGGAAAAACAAAAAGATGTTGTTACAAAATGTTGTTCTTATTAATTAAAGCCTGGTTCCAAATCCGAAGCAGGAAGCATATGGGATTATAAAGAGGAAGGGGCACAAGACGATGATGTCCAATGCTGGGGTGGTAGGGATGGAGGTTATAGCTGTGTGTGTGTGTGTGTGTGTGTGTGTGTTCTTAAATTTATCAAACAGAAAAGCAGGATGACACTAAAGACCCATATACACACCACCTAGATTCAACAGCTGATAGCATTTGCATTTTTGCCACATTTGTGTAGAAACACATTTTGTAGAACTATTTTAAATTACGGAGATTATGAGGCATTTCCCACTTATTACTTCATCATGACATCCCCAAAATAAGCACATTTCCCCATCTGTGCGCCATGACATCATCACACCTAACAACATTGGTAACGATTCTGTTGGTATCCAGGAATGGTCAGAGATGACCTGGAACTTTCTGTCTCACTGTGAAGAACATAGAGGCACCACTTGCTAGAGAATGGGGCTGGGGAAATAAAGAAAAAGTATGAGGTGTCTTCAGTGCAGACCTGGGATTCAAGTCATAGGAGGAACTGGTTTAGCTCCGGCTGCTGCCCCATGTTCCCAGGACCATCCCTGGACTCACTGGTAGGCCTGGCAGGACCATGTTAAAAGTCCCATTTACACAGGAAAGTCCCCAGGATCCTAGAGGGTAGACCCCCTACCCTAGAGGGTAGTCCTCGGGCCCTGTGGCTGCTGAGCTAGGCAGGGTCCACCCCTGTTCTGCTCATTCTGAGGCTGGACTCACTCTGCTGCAGATGCACTTGCTGGAGGGCTCAGTGGGAGTGCATGGAAGCCTGGCGTATGTCCCTCAGCAGGCCTGGATCATAGGGGGTAACGTCAGGGAGAACATTCTCATGGGACGCCAGTATGACAAGGCCCGGTAAGTTTCTTGGAGGGTCCAGGAGGGACACAGCTGCATGGGTCTGGTTGGGGGAGGGATCCCCTGCTGCTAATAGTAATTTGACAACCGCTAACACTTGCTGTGTGCTCATTTATATGCATCCACGTATTTTCTCCTCACTGTGAAAGAAAGATTATTATCCTATCCATTTTCTAGAAGAGTCTCCAAGAGCTGAGGCCTCCAAAAGTTAAATGATCTAAAGCCACAGAGCTTGGAGGTTATGACAGAACCATGATTTGAACCCCATTGTTGTCAGAAACTTCAATGCTTAGCTGTTAGATGAGTCAAAATATCCTTCCCCCTCTAAAAACATTACTTTAAAACTTCATTCGTATTCATTAATGCCCCACCTCTAAGTCAAAAGGTGAAATGAATGGGGTGATGAGGTTGCGCGATGTAGAAGAAAACCGTTTGGATTCATGGTCCAAACTGGTGGGCCGCCTGCCACCATCCTTGCCTTTTGTGCCCTCTCCCTCCCAGGGTCTGGGGTTAACCTGCTTGAGATATGCACTTGCAGGTCATGAGTGAAGTCTATTCAGTGGAGAATCCACAAAAGCTGCCCTGAATGCTGCAGTTGTGCTTCCAACTCTGGCGGACCCTGGCCTCCTTTGACCATTTGCTTGATTTTGGCAATCTTCCCCCAGCAGCAACACTGGGAGATGTGTAGATGCATGGACTGGCCACCTCCACCTGGTTGTCCTGTGGGCTCTTCCTTGTCAGGTCAAACACCAGCTCAAGAGCACTCTGCTCGCCCATCTTGCCTGCTTTTTCCCCAACTTGTCCATCTCAGTTTACTGGCATCATTGGACTGTGTGTCCCAGCAAACCCAATGCCTCCTGCTCTGATACTTCTCATCTAATTGGTCACCCATCTTGGACAACTCTATCTCCTAAATAAGTCTCATCTTTCTCTCTTCTTCTCCAATCTCCGCTGCCAGGTCTTGCCTGTGATCTCCTGCTTGACTTGTTCCCACTTGACCTTGGCTCCCTCTCTCCGGTTTCTACTGCTCTGTTCCTGCCTCCAGCAACATAGCTCTTGTCATTGTACTGCTTTCAGACTGATACAACTCATTGGGCAGTTTTGAAGTGTCCGGTCAGAAATAAAAATGCACCAATTCTTAGATTTAGCACTACTAGGAATTTAACACATAGATAGGGTCACCATGGACACAAAGGCCCGTATACAAAAGTATTCATACTACACATTGTTCATAGCAGCAAAGGGCTAGAAACAACCCTAGTGTCCATCACAGGGACACTGGTTAAATAATTTATGTTGCAGCTACATAACGAAATACTGCGGTGCCATGAAAACAAAACAAACCTATACATGCTGCACACAGATGTATACAACCACGTTATTTCTGAATGAATACCTAAGAAACTATAATAGTGGCTGCTTCTGAGGAAAGCCACTGAGTCCAAAATGAGGGAGACTTGCTTTTCATTATGTCTTTTTGTTGCTGTTGCTCTGTTCTAATATTTACTTAATGCATGTATTAGATTAAAAGAAATGAAGGAAAGAAGGAAATGCAAAAATCCTCCAGTGCTTTATGATTGAACACAGGATCAAGTCCAAATTTCTCAGCATGGAACCCAAGACCTTTCTCTTCCCAACTTGGGAAGGCTAGGGGGCCTGCGGCTGGGCCTCTTGTTTGTCAGTTCTCCGTCCTTTGCAGGTACCTCCAGGTGCTCCATTGCTGCTCCCTGAACCATGACCTGGAAATTCTGCCCTTTGGAGACATGACAGAGGTGAGTGGGAGGTGAGGGTCCCCCATCTCTGTTGTGATGGTGCCTTTGTAATGGTTCTTTGGGGTCCTCAGGCTACCTTCCTGGGTAGGTAGAGGAGAGAATTTGGCTATTTCCCCAAAGCAGCCCATGAAGCCTCAAAGCCTTCCCTACTCAGAGAGGGAACTGGGGCTTATCTCCTATGGATAGCTGGCAAAGAGCCTACCTTACCTCGCAAGCATGGGGAGCTGACCTCAAACTCCTTTTGGAGCAAAGCCCTCGAGACCTGTGAAGATGAGAAACCTCCCATCGAACCCCCTCTTGTGCCCTCTCCCCTGTCCCGTCCTGCCCTCTCTGGCCAGCTCTTCCTTTGCCAGTGGGAGCAGTAGCCAAGGCTTTCCAGCAGCAATGTGATTCACATTTTCTTGGTAATTCACCATCTTTCACATCTGTAGCCACCTTTAATCTACATAAGACCTTTGTAAGATAAAAGCAATATTGTTGTCTTATTTATTACTTATTTTCTCAGTCTCTGGAGCACTTTAGCAGATGCAAAAGACTATTGTAGCAACTTGAATGCATTGTCTTAGGCAAACCTCAGGTAATTCTAGGAGGTCTAGGAGGTCACTGCTTCTATTACCCTTCTTTTAAAGGTGAGTCTGTAAACCCTTGAGGGCAGAGCACTCAGTTATCTTGTTCAGGGTTATCTCTTCAGTAGGAAGGAGAAAGTGTGATCCATAGAATGGCATCAAGGAGTATGGACTTCATCATGCTTGAAGTTTAGATGAGCTGATACATACAAAGTGCTGTGAACATGCCCAGCTAGAGTGGGTGTTAGCTCATCATGAGAGCATAGCAGGCACTTAGTAAGCATCTGTGGAGTGAGGAAGTAACTCCTGACATAAGGCATCATGTAGGATAGTCCTTCCCATGACAGCAACAATAGAGCCTCTTCCAGCCATTGCCCCCCTGTCCTGTTGAGTGGCTGTATGTCCTACAGTCTTAGACAGCGAGGTCTGGTGGTCCTGCAGGTCGATGGTCACTGTCAACAGATTTAAAACCCAAATAAACAGAACATGAGAGATTCCTAACTCTGGGAAACGAACTAGGGGTGGTGGAAGGGGAGGTGGGCGGGGGGAGGGGGTGGGGATTACTGGGTGACGGGCACTGAGGGAGGCACTTGATGGGATGAGCACTGGGTGTTATTCTATATGTTGGCAAATTGAACACCAATAAAAAATAAATTTATAAAAACCAAAAAATAAAAATAAAATAAAACCCAAACAAGATGTAAGGAGGTTCTCTTTCTTAGAAATGATTTTTTAAAAATCTAAACTGCTAAAGTTTTAAAATGCCACTTAAGAAGTTGACAGACAGGGCAGCCCGGGTGGCTCAGTGGTTTAGCGCTGCCTTCAGCCCAGGGCCTGATCCTGGAGACCCTGGATTGAGTCCCACGTCGGGCTTCCTGCATGGAGCCTGCTTCTCCCTCTGCCTGTGTCTCTGCTTCTCTCTCTCTGTCTGTCATGAATAAATAAATAAAATCTTAAAAAAAAAACAAGTTGACAGGTTTAGAAATATTGTATCTAATTATGAGTTATAAAATTTTAATTAACTGAAAATCATTTTTTTCATTCCTTACTAAGCAAATTTTGAAAAATATTTTTTTGAATACTAGGGGTGCCAAATCATTAGATGACCAGGAAGGTGCACCGAGGGGGTTCAGGCTGTCACATCTGGACACCTGGGTGGTTTGAGCACTCCTCACCGGTCTCATCCTCTAGACACAGTGCCTTTGACTGCCTTTTTGCAGATTGGGGAGCGGGGCCTCAACCTCTCTGGGGGGCAGAAGCAGAGGATCAGCCTGGCGCGTGCTGTCTACTCTGACCGCGAGCTCTATCTGCTGGATGACCCCCTGTCTGCTGTGGACACCCACGTGGGGAAGCACATCTTTGAGGAGTGCATTAAGAAGATGCTCAGTGGGAAGACCATCATTCTGGTGACCCACCAGCTGCAGGTAACCACCCTTTCAGGGCTTTGGCCATGACCGATGGCTACCATAGATCCTCACGTTTCTGCTATTGATTCAGTAATAACTTCAGAGCAGCCACCCCTTCATCTCAGACTAGACCTCAACATTTGAGGGGGGCATTATAAAAAACCCGATCTCTTCTGTTTCTATGTGGAGAGGACAGGCTGGTAAAAGATTTCTGTGGCTGGTAAATATTGAAGCCATATTTTAAGGTCTTCTTCAAGATTTTATGGGTTGGCTCCTCTTTTAAAGTTAGGAAAAAAAGAAAAAAAACTTTCAGAGAAGAATTCTCAAAGTCTCTGATGACGTGCAGTGACATATGGGGGCTGTCTCTCATAATGCCTTTACCCAAGTATTTCCGTATTAGGTTTTGGCCTCAAGACAGTATTATTACTTATCCCTCTCCTTCCATTTTGGCCTATTTTGGGGGTACAAAATATTTCAGACATAAAAACAGTTTATAAAATAATCTAATGAAAATCCATCCATCTACCACCCAGATGACACCCTTGAATATAGATCCCTCTCGGATTGCATTCAGCTTCCTGCTCCCCTCACTTTGTTGTTTGTCATTCTCATGCAGGTCTCCATACCCTTACAACATGTGTATGAATCTCTAGACTTGATAAAGTGTCCTTTTGCATATTTTAAAGCTTTATATAATTGAGAGTTTACTTTCTGTAATTTGCTTATTTCACTCAACATTGTATTTTTGAGCTCTTCCTTGTTGATATGTGCAACTTGATTTAATTCTCACTGGTATAGCATTCCAGTATCTGAATAGAACAGAATTTATTCTCCTACGATGTACATCTAGGTTGTTTCCCATTTTTCACTTTTACAAAAAAATGCTTTGGCATACTTCTTTTCATATGTGTCTTTTTTTTTAAGATTTTATTTATTGATTTGAGATAGAGAAAGAAAGAGAGCCAGCAGAAGGAGAGGGAGAAGCAGGCTCTCTGCTGAGCATGGAGCCCAATGTGGGGCTCCATCTCAGGACCCTATATCATGACCTGAGCCATAGGCAGACACGTAACTGACTGAGGCACCCAGGCACCTTTTATATGTATCTTTATACATGTTTGCGAGTTTTGGGGGGTAGAGTTTTAGGAGTCCAATTATTAGTTCAAAATTCTTAAATATTTAATTTTACTAGATATTATCAAGTTGTTTTCCCAAGTATTTGCACTAGACTACAACACCCCCTACCCTTTATGAGAGTTCCCTATATCTCCAGTCATCACCAGCACTTACGCAATATTTTAAGATTTTTGTAAGCCTGGGGATATAAAATAATATTTTATTATGATTTAAATTTATATTTTCCTGTTGAATGATGAAGTTGAATATCTTTTTGTATGCTTACTGAACACCTTATTTCTTCTGACTCTTCAGTACTTAGCATTTTGTGACCAGATCATTTTCTTAGAAGATGGGAAAATCTGTGAAAAAGGAATTCACAGTGAATTAATACAGAAAAAAGGGCGATATGCCCAACTCATCCAGAAGATGCTTGGAAAAGCCACACAGGTGATTTCCACCTCACCCCATCCCACCCTTGCTACCCACAGAGAGGAGCATCTCTTGCATTCATGGCATGTGCTTTCTCCCCAGGACAAACTGCAGGACACAGTAGAGACAGCAGAAGACCCTCAGGGGCAAGGGCAGGCCTGGACCACCTGCCAGGAAGAAATTCTTCATGAAAATGATGGTAATGGTGCTGGGGAACAAGGAGAGAACATTTGCCTGCCTGCCTGTCCAGAAGTCCTAGTATTTCCTCCTGGACCCCAGATGGGGCCCTGTCCCTCACAGTCCAGGATCCTAGACATCACATACCCAGGTTACAGATCTATGTAGTTGAGGGCCGCGGGGCATGAACTGTGCTGATTAGGAGGCCTGAGGATCCTAGAAGTGAATGCTGTGGGGGCAGAGCTGAGGGTGTGTAGAGGCAAAGGCAGGGTGTGGGTAGCTTTCGCCTGGAGTGGCATAAATTTAACTTAAGGCTGCTAGACATTCATTCATTACATGTTTGTTGAAAGTAAATGTTGAAAACCAAGGTATTAGAAATCAGAAATGAACTGGGCCCAGTCTTGGATATCCAGAAGCTCGGGCCTTGATCTTTTCCGAGACAGGGCAGCAGGGCAGAAAGACCTCCATTTTTAAAGCAAGACAGTTCTGGAATTGAATTCCAGCTCTGCTGCTTACAAAGCTGTGTGACCTTGGCCAAGCAACATAGCCTCTCTAAACCCTCATTTGCAAAAGTGAAGATAATAGTGCTTACTCTGCAGGGTCATAGTGGAGATAAGATGAGGTCAGGTGGAGGGAGGCCTTAGGACAGTGCCTAGCATATTGGAGGCTCCTGTCAGAAAACATTTTGGGTGGAAAAATAATTGGAAGGAACAGGTGTATAGGTCACAGAATGAAAGGAAAAGTTGAAGAAGCAGGCCTCAGCAATTTTAGGGTGTAAGTATTAGGAACAGGTGCAAAATCTTTTTGAGGAAGACCTACTCCAAATATTTTTCATCCTAGTGTGATTTCCCTTAAGATTCAAATTCTAGGAAGAGAGCCCTCTTCCCCAGGAGAAATTAGGGTTTAGTAGAAGAAGGAGAGCCGCAGATAGGGACAACCACGCCCCCCAGAGTGCTGCTTCCTGTTGCTGCCTTTGTCATTAGCAGCATCTGCTGGTACTTCCCAGGTGCTGGTTTCCCTGCGCCACTCTAGGATGAGTCTGTCTGAGCTAGTGTATAGTTGTTTTCAGAAGCATATTGCTGCAAAGCATGTTACTAACCATCTATATAGGCCTGCCAGCTGCCAGATAAGGAAATAGAGAGGTTAAGTGATTTGCCTGAGATTGCACAGTATTGTAATGACCATTCTGGAACCCAGTTTTCTGGTCTCAGGTCATTGCTTTCTTCATTCTCTCCTGCTGCCTTTTGCAACCCATCATGTTCTTGGGCACCCCAGCAACCCTTCCTCCCCCCCCCCCCGCCCACACCAGGGTTACTGAATGGCTGGGGATGGAACCCCTGCCCAGGCTCTAAAGTCCAGGTCAGAGTTACCTTCAGCAGAGTCTCCCACGGAAACATGCGGGTTAGAGTCGGACTTGGGTGGGGCTCTGCAGCTGGAAGGTGAAGAAGCTGGTAAAGGGTGGAAGTCAGGGACAGAGGGCTTTGCAAAAGCTCTTCTTGCAAATGATTGAGAGGCATATCATTTCCTTCTTCTCTTACTCTGATCCAGTGCTGGAGAATCAGCTCACAAGAAAGGAGATGATGGAAGAAGGGTCTCTGGGATGGAGAGTCTACCACCATTACATCCGGGCGAGTGGAGGTACGGTGGGCCAGCTGCCATCTGGGCCCAGCACTCTCTCTCTCTGACTGGCCCTGCCCCCGAAACTGGGTCAGGCTGGAATGTGTGCAGTCATGTGAGATAGAGAGGCACAGGGGAGTCATGCCAATCGTGGGTTTGACTTGCACAATTCCAATCTCAGCCCATCAACTATAGTGACTTACCACCATCGTCCGTGCTGGAAGTTAAGTTTCATGTTGTGTTAAAATGCACCTGGGATTTATTTTAATCAGCATGGTAAGACATGCAGACATGGAAATTATTGTCACAAAGGAAGATGTTTATGTTCATAGATCCCTAGAAACAGGAGACACGGCTTGCCATGCAGGGCCATACAGGGAAGCACCAGGTTGATCAGGAGGCAGAGGGAAGGGAGAACATAGCCAGGAGCCCTTATTGGGGGTTTTGTGGGAAGGAGTGAGTAAGGCAGGGTAGGTATGCTGAGTAACCTTAGGATTATATAGTTTGAATAAGTCTGGGGGGTGCTGCGCTATACAAGTGGTCCCTAGTTATCTGGCACCTGGCCCTGGGATGATGTAGGGCAGGAATATTGGCTTGCTGCATGAATTTGATGAGGAGGTGGTTGGGAGTGTAGGCTGTGGATTGGTTGGTTTGTTTAACACAGATGTGCTCACAGGAAGTCATTTGCTGTTTCTAGGGATTAGTTGGCCCCGGGAAGCACAGCCTCCCCAGGATCAAGGCCCCAATTGCCACAGCATCAAGAATATAGAAAATACAGACATAGTCTGTTCAGTACTGTTTATTTAAGTGGTGTTCAAGCTGTAAGTCCTGACCCACTAGTGGGCTGTGAAATCACTTGAGTGGAGTATAAGCAGCCCTGAAAGGAGGAAAATAGAACAGAATAGAAAATATCTGTATGCATTTCATATATTGACATTGGTAAAACTTTTATTCTGGTATACATTAAAATACATTCCTCAGGCGATGGGAGCTAGAAGTTTCAAAGCTAATGGTTTACTAAAGGGCATATGTTACTGAATTCATATAAATATAACTGTACAATGTTATAAACACAAGACTGAGTATATGATACTGTACTTTTAAAGAAATTTAAGAGATTTTTGAAAGTAACTTGAACTCCTTGTCAACATTTTACTCTTGATTGACTTCGGAACCCAACCCTGTGTGAGGTGTATCTTCTTTCTACCTGTCTAGGGGAGGAAGGGGTAGGCTGTGCATAGATCACCATCCCTACCCTTTCTACCATGGGCACTCCTGCAGGGCATAATATAGTGTCTAGCCAGAATGGGGAACAGAAAATGCTTGTGAATGTGTGAATGAATCCAGCAACCAATTGATCTGTATTTACAAAGTACCTATTATGGACCAGGCACTGTGCTAAGCAGACTCTGGAGGGGAAGGGGGTAAAAGGCATCTAAGAGCCAACCATGGAATCTAGCTGGAGAATTATGGCATTTGCATTTACCATGTAGCAGGAGAGATCTCCATGGCCAGGCACAGTCTCACATGTCATCAAAGAAGAGATGGCCCTTGAGTGGAGCTTAAGAGGGGTTGAATTCAAGAGAAGAAATATGGGTGGGCTGCCTGGCTGACTCAGTTGGTAGAGCATGCAACTCTGGATCTCAGGGTTGTAAGTTTGAGCTCTACATTGGATATAGAGATTGCTTAAAAGATAAAATCTTAAAAAAATATATGGGTGTGGATCACAGACTGGATAGGTGGGTAGAGTTCTAGAGCAAGGGACGGATGCTGAAAGAGGGAATGCGCTTTTGGTTTTCCCATCCTTGACTTTTTTGAATCCAAGCTCTACTACATAGCACCTCTATGACCTTGGACATGTTTCTTCCTCTCTTGGAGACCCAATAAACAAGGTTAGGAATAACTAACTAAAAAATAAATATCCGTGTTTAGTACTATGCCTGGCACATAGTATATAATAGTCCTACCACATAAAAGGTAGTTATTGTGGGGCACCCAGGTGCTTAGTCAAGTGTCCGACTTAAGCACAGGTCATGATCTCAGAGTCCTGGGATCAAGCCCTGCATTGGGCTCTGTATCAGCACAGAGTCTGCTTGTACCTCTGCCCTTTCCCCCTCTCATGTTCTCTCTCCCCCAATAAATAAATAAATAAAGTCTTTTAAAAAGGTAGCTATTATTATCTTGAAGATTGAATTATCAGGACCCACATAAGGGGAACTACTCTAGAATACTGCTTTTGTGCCAGGTACTGGGTTGGGTATTTGGTATACGTTATTGCCTATCATCTTCAGGGTGACCCCATGTAGCTAGAATGACTACCATTACCATTTCATAGGTAAAGAAGTGGAATGTCATTGACATTTGGTACTTTGCCCAGGCTAACATAGCCTGTAAGTAGTAGAGTCCCAGAATTTGACTCTTGAGCTTTCTAACCTTGGAAACCAGCCCTTTCCAGTCCTTCAAGGCATCCAAGGTAGGTGTAGGTCAGGGAGATGCAAGGGCTTGCAATGACTGGGAGACAGATGCCCTATCCTTCTTGATGGTTACATATTAGCCATTGCTGTTTACCTTCTTGTGGCACCTGTGTGTCACCCTTCCTCTCCCTCCCCAGGTTACATGATGTTTGCCATTGTTTTCTTTCTCATGATGGGGATCATCTTCCTCACGACCTTCAACTTCTGGTGGCTGAGCTATTGGTTGGAGCAGGGCTCAGGGGTAAGTGTTACAGTGGGAGTGGTGTGTGTTTCTGTGGGCTGGTATGGAGTGGGGCAGCTTCTTATTTCTTGGGCCCCATAAAGATCAGAGTATGGGTTGTGGAACCCCATAACAGATCCAGAGCTTGCCATTGCCAAATTAACAAGTGGAAGAGCTCTAGAGAAGACTTCTGAGAGCTGGAACATGGTAGGGCTTCCTCCCAGCTCTGGTCCCCTGTGTTCACAGAATGAGTGGTCATAAGTGCTGTCTCGTCAGGAGAAAACCAAGAGGTTTCTGTCCCCAAACCAGGCCTCAAGAATGCATTACATTCCACCTTGGTGATTTTGCCTTTTCACTTCGCTTTATTTAAAATGTGCATCTGCATTTCTTGTTGGGGGCAAAGAGGCCACATCAAATATAAGCATAGCTCATGTTAGTATAAACAAGGAAGAAACATTTTACTCAGTTACTACCGTGTCAGGGAAATTGCTGAGAGCCATTCTGATTTGGGCCTTTTGAATGCACAGTTGATTTGGGCATTTTAAAAAGAGAATGAACGTGAGGGCTCAGTAGATTCAGAGAAATGAAACTTACCAAGGGTTGGTGGGTGTGAATGTGATGAGGTCAGGGGTCCACTAGCTGACAGTTATCAAAGTTAGGACCCTAATCTTCCACAGAGGCAGAGGCCCTATCCTTCCTGATGGTTACATGTCAAAGTCATGGTTTCTAGGTCCTTGGAAGAGATGCTTTGAGTTGTAAGAGCTACATATTCACAGCTATGTGCACTTTTTAGTAGGTGCTCTGAGAAAGGGAGCATGCCATCAGGTGTTGGCTAGAACAAGTGGTAACTTTTCCTGGTGGTGGTTGAACTTCCTCAGGCAGGCATTTTGATGGGGGGCAGGGGCTGGGGTCCTCCTATGGACATGCTTTGAGCTGCGAGAAGCCATACTACAGTTTGGTTAAGTTTTTTAGTGCAGGGATTTGGAAGGAGTCATCCTGTGTTGAGAAACCTGCAGTTTTCAGCTGTTATGTGCCTGGTTAATTCATTAATCTTTGCAACCTCATTCTGAGGTAGGCACTATCTCCATTTTACAAAAGAAACTGTGCTTAGAGAAGAAAATAACCTGCCCTGGGATGTGAAGTTCCCTGGTGGGACTTGAACTTGGTGTTCTGATTCCAAACCATGTTTGCCCAGAGGTCTGCTTGGTTAACCTTTGAGTTATGTGTCAGGCAGGGTTTGGTCCAGAAAACAGAAGCCACTTGAAGAATTTATAGCTTCCAAAGATTCAGTATAGGAATTAGAGGCTACTCTAATAGTAGCTGATTATCAGAAGGATGCCTGCAAGTCCCTGGCCAAACTCCATGTGCCACCTACATGTCCACAGTTGCCACCAGCATATGATGGCTTCTTCTATTTCAGCTTTGAGATTTCCTGAGACTGCCTCTCTTTGTGAAAATCTAACACCTGAGACCATGCTGGCAGGAGTCTGGGAAATCAAGTTCCCAAGTTCTCCCTTGCATCATAGTGAGGAATGTAGAAGCACCAGGAATGATGCCGGGTGATAATCTAGCACAAGTTTCTTTTTCTTTTTTCTTTTTTTTTTTAGCACAAATTTCTAACACCAAAGAGTGAATTTATCAAGTCATTTTCTACCCTGGCAGAAGAAAATAGGCTCATTAGAAATCAGGCTTCCTTGCGACAAAGATGCATTGAAAGAAGGACGAAAAGAAGTCATTCAGGGAGCTGAGTTTAGAACAATCAGGGCAGAGTGAGTGGTGCAGTGGGGAGTAGAGCTGCAGTCAGGGAGACAGACTAGTTTGCCTGCTGTATAGTGGACCAGGACAGACAGACAATGAGGGCCTAATCCAGGGCAAGGCAGTGAGAAGAGAGAGGGAGGGAAAAGCAAAAGCACCAAGCAGGGAGGTTTGCACATATAGTTTCACCCTGCACCAGCTACTGAGTCTAAATGTGGCTCCAGGAAGAAGGATTTTCTCTCCCCATTGAATTTCACTCTGAATTCAGTTTTTTAAAAAATTCGATCTGACTCCCCAAAGAAAGAAAACTCAGTTTTCCTCTATTCCCACACAATGCAATGTGCAGTTTTCTCTAACTCTCTGGACACCATCTGTGTGTTCTACAATTCTGACATGACATGGAGTGAATGCAGTCCCACAAGACTATCTGTGCTTCAGATACTAATCATAAGTCTGGACCTCCTGTACTTCTGGCAGACCAGCTATCTGTTGGGGGTTCCAATGACCCCCTTTTAGGATTTGATCATTTGCTGGAATGGTTCACAGAACTCAGGGAATACTATGGTACCAGCTTGTTGGAAGGGATATAGTAAAGTATACAGATGAATGGCCAGATGAAGCAGTACATAGGGTAAGATCAGGAAGGGCTCTGAGTGCAGGAGCTTCTGTCTCTGTGGAGTTGGGGTGCACAACCCTCCTGGCATGTGGATGTGTTCATCAACCTGGAAGATCTCTGAACCCCACACTTTAGGGATTTTATGGTAGCTTCATCACACAGGCATGATCAATTATTAATTCAATCTCCAGCTCCACTCCCCATGCAGACAGTGGGGGGGGGGTGGAGTTGAAAGTTCCAAACTTCTACTCATGGTTTGGTCTTTTTGATGACCAGTTCTCCATCCTGCAGCTATCTAGTCCCCTCTCCCCACTAGCCATCTCAGTAGCTACAAAAAGACACTCTAATTGCTCCAGAGACTCCAAGGGTCTTAGAAGTTCTTATGTCAGGAACCACAGTCAAAGGCCAAATATTAGAACAAAAGATGCTCCCAGTACCCCCATCACTTAGGAAATTACAGGGATTTTAGGAGCTCTGTGCCAGAAATGGGGAACAAAACCAACTATTTCTTAACAAACCACACTGTTTTTTCTTGAAGACCAATAGCAGCCAAGAGAACAACGGAACTACTGCAAACCCAGGTGACATACTGGACAACCCTCAGCTGCTGTGCTATCAACTGGTGTATGGACTCAGTGTCCTGCTACTAATCTGCATAGGTGTCTGCTTCTCGGGGTTTTTCACCAAGATCACAAGGAAAGCATCCTCAGCATTGCACAACGAGCTCCTCAACAAGGTACGGCCCGGGCATGCCTGAGGCCACAGGCTTGCCCAATTTTCTTTTTCATTTTCTTTGTTTTTTTAATTACTAGACTTTATTTTTTTGAGCAGTTTTTAAGAAAAATTGAGTTGAAAGTACAGAGTTCTCATGTGTCCCTCACCAATCCCCCAGTTTCTCCTGTTATTAACATGTTGCATTAGTGTGGGATGTTTATTACAACTGATGAGCCAATATCAATACATTTATTATTAGTAGTAGTAGTAGTATTATCTAAAGTCCATGGTTCACATTAAGGTTCACTGTTTGCATTATACATTCTATGGATTTGGACATACATATATTGACATGTATCTGCCATAAAGGCTCATATAGAAAGTTTCACTGCCCTAAAAGTCCTCTTTGCTCTACCTATTCATCCCTCCCTTCCCCTCAAATCCTGATAACTGCTGATCTTTCTTACTGTCTCCATAGTTTTGCCCTTTCCAGAATGTCATATAGTTGCAAGTGCACACTGGGCTTCTAGGTGGGTGGGAGCAGGCCACAGAAGGAGCTGGGGGCATAGAAGCTCTCCCACTGCTAGCAGGATGATTCTAAAAGCTTAGTGTCTTGCTGGAGGGTCAGTGGTCATGCCAATGCTTGTCTCTATTGGCTGAGCACTGTCACATACAGAGTTGCTTATAATTGTTCTGGTCTGTTTTTGAAGTGGTCCTATGATCCTTATTTTACATATGAGAGGACTGAGATCCTTGTGTGTTATGGTGAGAATATGTTATGGTTAAAATACCAAATCGTCTGCGATATCACACTGTCTCCTGGAAATGTCATGGGTCTCCCCCTCACCGGATGTTACTATGTGCAGGTACTGGGCAGTAGGGAATGAACAATGCAGGTATGGTTCAGACCATCATGGCCTTATAGTCTATTGAGGGAGATTGATGAGGAAACAGGCTGTTGTAACATAGTGTGAAAAATTACCCACTGGATGGGAACCCATGGGTTCCTAAGAACCTAACAGGCACCTAATCCCAGCATGTGGGTGGTAGGGGGAAGGGTGGGAGTCCAAGAAGCCTTCTTGGAGGAAGGGACCCCTCTGCTATGAGCTGAAGGAAGAGTTGAAGCACTTTAGCCAACTTAAATTAGTAAGTGAAGAGGGAGCATTTCTGGGGAACTGAATGGAATCTAGGAGGACAGGTACTCAGAGGGATAGAGCAGGGATTTTCATGAGTGTTCTTGGGAGGTGAGGAGGACATCCATCATTCCTTGTAGACTGAATGCAAACTGTATTGACATTAAGTATTTCAGTGTGGGGAACATGAGGTGGAGGCCTTTCCCCACACCTCGCACCTCACATAAAGCAGCTGGCTTCTGGAACCAGACAGCAAGAGAGGAATATTCTCCCTGAGGCCAGCCACTGTTTACTACCTTTACTATGACTTCTAAGATTCTGACTCTGCACTCCAAGATTCTGGAAATATGCCTCAAAGTGATAATTCCTATTTTATTATTTTTGTTAAAGTTTTTGTTCCCATTAGAAAATATGCTTCGTATTTACAATATGTTTCTTTTTGTAGTCCTTTTATAGCTTCATTGCTTTTAAATTTGCCTTTGTACTTATAAATATTCACAGTGAAGGACAAACCTCTGAGATAATGGGCTCAACTACAAACAACAAACTGCAAAAACAGATTATTTTGACACTTATGAGGCACCAGAAGCCCTGTCTCCATGTCCCCACCATCTGTCCCTAAAGTCCTGAGTGATGGTAGGCTCTCACAAAGACGGCTGACTCGCCTGCAGCCCAGGGCGTGATCCTGGAGACCCGGGATCAAGTCCCAGGTTGGGCTCCTTGCATGGAGCCTGCTTCGTCTCTGCTGCCTCCCTCTCTCTCTCTCTCACTCTCTGTGTGTGTGTGTGTCTCTCATGAATAAATAAAATAAAAATCTTAAAAAAAAAAGAAGAGAAAAATAGTATACACCTAAAACTAATATTGCACTGTATGTTAACTACCCAGAATTTAAATTAAAAACTTAAAACAAACAAACAAACAAACAAACAAAGACGGCTGACTCACCACAGCTGAACTGCAGCCTGCTCCCGTGCACCTCTCTCCCTGCACCACCATCTCCACCTCCCCCCCCCCCCCCCCGTGAGTGCTCAGAGTCCTGGAGGGGATGATTGTGACTTCTTCAAGTGACTGTGACCGTTCTTATCCCTTTTGCTTATGCATTTCACAAAAAGATTCTGGAGAGAAGATGAAAGGTAATTTAGAGGCAGAAAGAGTGAGGAAGCTCATCCATCACGTGCCTCTCCCAACCTCACTGCCTCCCCTCCCACCTGACAGCGGGAACATGAACATGAACTGCACTTGGTCAGCAGTGCCCGGGCATTTGCAATGAGAACTGCTGTAAGGGGCACTTGGTGACTCTAATAATTACTATTTATTGATAATCAAAATGCACTTTCCTTCCCCCACTTTCATTCCTTCCTTTGTTTTTGGCTTTAATAGATACAATTAACTTCTATTTATGTCTTTTTCTTGTATTACAGCTTGAGAAATACATAGGGAAATGAAAGCGGTTCATTGGTCAGCAGCTCAGTGCCACAAACCTTTAAGAAATGCCTTCTGTAAAGAGCGTGGCTGTGCTGGGGCAGGGGGAGGTCAGGGAGCCCTGGGAGGTCTGGTCACAGTTTTGCCATTAACTACTTTGGTACCTTGGGCAGATTGCTGAGCAGCCTTCCCTTCTCTGGCCTTCAGTTTCCTCTTCTGTAAAATGAGTACACCGAACTAGATGCTTTCGTTAGAGCCCTTCTAGTGTGAAATGTTCTTTGATTGCCAAAGGGTCTTCTGTCCGCTGCTTAAGAGACCAAGTTAGGACACCACCTTCAAGAAGGGGTGGTCATGCTTAAATTCTACCCAAGACACCAAGTAATATGAAATCGCAGTGGAGCTGCTGCTACTAAACTTGGGCAATCCTGGAAAATGGTCCCATCTGTAGAAAATAATCAGAGCTAGTTTTAATGGAATGCTAATTAGGAGACAGAAACTGTTCTGAGACTTTCAGTGTATTACCCCTTCCTTCCTTCCTTCCTTCCTTCCTTCCTTCCTTCCTTCCTTCCTTCCCTCCCTCCCTCCCTCCCTCCCTCCCTCCCTCCCTTCCTTCCTTCCTTCCTTCCTTCCTTCCTTCCTTCCTTCCTTCCTTCCTGTTTTATTAAGATATGATTCACATATTCATAAAACTCACCCTTTTAAATTGTACAACTCAGAGGTTTTAGCCTATTTGCAGAGGTGTGCAATCTTCACAACCACAATGGGGTTGTTATCAACCCCATTTTACAAATGAAGACATTGAGATTCAGAGGGGTTAAGTAACTTATGCCCAAAGTCACACAGCAGTGGGTAGAGGAACCCAGGCAGAATGACCGTGGAGCTCTTGCTTTTCACCATCGCTCTCCACCACCTCCCCTGCACACCCCTTAGGCTGCATCCTGCACATCTTCAGAGCCTAAGGGCAACTGACATCTTCCTCAAGTCCCAGAGCAAGGAGGGCAGCTAGTTATTGATCTGCGTTGCTTTTGTCCCTGCAGATTTCTTGCTGCCCCATGAGCTTCTTTGACACAACCCCAACAGGCCGACTCCTGAACTGCTTTGCGGGGGACTTGGATGCCATGGACCAGTTGTTGCCTGTTGTTGCTGAAGAGTTTCTGCTCCTGTCTTTGATGGTGGTCGCTATCCTGTTGGCTGTCAGTGTGCTGTCTCCATACATTCTGTTGATGGGAGTCATATTATTTACTCTTTGCCTTATTTTTTTTTCGTAAGTAGATTCTTTCTGCTTGTGAGCTGGGTCTGTGACTTGGGATACAAGGTTGGAATCTAGGTAGAACTGAGTGGTCCCTGAGGTTGATGGCCCAGGTCACTCCCTCTCCTTCTTCTTCTTCTTCTTCTTCTTCTTCTTCTTCTTCTCTTCTTCTTCTTCTTCTTCTTCTTCTTCTCTTCTTCTTCCTTCTTCTTCTTCTTCTTCTTCTTCTTCTTCCTTCTTCTTCTTCTTCTTCTTCTTCTTCTTCTTCTTATTTTTAAAAAAGATTTTACTTATCTAGTTGAGAGAGAGAGAGAAGAGCACAAGTGGGAGGAGGGGCGGAGGATGAGAGAATCTCAAGTGGACTCCTTGCTGAGCAGGGACCCCGATACAGGACTCAATCCCAGGACCCCATGATCACGGCCTGAGCTGAAGGCAGACGCTTAACCAAATGAACCACCCAAGTGCCCCAACTCCCTCTCATTCTTGATGCAGGATGTTTAAGGCACCCATCAACGTGTTCAAGAGGCTGGAGAACTACAGCCGCTCCCCTCTGTTCTCCCACATTCTCACCACTCTTCAGGGCCTGAGCTCCATCCATGTCTATGGAAAAGCTGAAGACTTCATCAGCGAGTGAGTCCTGCTGCTGGCGTCTGAGGAGGTGGGGGCTGTGGGGATGGTGGGAGGCAGGAAGGTAAGCAACGGTCCATCAGGGAATAGTGTCCTCCTCCCATTGTTTTATTCCTGATCCTCCAGGACCTCATCTGTGAGATGATGCTAATAGGAATAGCAAGGGTAAGTTCTATGGGAAATGTCTGTAAACCTTAAAGACCTGTGGCATTGTGTATACATCTTAATATAATTATTAGTAAGAAGTATGGCTGGGTCAGTGCTTCTTGCATGGTTCTTTTTCTTTCACTTCCAAATAGGTATCTAATTTTAATAAAATATAAGGAACGATAGCTTTCTAAATAACAGAATTTCCTTCACTATTCACACCTATAGATTTGCCTTCTAAATGTTTGTTGAAGCCAACAGAAACATCCTATGATTGCTGCTGAGGCTTCATTGTGTCATGTGAACTTACTCATTTGTAAACATCAATCATACATGGTCTGCACCAAATCGTAAGATGCTCAGTCTGGTGGAAGACAGGAGACAGAGACACAGTTTTGTGATACTACAGGATTGAATATGATCAACAGCATAGGAGAAAAGCAGATAAAAGGCCATAAGAGTTCAGAGGGAAAAGAGGTGGCCTGCAGCTGGGGGTGTGGCAGGGGATGACGTGGCATCTGAGCTGAGGCTCAAAGCCTGATAACACTTGAGGAGACAATGGGTGTTTGGTTAACTGGAGTATTGGATGAGCCATGGCACTAGCTCTCCCAGTAGTGTTGAGCACTCAAGGATTGTGCAGATGCTGAGACTGGGGGCATCCTGGAGTGATGCAGTCACTCAGCTACCAGGTGCTCAGCACCCACTGGGAAGACGGCAGTGAACAAGACAGACAGAGCCCTCACTCTGACATGGATAGATACTGGGAAGGGGTTGCCTCCCTTCACCCACTCATGAATCCTGACATTTATTCATTCTCATTGGCCCCATTAGGGAACTTACCCCAATTGATGATGGACCAATCATCTAGAAATCATCATGAAAAAGCCTGTGCTGATAGGCCTTAAGTCAGTCAGAGCCTACTCCTCTATCTGAGGTCAGGTGAACTCCATGGCTGAGGAAGGGAGGAGAGGCAGGGAGGAAACCCCTGAAGAAAAGCCAGGTTCCTTTGGTTGGAGTGGGGGGCTAGATTTTAGGGAAGCAACCTGTGTCTACTTCCACAGAACTCTGGGTCAGACAAGCACATGTGGTTTTCCTTTCTTTCTGAGGTTTAAGAGGCTGACTGATGCACATAATAACTACCTGTTGATGTTCCTGTCGTCCTTGCGATGGATATCACTGAGGCTGGAGATCACGACCAACCTGCTGGCCTTCGCTGTGACTTTGTTCGTGGCTTTTGGCATTTCCTCTGCCCCTTATTCTTATAAAGCCATGGCTATCAGCCTCATTCTCCAGGTGAGGGAGGTGAGGGGGCTTGGTTTGCGGGCCTGGGTAGACCCGGGGTGGTTCATGGGACTTTGATAATTCCTTGGGTCTTGGACCATTTGTGATCTTATGAATTATGTGCATGGTCTTCTTTTTTTTTTTTTTTTTTAAATTTTTTTTTTTAATTTTTATTTATTTATGATAGTCACACAGAAGGAGAGAGAGAGAGAGAGAGAGAGAGAGAGAAAGAGAGAGAGAGAGAGGCAGAAGCAGGCTCCATGCACCGGGAGCTCGACGTGGGATTCGATCCCGGGTCTCCAGGATCGCGCCCTGGGCCAAAGGCAGGCGCCAAACCGCTGCGCCACCCAGGGATCCCTGTGCATGGTCTTCTGAATCTGCTGCTCTCCTCTGTTTCCCTGTCACTCTGAACTGGGCAGTCTGTACTGAAAGCTATTTAATGGATTCATGGATTCTTAAAATGTCAGGATTGCATAGAGCCCACAGGCAGCTAAGTCCAACCCTCTTATTGTGCAGATGGGTAATTGAAACCCAGAGAGGGAAGGAGTTATCTGAATGGATAGAGCACAGAGCCAGGGTAAGGACACTGACCTTCTGGTTTCCTGGCTGGTATCTTTTCATCTTACTCTTCACGCCTGGATTCAGCTGTCAGACTTCCCTGAGATATCTAAGGAGGTATCTAGCCCTTCCCTTGGAACAGGTCTTCTCAGGCTTTAAATTGCACATGATTTGAAGCAGAGCGCTTGGCCCTAGCCTTGGAGGCTAACTTGGCCTGGGCCCCTGTGCTGCTGACAGGATGACCATGCTCCAGAACATAGCCTCGGGACTCAGAATCAAGTCCTGGTTAGGCTAGATCTTGGAATCAAATGTTAAAAACAGGTCATCTAGTAGATTGTGATTTATCAGTCTGCAAACTTCCTGGCAAGAGTTCCTCCTGGCCCAGCTCACTGGGGTGTGGGAGGGTCCAGCTGGCTGAGGTTCATGTCTACAGGGTCATTCCTGTGCAAGGGCTAGCCATGGAGTGCTGTGAGGCCAAAGGCTATGGTTCTGCAGCGCCTCAGGGAACCCTGGCTGCACAATTCCAGGGCACCCCTCCCCCAGGAGGTACTCATTAGCTGCCTTCTCTGCAGTTGGGTGGCTTTGTTTCTAACCGACTTTGGATCTCAAGTGCCCCAATTCTGAGGCATTTTTTTTGGGTCTGCAAAGGGGCTCCGTCTTGCTCCTCGGTGAGCCCCTCCAGCAGACACATGTTTGCATATACATACAATCCTGTATACGCACAGCCCTGCCTGCATGTGCAGAGCCTTCTGAGGACACACAGGCCATGCAGATGGCTGTGCGGTGCTCGCACTTGCAGTCAGCTGACCAGGGCAGTAATATGGAATTTCCCAGACACCGATGCTGAGCCAGCACTCTGCTAGGCACTTGCTGTGCTTTCTTGCATTTAATTCTTACCACATCCCATAAGCTACAGTGAAGTGGTTAAGATCGTGTGGTTTAGAATGTGGGTTCAAGCCAGGCTCTGCCCATTATTAACTGTGTGACTCTGGGGAAGTCTCTTACCCTCCTTGTGCATGGGATTCCTCATTTTGTGAAAAAGAGATAATCAAAGTTCTAAGATTATGGATTTGTGAGGCATATGTGTAAGGATGAGGGTTAATGCAGGTTCAACACCTAGAATAGCGTTTGGCCCAGAATAAATGCTCAATAAATGTTAGCTGTTACTGTTCCTGGTTTACAGATAGGAGACCAGAGCTCTAGAATTCAGTAGCTTGCCCTGGTTCCCAGAGCTGGTGAGAGATAGTTTTGTCCTAGTGGGTCACACTCATCTCTCTCTTCCTCCCTCTCTCTGACACACACACACACACACACACACACACACACACACACACACGCAGGCATGTACACACACAAGCACATGCATGCATATACCAGTACAGAATTGCCCCTAAACCTTCCAAAACTCTAGGCAAAGGCACCAAAGTGGTATGATAGGGGACTGGGAGTCACTAGGGCCAGAAATCCCTCTAGGTTGCCACGTGACATGGGCCAGGGGGCAAAGATCGGGGCAAGATTGTCATGTGCTAGCATAGGCAAGGGGGTGGGAGCTCATCTCTCCCAGGGTACACTGTGCATGAGACACATCTCAAAGGTCTCCCTAGCTTCTTCGACTACAGAAAACTCATGACAAACTCTGCTGGAGGCCTGACTGTTTCAAAAAGATCCTGGGCTTATTTTTTTTTTCTCCATGTCTGTGTCTCAAGGTAGCAACCCTGATGCCTCCTCCCCTCTGCCTGAGCCCCCTGCTATCTACCTTCTACATTCTCACCAGAGTGATCTTCAGTTATAGTTTTCCTCATGCCCCTGCCTTGTTTAGAGCCCCCAGAGATTCCTTGTCTCCTTATGCCAGATCCAGGCTATGGTCCCTGCCTTCAGGCTCCTCACATCTGGTCTCATGACCCCAGCATGCATCTATTCTCTGGTCACACTGCTGCCTCACTGTCCTCTGCATGCACTCTCAATGCTACTATGTTCAAGCTTTGGGAGGCGGGAATCACACTCAATGTTGCTTTGCAACCCTAAGAGGTATAATTTATAGAGATGCTTCTGGCTGCAAGCCAGCAAACCATAGAAACAATTCAAAATGGTCTTGGCCATCTGGGGACGTGTTATGTGATGCATCTAGAAGCCTTGGGTAGTCTCTTCTCTGTTAGTTAATTTAGTGACCTAGCATGAATCCATGACCATTTTATCTTTTGGCCCTGGCATCCACAGCCTGGCTTCATCCTCAAAGTTGTTTGCTCAAAGTCACAAAATGGCTGCTGCAACCCCAGGCAACACATCCTCACCCAATAACCACCAAAGGTTAAAAAGAAGAGAACTTTCTCCTGTGCCCCATTTTAAGAACAAGGAGCAGTTTCCCAGAATACTCCTGACTCCTCCTCATGCTTCATTGCCTAGAATTGTATCATGGCTCACACCTAAGTCCACTATTGACAAGAGGAGTGGATTGACATGATTGTTTTGAACTAGCCACGCCTCCCTGGAGCACCAGGCTACCAGACACCCGAGCGAGTCTAATGGGGGGACGTGCTAGCAAGGAAGAAAGAAGGGACCGCCTACTGACTAGGCAACCAGCCATGTCTGATACACTTACTGGAGGAAAGGTGGTCTCCCCGGCTTCTTTTTCCCCAGTTAGTGTCATTTCATGATGGCATCCACCTTCTCTGAATTCTAAAGGTCTTTCCTTCCCCTTCCCACACTCTTTGCTCTAGGAATAGCCAAATGGTGCGCAAGACCCTGAATATATCCTGCTACCTCTTACTTAAGGGCCTTGTCCCCTCTATAGGGAATGCCCTTCTCCACCCATTTTTAACCTGCTAAATGCCACCTCTCCTTAAAAATGAAACTCCTGTGCCAACTGCTACACTGGTTCTTCCCTGTGGCCCTTGTCTGGGTAACCGTTGTGTGGGCTCTAATGGTGCTCCATGTTGCCTCCCGTTGTGGAGCACATCCTTCTGTGCTGGCATTCTCTATTGACCCATCTGTCTCCCACCTGCCTGGGGGCTCCTTGAGGGCAGGGTCTTGGTCTGTTGCACTTTTGGGCACATATCCTGGCCTGGCACCTGGCAGATAGCCCTCAAGGAATGTGTTAAACAAATGTATTCTGAACTTCTGCCCAGCACCCTGTGTGTGATCTGTTTGCCAACATCTTGGGCCAGGGGGATGGAAAGTGTAAAGATTGGGGTCCCTGTCCCCGCTACACTTCCAGGGTCCAGGTGATTCTATGTGTCATTTCTTCTTTTGGTCCTCAGGGTCCTCATCTTTGGTGCCTCTAATTTCTGAGAGTCCCTGATATTCCTCTGAGCCTGGGTTTCCCTGAAGGCAGGGCTTAAACAAGGACTTGGGTATAGGCAGATTATTTGGGAGATGTTCCTAAGAAATAGGACTGAGGGAGCAGGAGAACAAGGCAGAGAAGGAGGAACTCGATCATGGGCATGTGTCACTGAGATTGCTGTTCTGGGTCGCCAGCACTCAACTCCATTGGCACCTCCTGAGAAGCATATAGGATGTCCTCTGGATTGTCCCCCAAAGGTGAGGGACAGGAACCTTTATCTACTGGTTCTTTTCCCCATTAGTTGAGGATTGCCTATGGGTCTTTAGCTCCCCCATGTTACAGGGCTGCAATTGTGCATGGCCCAAGCAGGATCCTGTGGTATGGGCGAAGGTTATGAACAGAGAGCAGAAAGACACACAGAAGGTACTTGAGGTGGTATGATGCCAGTGGAGTCTTGTCCAGAACTGCTCACCACCACTGCAGCCAACGTCAGAAGTGGGCTCAGGAGGCACCAACAGCATCTGCTCCATTCTTGTAGGGAAATTATCTTGGTCTGAGAAGTCACTCAAGGGAGAATGGTAACTAGTCATTTTTAGAAACATTGAAATCCTTGGCACACCCTCATCAGCTTCTTGACCTGATGCTTCTTCATTCCAGCTTGCGTCCAACTTCCAGGCCACTGCCCGGATTGGTTCAGAGACAGAGGCATACTTCACAGCTGTGGAGAGGATATGTCAATACATGAAGGTGGGACGTGGGTCTGGTTTGTTATGGGATACTCTGGAAGGCTTCACTTCCATGCCTGGGGCTTGGCTTCTGTGGCTTCTGCAAGCTCCAGCACCCCAGGAACCCCGAGGCCTCTTCAAGAGGCAACTGGTGCTCCTAGCCTTCCTCCCCGTCTTCCCTGGACCTGTGTCTATTATTTCTTAGGAGCCCTTCCATACTCATTGGCCCATTTTTACCACATTCCTTACTGCTTTCCTAGGTGTAGAGAGAATAATATGCCCTTTTTAGAAATGAGAGTTTTGCCCAAGTACAAAAATAATAATAATGACCATAATAATTGGTATTATTATTGCATCTATTTGTGCCAGAATAGTTAAGAACGTAGATTTTAGAGCCAGATCAACTGGGTTCGAGTCCAAGCTTTGCAACTTGAGTCAGCTGTGTAACCTGGGGACAGATCACAGTATATACTTCATTGGGTTATTACAAAGATTGGGTAATACAATATGTGAAGCACTTAGCACAGAGCCTGACTCACAGTAAAGGCTCAAGATTGTTATATATAGACTATCTCATGAAATCACAAAACAGTTTTAAAAGGTTGAATTATTATCCCCATTTCCCAGAAGAAGAAACTGAGGCTTGGCTAGGCTGAGCATCTTGCCTAAGATTACACAGCTGGGGACCAGCTGAGCCCTTTAGAACCAGTTCTCCTACCCCAGTTAATAGGAACAGAATTTGTGAATCATAGAGCTTTGATTTAACACTGAGGGATGCTGTGGCACAGCGACACCTGTGGTGAAGAGCTGTGACTTGCTGTCAGGCGATCATGCAGCTTCTCCATCACTGGGGCCTCGGGACGCACCCAGCTATGCCTGTTTTGGTAGTGGGCTTGGAGTCCGGCAGCCCTGGCCTGAGTGTTCATCAGCTCTGTGATCTTGAACAAGTGCTTTAATCCATTTGAGCCTAAAAAAAAAAAAAATCCATTTGAGCCTCTTTTTTCTTGTGTGTGAAATGCATCTAAAGTTCCCTCCCTTGTAGATGAGGACAGAGGGAGGGGGAATCTGCACAAGGCCTCTGACCCATAAAACATACCGTGCATGGATCAGCTAGCTCTGCTGCCTTTATCATCACTGTTTTGGATTCTATTTCTTTAGAGCCCCATATAATAAATTGGAAAAAGGTCTCTGTGTTAATAACAAAGGGGCTAGCTATATAGTTTCTCACTCTTTGGGGATGAAATTATATGCGTATCAGGGGAGTGGGAGTGGGGTGTTCCCCTTGGGGGTTCCTCTGATTGTATAGCCAGTTGCTTGACCACAGTGTGGGACAGGCTGGAGTGGGTTACACACCCAATGGTTGGAGGCCAGGGGTCAGCAGGAGATGGGCAGAGATTAATGATAACTATTGATTTCCTTTTCTCTCTTCAAAAATGAGATGTGTGTTCCTGAGTCTCCTTTATGCATAGAAGGCACGAGCTGTCCCCCTGGGTGGCCACAGCATGGAGAAATCACATTCCAGGATTATCACATGAAATACAGGGACAACACACCCATTATCCTCAATGGCATCAACCTGACGATTCACAGTCATGAAGTGGTGGGCATTGTGGGAAGGACGGGTTCTGGTGAGTGGAACATCCTGGATGTCCCCTGTCCTCAACTCTGCCCTGTGGGTGTTGGGCCTATTCAGGGCATGTGTTTACTCAGTGACCCCAGGGATGTTTATTGGGCCCCCACTCTGTGCCAGACGTTGGTGAACAAAACCCCAAGTCCTTGCTATCATGGGATCCCACCAGAGGAGACAGGTGTTAAGTGATCAAATCAGGAAACCCACAAGGTCATTATAGGTCGTGGTGAATGGCATGGAGGAAATAAAAGGGTGCTGTTAACAGAGTAATGGGGGTGGTGGGTCTTTGAGCTATGGTGGCCTGGGCTCTGAAGCCAACTTTTGAACTGAGACCGAAAGGCTGAGTAGGGTGCAGGGGAGGTAAGCCTTGAGCACAGGGCAGTGGAGGGCTCTGCGAGGGTAAGAGCAGGGCCAGAAGCGAAATCTGGGTCCTGCTTCTCCTTCCTCTCTGCCCTTCCTAGACCTCATATTGACCTCTTTCTTTGCCCTCTCCTTTCTGACCACTTTCCCTTCCTTCCTCTCCTATTACTTTTGGGAAGTCTGGTCCAAGGATCACTCCCTCCCATTTTTGCATTGTTCAGAGACACTGCTCAGACTTGATTCTTGCCCCACCCTGTGTGCCTCAGAGCTGCTTTCTCCAGGGAGCCCTCTGGGAAGACTAGAGCCTTCCTGGGTCTCCACCTCCTCAGGTCTTGCAGCCCTATTAGGGGAAGTGCTTCCATCTGTGTTCTTTAGTGTGTTCTTCCCTTTCTGCTTCTCGCCTGCAGTTGGCCTGAGAGGGCTGGAGACATAGAGAAGATCTCAGTAGATACTGGTCCAGTTGACTTGTATTTATTCAGTAGGTATTTATTGAGCACCTACTATCTGCCAGGCAAGGGGAACATAAAGGTAAACAAGACACACAGCTACCCCCTCCATTCACCTTTTTAGAGCAGAGGTTGAAAACTCAAATGCCTTTGGGGCCTGGCAAGCAACATGCACAGGTGAAATGGGTCAGGGATATGATAAGTGGGGTGGGTGGGCAGTGTGTTGGATTGGAGAGCACTGTTCTCTCAAGGAAGCAGCTGTGCTCAGCTCCAGCTGCGTGTTGTGTGGGAGGATGAGGACCAGTGTTGCCAGTTCTAGGTTTCAAGAAAAGCATGCAATTTGGATTTTTATATATAGGATCTTTGAATTTTTAAAATGCTGGCACAGAACTTAAAAAATAACAGTTAACACTGTGTGTGTGGAACAGAATATATAAATGGCTGGATTTAATCCAGGCGATCTATTTGTGCCCTCTGATCTAGGCTGTAAGAAAGCTGTTTGTGGTTTGGGGTATCGCTTGCAGCAGAGACTCCAGGCCTCTTCTGCTCTTGCAGGGCTCAGAATGACAAGGGATGGACTGGAGAGGGAAGCATGTCAGGTGTGAACTCCAGGTGTGGCCCCTGCTGCCTCTAGAACAGATCAGGAAACTGAAGCCCCACTTGTTTTCTGCCTGATAGGGAAGTCCTCCTTGGGGGTGGCTCTCTTCCGCCTGGTGGAGCCTACAGCAGGCAGGATTCTCATTGATGGCGTGGACATTTGTAGTATCAACCTGGAGGATCTGCGGTCCAAGTTCTCCATTGTCCCTCAAGATCCTGTCCTGCTTTCAGGAACCATCAGGTGAGTGCTGGCCCAGAGGCTCCCAGGAGGGGTGGCAGGACCAAGATGCCAGGGCTGGGCTGCCTCTGGTTAACTGGTGGCCAGTGCCCCAGTTTGGGGGCCTCTGATCTCTCCTTATCACACTGGGCCACTCACTGGGACTCACTGGAGTGTCCTTGAAGATTGAATGAAGCTCTGATACACACAAGAGCACTTTGTAAACCATCATGCGCTAAATGAAAGCAAGGTATACTTTTTATTTTTTAGAAACCTGATGGGATTGGTCAGACTTCAGTTCACCATTAAGTATTTGCACTGTGGATACCATATTCTTTTATGTCAAGATGTGGTTTATTCTCTTCTCTTTACCCACTGGGTAACCAAGCTGATGGGGGCATTTTAGTCTGGGAGGGAGCGCTTCTTCACAGGCAGGGGAGAAGTGAGAAATAATCAACTTTATCCAGATTCATGCTCCTACTTCACAGTGCACATGAGCATATGGGAACACCAAGGCATGGAAATTGAGGAAGCCTAATGCACTAAAAATGAAGCTCATGTTGCAAGGATATTTAAGGGACATTCTTAGAGGCAAGAGGATAAACTGACCCTTAGAGCTCTGTTTAATCATTTATGAATTTACTCATCATTTCTTCCTCCCTCCCCCTCCCTGCTTCTTTCCTCTTCCCTCACTCTTCTCCTTCCCTTCTCTTCTCCCTCCCTTCCCTTCTTTCCTATATCCCTTCTCTTCTTCCTCCCCTTCCTCCCCCCTTCCTCCCTTCTTGCCTGCTGCCTGCCTTCCTTCCTTCCCTCCCTCCCTCCCTCCTTCTCTCCTTTCATACATTGAACTCACCTTTTCTGAGCCTTTGCCAGGCCCAGACATTATACTAGGGACTAGCGTTACTGATGAATGATCACTGCCCCTGCTGCCCCAGGAGTTCAGAGTGCAGTCATGGGGGATGGGGGGGGGTGAGTGTAGAGATGTAAGAACCAACAGATTATAATACAATTATAAGAACCAACAACAGGTATTTGGTAGATCAGAGATGCAAAGCACTAAAGGAGCCCAGAAGTAGAACAAATACCTCTACGTAGGTGAATCTAGAAAGGCTCCACAGAGGAAGGGACATTTGAGCAGGGTCTTGAAGGGCACGTAGGAGGTTGCCTGGGAGAAATAGAGGAGAAAAGTCTTCCAGGGAGAGTGTATGATATATGCACAAACGGAGAACTTTAAAATGAGTATGTTAGGGGAATGAGATAACATTTAGTGATAGATCTCTCCGTTTAGCTAGAGCTTGGTTTAGCTAGTCCTTGATATAGGAGTAGTAGAAATATGAATTAACATTTACAAGCATTTATATGTGCCAGCCCTATGCTTTAATGTTCTGTCTCATTTAACTGTCACCACAACCCTATGAAATAGGCACTATTATCCCTCCTCTATAGGGGGAGACACTGAACTTAGGAAAAGTGTGATTTGTTTCAGGAGACACACAAGTAAATGGTAAAGATGAGATATAATCCCAGGTCGTCAAATCTCTTAACCAGTGCTGTCCCCATCCTTGCAGCAGGAAGCAGTGTGGATTGGGGCCTATGCATCTTTTGGGGGAGAGGGTGGCAATCTATGAAAATGCTTTGGAGTTTATCAAATGTCATGGAGAGAAGACTTTCTACCTTCTGCTTCTTTAATACAATCTAACCCTCCACACAAAATGTTTGTGGATGCCTAAGTAAAGCAGAGATTAAGAGTAGGTTTTAATCAGTGTTTGCATAACAGAGGAGTGTTAATGTCACCTATGCCAAATGCCAGTGCAAACTTTAATGGGCATAAAGTCCAGGTAGATCCCAATCTGATGTTGCTTGGATAATCAATTAGGACTTTTTCACTGCAAGAGATAGAAAAACCAACCCCACTATAGTGAGATACCACTTCACACCTACTAGGATGGCTATAATGAAAAAAAAAAAAAGAAGAAGAAAGAAAAAAAAAGAAAAAGGAACATAATAAGTATTGGTGAGGATGTTGAGAAATTGGAATCTTCATGCCCTACTGGTGGGAATATAAAATGGTACAGCCTCTGTGAAAAACAGTTTGGCAGTTCCTCAAAAAGCTAAATGTAGAATTAGCATACGATCCAGTAATTCTTCTTCTAGGTATATACCCAAAAGAGTTGAGAGTGGGACGAATAGATATTTGTGTATCAGTGTTTGTAGCATTATTCATAGTAGCCAAAAGGTGCAAACAACCCAAGTCTTTGTTCATCAACAGATAAATGAATATACACACATACATGCAATGTAATATTAATGAACCATAAAAAAGAATGAATATTTGATATATGCTACAACGTGGATAGACCTTGAAAACATTATGCTCAGTGAAATATATCAGACACAGAAAGACAAATGTTGTCTATTTCCACTTAAATGAGGTGCCTGGAATAGACAAATTTTTAGAGAAAGAAAGTAAAGGGATCCCTGGGTGGCGCAGCGGTTTGGCGCCTGCCTTTGGCCCAGGGCGCGATCCTGGAGACCCGGGATCGAATCCCACGTCGGGTTCCCGGTGCATGGAGCCTGCTTCTCCCTCTGCCTGTGTCTCTGCCTCTCTCTCTCTCTCTCTTTCTCTCTCTCTGTGTGACTATCATTAAAAAATTAAAAAAAAAGAAAGAAAGTAAAATAGAAGTTACCAGAGGCTGAGGGATGGGAGAAGACTAATGGGCAGAGATTTTGATAGGGATGATGAGTTTTGGTGGATGGTTACACAACATTGTGAATTTATTTAATGCCACTGAATTATATACTTATAAGCATTTAATGATAAATATGTGTATGCTAATACACATACACTGTCCCACCCTCACCCCCAAACATCCCAAGTGGCTTAAGCTAAAAATGCCCTCTTTGGCTTATGATATTGGGAAGGTCAAGAATGATTCAGGGACTTTGTGTCTCCCTAACTCTTCCTTGGCTTCATTGCCGGCCTTCAATAATAGCCCCTGGGGAACTCTACGTGTCCCACTCCTGAAGCAAGATGGTTGCAGCCATCTACTTATTCCTGAGTCACTTGTTCTACCTCTGGAATTGGTGGTAGAGGACCCCCTGGACCATATGGGCTTGAGGGTTGGAGAGGAGGTGGTCTCCAAATAAAACTTGCCTACAGAAGGAATGGGTACTGGGAAAGCATAGAAAATGACCCATGGTAATTCCATGGGTTTCTCTACATCCAGTAAAACAGTTCTAACATTCTTAATCATCTTCTGTGAATGGGACAGATTATCCCATAGTTGCATGTGGTTTATGGAGCATTTCTCTTCCTCTTCTATGGCAGATTCAACCTGGATCCCTTTGATCGTTACACAGATGAACAGATCTGGGATGTCTTGGAGAAGACATTCCTGAGCATGACAGTAAGTAGCTCTAAGACCTGATTCTTGGTCTTAGCCTGCCTCTTTAACAGCAGTGCCTGCTGGTCCGTTGGGGCTTGTCTCACATGATATTTCAGATGCTGCAATTTTGGGGCATGGTTTAAATAATCTCATGTTGATGAGATGATTTTGGATTCCTAAATAAAGTCTGATGGCACTCAGACACCAACAGTGAGGCTCAGGGGACACTGCAAAAGCAAGGTAGGTGAGGTGTTTGCCTTTCTGGTTCTTACGTTCAATGGGAGATACAGACAGCAAAAAGACACATAAGATACTTTCAGATAGTGGTAAGTGCTCTAATGGTAGTAATGAGACCAGTAGATACTTCAGTTGGGGAGCAGCTTCTTTACATGAAGTGGTCAAGCATGGCCTCTTTATTTTATTTTATTTTTTTAAAGATTTTATTTATTTATTCATGATAGTCACACAGAGAGAGACAGAGAGGCAGAGACACAGGCAGAGGGAGAAGCAGGTTCCATGCAGGGAGCCTGACGTGGGATTCGACCCCAGGTCTCCAGGATCGCGCCCCGGGCCAAAGGCAGGCGCCAAACCGCTGCGCCACCCAGGGATCCCAAGCATGGCCTCTTTAAAGACGGGGCATTTGAGCTGAGACCAAATATTGAGGGGGCAGTAGGACACAGATCTTTGAGAGAACATTCTAGGTTCGGGAGCTAGCATGTGCAAAGACCCTGAGACCAGAGTGAGAGGGGCACAGGTAAGGAAGAGAAAGACCAGTGGCTGGAGTCTAGAGAGGCAAGGAGTGTTACAAAGTGCTACGGGGGGGGGTTCCTGGGTGGTGGGGTAGGGGTGAGATTAGGTCTCACACCACAGTGGCCTACATGTCTGCGTGCTTTCATAGCCTACATCTCATTTTCCCTGATATTACAGATCTCAAAGTTACCCCAAAGACTGCAAGCAGAAGTTGTGGAAAGTGGCAGAAACTTCTTCTCTGTGGGGGAGAAGCAGCTGCTCTGCATTGCAAGAGCACTCCTTCGCAACTCCAAGGTGAGACCATGGAATGGCATGGGAGGTCATGGATAACACCTGGTTTGAGAAACCATGCTGGCTGTTTCTCCCTCCAACTTCATGGGATAGTAGGTGCTGTGCTATCTGTCCTTCCACAAATACCCATAGGGCTTCCTCATGTCGCTGATTGCCATTCTGCACCTATCTGTGGTGTGGGAGAGGCATGTAAATGGGGACTCAGCCTGGGCTCTCTCAAACCCTGATATTCTGCACCTAAGCTCAAATGATCCACCACTAGAACCAAATCATGATGCACTTCCCTTACAGAAAGTCGAAAGCTTAGAAGCTTATTAATTTAACAGTTGCCCATTGTATATTCTTTTAAAAAGTTGGATATAGAACATTCTCGTGTTCTTTATTAAAGTTGGAAATCAGATGACAACTGTTTCAGGACAAAATTACTTTTTTTTTTTCTGTTACTGTCAGGTGTAGAATTTAGTGATTCATCACTTACATACAATACCCGGTGCTCATTACAAGTGCCTCAATATCAGTCACTCATTGAACCCATCCCCCTGCTCACCTCCCCTCCAGCAACCCCTTAGTTTCTTCTCTAAAGGGTTTGTTTCCTTGTTTGCCTCTCTTTCCCTCTCCCCAGGTTCATCGGTTTTGTTTCTTAAATTCCACATCTGAGTGAAATCACATGGTTTTTGACTTTCTCTGACATTTATTTTGCTTAGCATAATACACTCCAGTTCCATCCACGGCATTGCAAATGGCAATATTTCATTCTTTTTTATGGCTAGTGTTCCATTGTATATATATAACATATCTTATTTATCCATTCATCTGTTGCTGGACATTTGGGCTCTTTCTATTAATTTGGCTATTGTTGATAATGCTGCTGTAAACATTGAGGTGCATGTATCTCTTTGAATCAATATATTTTTTTCCTTTGGGTAAACACCTAGTAATACAATTGCTAGATCAGAGGGTAGTTCTATTTTTAACTTTCTGAGGAACATCTGTACTGTTTTCCAGAGTAATTGCACCAGCTTGCGTTCCTACCAACAATGTAGTAGGGTTCCCCTTTCTCCACATCCTCACCATCAACTATTGTTTTTTATGTTATTGATTGTAGCCATTCTGATAGGTATGAGGTGATATCTCATGGTGATTTGCATTTCCCTGATGATGAGTAATGTTGAGTATCTTTGCATATGTCTGTTAGCTGCCTGTATATCTTCCTTGGAAAAAATGTCTGTTCATGTCCTCTGCCCATTTTTAAACTGGATTATTTGGGTTTTGGGTGTTGAGTTTTATATGTTCTTTATATATTTTAGATTCTAACCCTTTATCAGGTGTCTTATTTGCAAATATCTTCTCCCATCCCTAAGGTTGCCTTTTAGTTTTGTTGATTGTTTCCTTTGCTATGCAGAGCTTTTTATCTTAAGGAAGTCCCAAAAGTTCATTTTTACTTTTGTTTCTAGCCTCAGGGGATATATCTGTTAAGAAGTTGCTATGGCTAATGTCCAAGAGGTTACTGCCTGTGTTCTCCTCTGGATTTTGATGGTTTCCTGTCTCACATTTAGGTCTTTCAACCATTTTGAATTGATTTTTGTGTATGGTGTAAGAAAGTGGTTCAGTTTTATTCTTTTGCATTTGTTGCTGTCTAGTTTTCCCAACACCATTTGTGGAAGAGACTTTTTTTCCAAAATTACCTATTTTAAAAAAGTTTCATCAGATTGTATTTCTTGAAGTTTTCCAAATATTGTGCCAATAACTTTAGGCATTGGACTACCTGGGTTAGTCAGGAGCAAACTTTCTCAAGTGAGGCCACACATACATACTCATCCACACTCACACATGTATACATGTGTGTACATGAGTGCTCACATGCACTCACAGCGCACACCATGGTTAATGAATGATAAATGCAAAACACTGTTAGTATTATTAGAGCTCTGGGAAAAAGCAGGTAGAGCCCAGTGGGTTGGAAGCTGGGGAGAAGGTTTCACAGGAAGGAGGACTCTCTCCCTCCTTCTAGCAGAGATGAAAGACAGGATTTGCAATATTCATGTAGCACTTTCTTAACCACTCAGTTCCTTATTTTACAGTTACTGGGCCACTGATGCCAAAGTTACTTTCTCTACATTTTTTCCCAAATTTGAGTCATCATTTTATGATTTTTGTCATATCTGCACACTGTCTCTCCTTTGACTTACTTGTGTTGCCTTCTTTTTAAAAGCAGCCTCGTTCTAAACAGTAACATTTGTGAAATCATATTTCTGTGCTACTTATATTTTTCTAATGCATATTGTTAATGAGAAAGTTTATCCATATGCTAGGCACACCATCTCATATACCATCCAGGCATGTGTGTGTGCCTCACTTTGGGGAATGTTGGTCTATGTTAATTCAGGCAAATGAGAAAGCAGTTTATTTATTTTTTTAATTTTTGTTTATTTGTGATAGTCACAGAGAGAGAGAGAGAGAGAGAGAGAGAGAGAGGCAGAGACATAGGTAGAGGGAAAAGCAGGCTCCATGCACCGGGAGCCTGACGTGGGATTCGATCCTGGGTCTCCAGGATCGCGCCCTGGGCCAAAGGCAGGTGCTAAACTGCTGCGCCACCCAGGGATCCCGAGAAAGCAGTTTATAAAACAAGTTTCTACTGGGACATTTTCATCTTCAAGAACTTAATTCTCTGGTCACATACACACAAAAGCTCTTGGTTGAGACCTAACATGCGCTTTAACATAATGGGCAACTAGAGCTCAAAGTAGGTTTTGAACAGAATTCAAATCTCTCACCTTCCAGCTAAGGGACTCAGTGGATTAGTGGTAGACCCAAGACTAGATCCTGGTCTCAGGGTTCAGGCAAGCTGACTTCAGCCCTGTTTTGATTCCATCAGATCATCCTTATTGATGAAGCCACAGCTTCCATCGATATGGAAACCGATAGCCTGATCCAGCACACAATCCGTGAAGCCTTCCAGGGCTGCACAGTGCTGGTCATTGCACACCGCATCACCACTGTGCTCAGCTGTGACCGCGTCCTGGTCATGAACAATGGGAAGGTGAGAGCTGTGTCCCTGGGGCCAGTGGGAGGACGGGTGCTCAGACCAGCGTCTCAGCAGACCTTTGGATCCCTCAAGGCTGAGCTCAGTGATGTCCCCTGCCTTCTTTTCTCCATCTCCCAGGTTGTAGAGTTTGACAGGCCTGAGGTCCTGCAACAGAAGCCTGAGTCTGCGTTTGCTGCCCTGCTGGCAACAGCCAATTCTTCACTGAGCTAAAGAGAACTGGTGACTGTGGGAGCTGATGGCAGAGCCAAGTGCAGCTGGGAAGTCTGCAGTCTTTGACTTTCTTGAATAGAGATGGCTACTTCTCCTGAAAGCAGGGCTGAAATGTGCTCAGAGGTGCTGTAAATGGGATAGAGAAGAAGATTGGGGGAGCAAAACCTAGAATAGGCCACTTGATGGCTCCCCAAATCTGGGGAACCCCCATGCCATTTGAGACCATGTGGTCAGATCAGCATGTGTCTCTTTTTAATTGATATGTTGAGTAATTTCATAATAATGTGAAAGCCTATTACATTTTCTGGATCTGTGTTAAAAGAATTGCAAATGCTGTATTGATTTTGTGAAAAAAAAATAAAAATAAGAAAAAGTCACATTCTCTGTTCTGCTTTCTTGCTAGCTAGTGCTTGTGCAGCTGCAGGGAGGAGAAAGTCCCTCATACTGGCTTCTGGAAAAGGGACTCCACTGGTTAATGGAATGGAAAGGTCCAGAAAAGTTCTAGGTTGGGTGCCAGTATCTAAAAGATGTCTACCTTCTGAACTCTGCCTCTTATATTCTCAGCTCTACTTTCCTTTTATGGCTTCACTCTGTGGCCTCCCCTCTCCCCATAGTGGTATCAAGGCTGCCAACAGCTCTAGGCTCATGTCCTACCAGCTCGGCACTCTTGGGTCTTCTTTCCCCAAACGATTCCAGCAAAAGTTCCACGGCTAGATTTCCCTGGGCTGACCTGGGTCATGTGCTCATCCCTGAATCAATCACATGCTGGGCTGTTGGAATGTGGTAACTAGCCAGGTCCAAGTCATATGCCCTTGCTTGGACCTGGGGATGGGGTCACATGGGCTGAGAATGGAGGGGAGGAGTTTCTCCAAAATGAAATTGCGATGGTTTAATTACATGAAGGGGAAATGGATATGGACACTGGGAAGGCCCAAAATAGTAGCTGTCTACTATGTTTATTTACTGATTAGAGCATAAATTGGTGGAATAAAGAATAAAGAGTTCATTTATAACATGTGCCAACTGGAAATAAGATTACTTGTCTCTCCACTCCCCCAAGTAGTTAGAGGATAATTATTTTAAATTTATCACTAGGGAGAACTCATTGTTGGGGGCAAAATCAGTTTCAAAGTATTTTCTTTTTGTTTTCAGATTACAGTGTTTGGTTTTGCCATACGAAAAATCAATTCGGTAAACAAATATCCCAGTTTCTTGCCCGGGGGAGGTGCTGGGAGTGTAACGATGTCCCTTTCCTCATGGAATTTGGGATCTTATGAGAATGAGTAAACTGTGAACAAGTAAACAGATGGTTCCAGAACGGAGTGTCAAGAGACAAGGACAGGATGCAGGAGATGGAGATGGTTAGAGCAAACTTCGAGGTAGAAGAAAGGTAGTGGTTTACTGACCTGAATACTGAACAAACATTTGATGGTGCAAGAAAGAATGTTCTAGGCAGAGGGAGCAGCAAACAAATCCTCCCCAGGAAAGAACTATGACAGGCTGATGCAATCCTTGGACCAAAAGGAGGACTAAGCCCGAGTCCCAGAGTTAGGGAGACGTGTAATCCCCTCTGTCCCCTTCCTGAGGTTCTTAGGTAGCCCCTGTTTCTCTTCCTAGGCCTTTTCCTAGGTGAGTGTCTTTTCTCTCTCAAAAATCTCTTTGCCTAGTTTATCGTGTTCCCCTTATCTTTTTCTTCTTAGGCCCTGAAGAGTGCCCGGGAGCCCCTCCTGCGCCCATCTTGTCCCACCCCCCGGGGTCACAGAGCTGCTTATCTGCAAGTTGAAAGTGACTCTATTCATCCTGCCCTTCCCCCTCCCAGAGCTGCTGTGGGGTAACTGCATGCATCACCTGTGAGAAGGAGGTTCACAAACTGAGTGCCATGTAGCCATCCATGATACTTGGCTTCCCTAGACCAGCTGTAGCGGCCATATTTTCCCTGAGTTGGCCAGCAGATGGCAGGCTCTTCCCAAAAATTAGGGGAGAGCCTGCAGGTTTCAGATCCAGAGCCCCTGAGCATCCACCTGGGGTGTGGATCCCTGACACACAGCACAGAAGACAGAGCCTCTTTCCACCTTCCCTGGAAGGAGCTTCTCCTAGCGGGATAATTAGAATTACCCATGGAATCTTTAAAGCATCCATGTCCACTCCTTGAGGTTCTGATTCATTGGTTTAAGGTGAAGAGTGAGTGAGTCCTGGGGTTTTTTAAACTTTAAATGAATTTAATGTGAAGCAAAACTTGAGAACCATTGGCTCCAAGCAGCAAAAAAACAGAATTTATTGAAAAATCATATGTATACTTTTACAGTATTAGTAATATTTTATATTTTAAGCTAAGTGGTTAAGTCTAGGACTTTGTTTTCTTTAAATAATTCTTTTTTTCTTTAAATAATTCTTAAATACATAATTTTGTGCATCTGAGCTATTTTGTAATAAAAGTTTAGAAGCTAATATTTGATATTGCAAAAATCATTGTAGTGAGTGGATGTAGAACTTGGTTCTACTTCCTTACATTTATGTAATGGTTTGTTGTTATGTGTATTCTCAGTTACCTCCTGGTGCAGAGGGGATGAGAGTATTTTTGGTGCCCAGTTTTTTAAAAAAAAATTAGTCCTTGATTTATTTAATTAATTAATTAATTAGTTTTAATTTTTAAAATTCCAGTTAGTTCCCATACAGTGTAATATTAGTTTCAGGTGTACAATATAACCTCCTGGTGCAGAGGATATGAGAGTATTTTTGGTGCCCAGTTTTTTTAAAAAAAATCTAGTCCTTGATTTAATTAATTCGTTTTAATTTTTAAAATTTCAGTTAGTTCCCATACAGTATAATATTAGTTTCAGGTGTACACTTCCATACATCGCCTGGTGCGCATCGGAGAAGGACAAACATTATATGGTCTCATTCATTTGGGAAATATAAAAAATAGTGGAAGAGAATAAAGGGGAAAGGAGAAAAAAATGAGTGGGAAATATCAGAAAGGGAGACAGAACATGAGAGACTCCTAACTCCGGGAAACGAACTAGGGGTGGTGGAAAGGGAGGTGGGCGGGGGGTGGGGATGACTGGGTGAAGGGCACTGAGGGGGGCACTTGACGGGATGAGGACTGGGTGTTATGCTATATGTTGGCAAATTAAACTCCAATAAAAATAAAAAATAAAAAAATAAAAAAAAAAACAAGTGTACTCCTTAATCCCCATTACTTATTTTCCCATCCCTCACCCACCTCCCCTCTGGTCATCATCAGTTTGTTCTCTAGAGTTAAGAGGTGCCCAGGGGTTTTAAAGGACCTAATTTATCCTCAGGTCGCGCCTTCTCCTATCTAGCCTTCCTCCTGGTCAAATGCGGTGAAGAACTTCACACAACCTATGTGGTGTGGTCCACAGTGACAACAGGTGGATGTACAGATGAAAGGAGGCAATAGTGCCACTGGCCCCAGCCCTGCCCTAACTTGACCCCAGCTCTGGACACTCCATTTTAAGGGGAATGCTGCTAAATGGAGGCTGTTCAAAGGACAGCACCAGGGAGCCAAGTTCATTCTTCATTTTCCTGAAGGGCTTCTTCTAGAAGTTATTGCAAAGGTCAGCTCCAGGCCCTGGAGCTGTTCAGGACAGATGCTCAGGTTATTGGAAGTGTCCCACTAGGGAGTAGCTAGTTTGAGGGGTAGGGAACTCCCAATGGCTGGAAGCCTTCTCTGACACTGACCGCTCTCCTTGGTGTAGGGTGAGGGGTCATGGAGCGTTCCTCCAAGGCTGAGTGCTGGCAGGGATTCTGCATGTGTGGGAAATTGGATTGGATAACTTCTTTGGGGGTAGATGATGCTGAGATGCAATTATAAATATAAAGTTGTCTTATGGCAGGGGCTCTCAGACTTGAATGAGCACCAGAATCTCCTGGAGGGCTAAAACACAGCTTGCTGGATCCCACCCCTGTACCTCACAATTTAGTGGGCCTGGGGCTTAAGAATTTGCCTTTTTAGCAAGTTTCCAGATGTTGCTGATGCTGCTGATCAGGGACCACACTCTGAGAACCCAGAGGTTAACCAAGATTATTCTGTCCTAGGTGATCTACAACTACAATTTTATAACCAGGATTATTCTGTCCTAGGTGATCTAGACAGGGGGGATTTAAACCCTCATTTTAAGGTGTTCTTCAAAGTTGGTGTATTTCCAGGCCACTTTTATTTTTATGACTTCTTTTGATTCGGACCCCCTGAACATTTCAGTGAACAATACAGACTCTCCTTTCTTCCATCATGTTGACCTGAGAGACCCTATCACTTTCCTTTATTTCCTTTGTACGTGTAGATGATGTCAATGAAGTTTTGGGCCAAGGGAGGGGTTTCTATCCCAGTAACTCAACAACTTTCAATTGAATGTTGGGCACCATCTTCTTAAGGAGTCTCTCTATCTCTATCCCCTCAGGCTCCAGTGTCCTCCATTCCAATATCCTTTGTGTTCTTCCCATCCCTAGCTCCCAGTTCCTGGACATGTGTTATACAGAGCAGTTCAGTTCTTGATTTTGATCCCTTTTCCTGCCAGACAAGACACCAGGGTCTCAGAGTCTACCCCAGGAGAAGTAACAAAGCACTTCTGTAAACAAAAACAGTCTCTACCCTATGATACACTATGGTGCCAGCTGTTCAGTTAGTAATATTTCACCCCATTATTCTAAATGTCTCCTATTCTATTCTCCTTCGACTCATTTAAATAACTCTGTGGAATTCAATCTTGTCAGAGTCAGAAACAACTTCAGAGACTGTTAGTCTGGATGTTCCCTAGCCTGTGGTCCATGGACCCTTGAGCTAGATTCAGAGGATACATGACTTTGGATGGGGAAAAATTGTGTCTTTATTTTTACTAACTGAAATTTAGCATTTTCACTGATTATGAATAACAAACTATAATAGTATCATTACCTGTGACTTTATCACAAACAGAATCATAGATATACTCAAATCTCATTTCATTTGTTTCAGGTGTCTGAAAAATACCATTTACGTGCATCACTGCTTTGAATTGTAGTAGTTATTAGACCTACTGCTAGATCATTTTATTTAACACACCAACATAGAAACATACATATTACAACATCCAACTTTCATTTTTTTTGGTAACCATGTGTCATTATAATTGATTTCCTTCACAGTCCTATGTACCTTATTTTATACGGTAGAAACAGTATTCTGAGGGACGCCTGGGTGGCTCAGTGGTTGAACATCTGCTTTTGGTTCAGGTCGTGATGCCAGGGTGCCGGGATCAAGTTCTGCATCGGGCTCCCTGTGGGGAGCCTGCTTCTCTCTCTGCCTCTGTCTCTGCCTCTCTCTCTATGTCTCTCATGAATAAGCAAATAAAATATTTAAAAAAAGAAAAA